ACATGATGAATGCATTATCACGATAAAGCAAGCAATAACACAAACGTTCAAAGAAGTATTATATTATCGCCACCAGAAGAAAAAAGATACTTACCACTTACCACAGCTACATATAGACCAGAAGATGCACAATCATCGGATATAGACCACAGAACGAGCATACAACAAAGACAGTAGACCAGGAACGACTAGATTAGCAGCAGCAGCAACACCAGCACCATAGAAAAACCAAAGAACGAACGACATTAGAGACCAGACCAAGACCAAAGAAGTTACTACTTATCACAGCCACGGATAGACCTGAAGAGTATAGGCAATCATCAGAGACAGACCAGAGAACGAGCATGCACCAAAGACAGTAGACCTGGAAAGGCCAAATTAGCAGCCGCAACAATACCAGCAGCAACACCAGCAGCAACACCAGCAGCAACACTGCAGAAAACCGAAGAACGAACGACACCAGAGACCAGGCAAAAACTAAAGAAGCAACCACCAAAGATAGAGACTAAAGAAGCAGCCACTAAGCATGATAGACCAAAGAAGCAGGCAGCAGAGATAGCAGAAAAGTAATGGCAGTAACACCACCCACGTCAAGCAGACAAAAGAGTTACCGAAACCTAATAAACAAATTCAGTTAGTAATAATTCTACGCCTTCCAGTGCTCGTTATCGAATGGCACCTGATATATTTCACTTCAAAGAAGCAGTATCAAGTACTTCTAACAGTACAATGCCGTGTTATCACAAGCTAGATTGTTATTATCAATCAAAAAGGTTCCAAAACCACCACGGTTTGATGCTAAACGCGTTTTGCAAAAAGAGAAAAAAAAACGGGGGCATGGAAGAATGAGAGGGCGTCCTATCCGACGTCACGGCTAGTAGATTTGGTCTCAGATTTGTACCGTAGCAGCAGTAATTGCGGCAATTTAATTTGAAATTGTGCAGTGGTATTTTCGTGTTCAAACTTGACTTGATCTCGCATCTTTTAAACGTTTTTACCAAATTTGACTATAAAAATTCTCGTTATAACACCCAACTTTCTAATACATCTCTAGAGGACTAAAGAAGTCACATCGAATGGTGCTAATTACTTTCAGTTTTCACACCAAAAATAATGAGAAATTTCCAAAAATATGAAAACAGGCTTTCTGTGAATATGTCAGAATTTAGCATATGAAAGTCTCATAGAAAGAATTTCCAATGTTGCATTTCATCTTTACGGTCAATTTGATTCAATATGTATCATAGGAAAAGTCTTCACTTTTGACGTGAAAAACGCGATCGTTTGATTTTCAAGAATTTTCCCTTGCTAATACTCATGGAAAAACGATGATTTTCATAAATTTGTAACGACCCAAAAAAAATTGAGATAAGGCATTAGGAAGTAAAGCGTGGCCAAGAGGAGGCGTGTGGTGCTATTCCAAGCGCTCAAAACGCTTTGTTGCATGAGCTATTCGTGCTTGAAAATGGCTAGATTTGAACAGAATTCGAGCTAAAACGACGGCGTAGTGGGTTGCGTTGCCAGAAGAGTAAGTAAATTACGCTTATGTCTAATAAACCAGATGTTCTACATTGTACAGGACTGAATTTTCAAGTAATGGACGCTTTTATTCCAGTTCCAAGGCTCAGATATTGCTTTTTGGAATGTGCGATTACACTAATCTTGATACTGGAATGTCAATAATATTATTCAAATTTGAAGTTAATGGCCTGCTCGGATTGAATTAGATGCTCAACAGGTTAGTAGGACACTTTTATATGTTGTCCACAAGAGAGACGCCACATCTAGCCATAAAAGTAGGTCTAAAGTCTATCCACAATGTTAAACACCCATATTTAAAGAGAAATGGCTGAAACCGGACAGGCTGATTCGGTGTCAGCACAATGGGGGATGTGGAATTTGAGGCTTGATAGACTAAAATCCACAGAAAAAAAAGAATAAAAAACAATGAAGTCAACTTGATAAAGGTATGTTTTATTATCAAACTGACAGTTGTAAAGTAAACAACTGAAGTATCTCTACTACTGGCCAGGTAGATGATCCCTCTTATATACTATAGCAATGGATAAAAGTTCTATTAATTAGATTGACAAACAAATCAACTCAGATTAACTAATGTCTAATCATGCTAAAAGACAACTCCAGCAAGCTAATCATGATTTAGCTTTGCCTAGATGAATAATTAGACTCTCATCCAAAGCACCCTGATCTCTCCTTTCTATAAGGATAATTAATATCGATCTAGTAGCATGTATCCGATAGGTACAGTCTTCTTAGTCTATATTAATAGTACATATCTGAGTGTATATCGCTAAGCATACATCTTTAGCATGTATCTGGATATATGGCATGTCTATAGCATATCGTATGCATGTCTATAGCATGTCTCATATATAGTACAAGTCTGTAGTACATAAAGTATCTGTAGCTAGTATCACGGATATAAGCATGTGTCTTATAGCGTGGATCATGAAGTGCACATCTGAAGCAACAAGCCCATATTGCATTAATCTTGGTGCCTATCCAGATATGGTAAACATCCGTAGTCAATGTCGGAATACAAGTATAAGTCTATAGTGCCATCCATGTCCGTGGTGCCATCTATAGCCTATATCTTATATAGTATGAATCTTATAGTACTAGCGTATCTGAAGTCCATATCTTCTTATAGTATAAATCGATATCGTACATCATCTAATCCAGTGTACATACATTTTATATCTAAATCTGGTAACTGGATGAACTGTCGGAATGCAGATCATAGTGGATGTATTCCACAAGTATGTTTAAATGGTTGTTAATGTACATTTGAGCGCTTTATTGGTAAATTCAAAGAGCATAAATTTGAATGAGTGATAGTTGATGCACTCTGGTTTTCAAGCAAGTTGCGTTTAAGTGGCTGTTTCTTTACATCCTTTAATATACAACGTATAATACATTTGCCTCTCAAAGATGATCTATATCCTAAACAGAAATGGCCCATTTTGTGCGCTCCGATTCTTAAAATACCCACTCAAATTCATACATGTGTGGCCTGCATATGCGATGGTTGAACGAAGCTTCAATTTGTATTGTTCTGAGTGATGATCCATGGGATTCCAAAATCTATTGACCTTAAAGTTACGCATTTCTTGATAGTAACTACTCCTTCAAACTTATATGAAACTTGTAGAGAATTCAAAGGAGAGTACAATGGTATTTATTTCAAGTCTCTGGTGTACATTGCTCAACTGATATTTGATGGGATATTTTTGCAATTTTTTGACTGTTTTCTAAAGATGTTTTCTAAAGATTAATCAGTATCTGTCATCAAAACATTTTGTTAAGCATTACTAAACATTGTAGACCAAAAAATTTCCTATCGAATGAGCTATTGCCTGAAGCTCTGGCATGACTCTATCATGATATATTGACAATCTTTTCCTGACCAAAAAATTTGGTGATGATTTTTTCTTTGCTATCACAGGCCGATTTTGATAATTTTGTATCAGGATATTTTTTATCGTATATCCTGAAAGACGCATGGCGTTTAGATAAAACAAAAACCATTGAAAGCTATAATTGCAATTTATTATGATATATAGATTTATAGTCCCAAATATATGTTTCCTTTATTATAATTTTCGTTAAAATTTTGTATTTGACGATCTTCCAACAAAAATGTTGTCAAGCGATTCCAAATAATAGAGCTGTTATATCAGCCACCATGTAACTTGGTAGGGAAGAATTGAAATGCGCATCAAATAATATAACATATATAAGCGATGCTATGTAGCTTGTCCACAATGCCAGATGAGGAATAGAAATAATGTCCTATGGCTCAATAATATGAGTAAGGTTATACAGTACAATAATGCAATCTGTTATGTACTTTAAGTCCCAAAAATAGCAGTTTCATTATCTGATTTGTAAAAGGAGCTGCGTGTAGTATAACATCAGTCATTTAATAGATTGCCTTTGACTACAATAAAATGAAAATAGAAGCTACATCTAGTTAAACGTCCAGGAACTTATTTGACTTATTCAGTATAGATGTTTAAACTATTAATTGTGATTGTGTATGTGCTGAAGGGCTGCTACCCATACATATATGAAACGATGTTAAAATGTTTTGGTGTACTATTTATCGAATTATTTGAATATTAGATGTCACTGCCATAAGAATTATACCATGATTAAAGCAATCTATCGTATTATAAAGTGACACTGGTAGATGTCTTGCGCCTACATAAAATCCTGAAATCTGTCATTATAAACAAACACCGACTGTGTGGAAGTCATTAGGTTCTGTGCTATTATTTAGACGTCTCTTGTTCCAATATATTAATAAGACAGTGTTGTAACATGATAACACGTATATCAACATATTTTAGTTGACGCGGTGCCGGAGCTCTCATTTGAATTCTATACTTCCTAGAGTTGTATCATTATCCTCCACACTTGTTCCGAATTAGCATCGCAATATCGTATCCGCACGACAGTAGAGATTTGATGAAGCTAGAACAGCTACTTGAAGAACAGCAGAATATGCAGTGATATGTGAAGCATTGTCGCGATATCATCGAATAGGTCTACGCATCGACAAAACTATACCGTAATCGAGAGGGTTAAAGAGCACGTCAAGTCAGTTTCAACATATAAAAGATGTTCTTTCAAAGCCAAAAGGTTAAACGGATAAACAATCCGGATTTGTTCCGAAAGAGAAATAAACGTGCACATACTTTTACATCTGAAAAGATATCTTTATAGCACAACCCAGAAGAGGGCGGGTAATTTAATAAGCATCAAGGCACGCTCGATTAGTAGAAGTGCTTGCAGTAGCTTAAAGCGGTGCTACATTGAGTAAGACGTATGCAAGCCAACTCCATCTTAAAAAGGTACAATCAAACAAATGAAAAATCACACTTTAAAATCATTTTATTTCGACAGTGTGTATTTATATACAAATGTTATTGCTATTGTACGACAATGTAGCAAAAAGACAGTTAAATGACGTATGCTTAATCAAAAGAAACGGCCCATTTGTCATTGTCGTCAGTGCCCTCAAAAGCAGAGACTTCGTTCTCGCCACCAGCCAAAACAACATCATGAGAGTGAAGGAGCTTGCCAGTTTGAACATGACGAATGATAACAGGTTGGTTTACGCGCCAGAACTAGAGTAATAATGTGTTGTCAGACCTCCCTCTCTCTTCCCCCAATTTCATTGTTCTCCTATACTTACATCATCATATTGCTCATCATCTTCGTCAAATTGAAGAACCTTCCAAACATCGTTCTCATCAGACTCATCATCGTTACCGAAACAGCTGACTTCTTGTTGACCAGAAGCAGGGCTCTCAACCTCATGAGAGTGCAAGTTGGCACGAGTGGGAATGTGCTTGAGACGGATCTCATCCTCGAAGCCGACTTCATATCCGGGCTCCTCGTCAGTCTCGCGAGGAGGAAGGACAATCCAGGTACTTTCATCGCCTAAATTTTGCTCAAAGGCAAAGACCTTTTGTTGTTGAGAACCAGATTCGTAGTGCTCATCACCCTTGGAAGAGAGGAAACGACCAGTTGTAACATGCTTGAGTGAAATATGATCACTTGGGTGGAGATGTTAACTTCATGATTCAAGCTTATATCATGCCACACCGTCGAACTTACCCGAAACGAATAATACCATCTTCTTGAGGACGAGACATTTTTAACTTTTTAAATATGTATGTTATATAGAAAAGAAGAAACAGGATGATGAGCATCTCGAGGCTGTTATTTATATTCATCTCGATTAAAGTTGAGAGGTGTGAATATGCATATGAGTGGAGTTGAAAGCGGCTTCAGGGACCCTTTTTTCCTACGGCTGTCTAGACACTCTAATATTTTATTACATTTTGTAACATAATTATCATTCATAGAACATATGTTGGGAAAGGAAAGGTTGTAGCTACACATCGCATATCATTATGGGCAAAGAATACTGCTTCATATTTGCCTTTTCATGCATGCAATGCATATATTTTAGCGTGTCTTTTGCACCACCTGAATTACGTACGTCTAGCGTTCGTATTGAAATATGTTTGCGCTAAATTTTGGAGCTTGAAAACCACGCATTGCCAATATATATCAAGCTTAGATCTCCGTCAAATGAAACGAATTCTATATTTAAAATCATATGGATAGATCCGTATAGCGTTCAAACGTAATTAAGTGTTACTGACACAACATAATTCCCTGGTTAGAACAACTGATTAAAATACGTGGCAATTTCAATTTCAAGTATTGGTTTAAAAAGTTTATGTGGCTCAAATGTTGAACCGCGTTAAATATCAATTAAAAGCAAGTGCCATGTATCTGTATTCGTGTTAAATGAAAGATATGTGTCTAATTGGAACAGAATCTGTATCATCCTACGTGGCTGGCGTATTCAATAATGTGACTCCATGGCATTATTTTCTTCAAATATGCCATCATAGCAGTAATAGCAGCATCTAGATTTAGTGTGGCGCGTATGTTTAAACATTGCTTCATCTCCGTTCTGCTGATGGTAGTGAATAAAGGGTGCCAAGATTGGCTTTCACAACCAAAAAAAAAAAGGATAAAATATAGATTCTATAACTTTTTTTCATGTAACGTTACTTTTTTATTATTTTATGGCCACAAGATTCCCTATTGTTTTGTTCAACAGCAGGTAGCAAGAAGAAAAAGGGAATATCTCTGGGATAAAACGAAAAAATCATACGACTAATATATGGCGCCGAAAGAAGAGAAAAAAAAAAGCTAAATAAATAAGAAATGTGCTGGTAGTAGTAGTAGTAATAGTAGTAAATTAGATGTAGGTATGATTTTTGAAATTTACAGATATAAGAGAAAAAAGAAACTATGTTACAAGTATGAAAAAAAAAAGAATGTGTTGAGTGATAATAATATAAATGTTAGAATATAGAGTAGTAGTAGTGAATTGAATGATAGAATTGGAGTAAAGGATAGTAGAATATGAATTTAAAGGCTAAGGGTATCATCAGCTTGAGCGATGTAAGATTGGATGTGCTTTTTACATTTGGCTGATAATGATCTTGTATAAGGTGATTCCAAATCGTACATGATTTGGTCGCGGAGCTCAGCAATGTAGATGGAAGCCTGACTTGCAAGCAATGTCTTGCCTTTATCTTGAGCAGCGATAGCCTTTGTAGATGTGGTTTGTTGATGAATGACCAAAGCCTTGAGTGTTCTCAGATGGACTGATAGAGTAGAGAGAATAAGGACACTGGCTTCGTAGTTCTCGCTTGAAGAGAAAGATGAGGTAGATGCAATTTGTTCAATGCATTCGCGAGAGGCACGACGATCCTTAGACGCCTTTTGAAGATAGTGAGGGACTTTATCGGTATTGACATTGGTCTGCAAGGCAGTAGCGGCCTCCAGCAAGTGATAGATCATTGTTTGATGGCGACGCAAAAGGTTGGAAGAAGGATGGCTGACTGCAGGAACCTTGGCTCGGGTGTATTCGGCAAGAGCATCCAGATGTTCTTGCTGATTGCTATGGCTTAATGATTCAAGAGCTAAACCAACACGAACCCACCATTGCAGCATATGACCAGGGGCAGTGGTTGTAGCAGAAACAGAGAGTACTTGAGTAAGTTGCTTCTCGGAGAATATTGGCCTTGTGCCATTTAAATAAGAATACCAGGAATCTTGAAGGTTACCTAGTTGCTGCCAGTAGAGAACCAAATCCAAAGGAGAAGTAACATAAGGGAGCACGAATGAGTAAAAGATATTTCTGCAATTTGCTTCATTCGTGTTACTGGAGCTTATGAATCCGTTTCGAACCTTAAGGATCTGTAAAACTTGTTGAAGGCAATTAGAACTGAGCCATTGATGCGTGATGACTTGTTGTTGTTGGTTATCTGACTCCACAACTTGCTTTTGGTCTTTAATGGCAGTGATCACACGCTTCCAGCAAAAGGGAGTAATGTAGGAGGAGACGCTTTTGGGTAAGCAGAGTTCAAGTTGCATAGCAGTAGTCGCGTACACTCGGGCCATGGTATTAGCTTCACAGTAGATGATATGCTTCTCATCACGTTTCATTTTGTGTAATTGAGCAAGCATACCAACACAAGAATGCAACATACCGAGTCTGGTAATATCAGGATTTGCTGCAGCACACATGAATTAAGTAAGTAAAATCACACCACATCAAACAATAAGCCTACTTACCACCAAGACATTCAACTTCATTCAAGCGAATCCAGGCACCAATGTAAGCCAATTCTTCAGGGCAGCCAACAGGCTTGGCATGTTTATGGAAGATAGCCAGCAAGAAGCGGGGTACAAGCAAGGAGAGACTGTAGCGAATGATGTCGTAAATAGACGTCAGAATGTCTATAGGAGTAGCATTGTTTGTATTGCGCTTGACAATGGACGATTTATTGACAATGGAAATGAGGTTTGTGTAAAGTCGGCTCCAAGCGGTGGGCACCTCATTGGCATAGTGATGGTGATCTAGACATTTTTTGGGTCTGTTGATAGGGCGGGGACGCAGCCATCTGAGAAGGAGTGGAATGAGACAGATGTAGATGATACCAAAGGTATAAAACATATAGCGGATAATTTTCCTGTTTGTGTAATCAAAACCTGTTAAATTTTGAGGCTAAATGTAATCGTGTATGACTCTTACCAATAATCAGCCGAGACAGACGCTGCTGAATGCAAAGACCGGGAATTGGCGGTGGCAATACTTTGGTTATTGTCATGCACATTATAATGGTGAGAGGAAGGCGATGAGCTTGATGTCGTGGGAGAAGAGGCAAAGAAGGCGATGCACATAAAGGCGGCCATAAACATCTTGTTGCCATTGCCGTCTTCACTCGGCGATACTTTCTTGGAGGCAGACTTGCTATTCTTGGATGATTGTCTACGACGATAGGGTCTTCTTTCGGGCTTCGGTAATAGCTGTGCTAAAGCAGCTCTTTGAGCAGCACGCTCACGCAGGATGCGTTGTCGCTCAGTCTTTTCACGTTCTTGGGCTTCTCGTCGTTCTTGAGCCATACGTTCTTGTTCTGATTTCTCAAATTCATTCTTTTGGCACAAGAAGCGAGTGAGGACATCATTTCCACCAGGCATTTGAGCAATGATTTGCTGAAGAATCAGGTTTTCTTGTTCTGTAGAGTCATTTGTATGCTTGAGAAATTGGATATACTCAGTAGCCTTGCGCAAAATAGTTGCTTTGTTGAGCTTTTTAGCGACTTCAACGCCATCGACGATTTCTTCGCTGCCTTCTTCGCCACCAGATTCAGACGAGTCGTCTTCATCTCCTTTTTCTCGGATGCGAGCCTTGTACAGTGCTGGTACGACGTTCTTTAATTCTCGGATGCGGTCGTTGATATTGTTTCTGTATCGCCTTTCAATGGCATTATGAGCAACCTTCTTAAGCTGCTTTCCTGGTTCAGTAAAAGAGCGGCTCGGATCCAGAGCATTGGGAATGGATTGCTGTAATTGCTGGTGTCTGGCGGATGTCTTTCTCCAATGCCTCGTTTCATGCTGACTGCTATCTAATGGGTGAATGCCATTGGGATCTAAGGCAGGTGTCAGTACTGATATTTGTATCTGATTTCAATGATTATCATACCTTTCAGCTGGCCCCATTGATCAATTGCTGAGAATGCGCCTGATAATGGGTTATCTTCTAGAGGAGGTGATGGTAAATTTGTTGAGTTTGGTAAGCTGGGCCCATTTTCAGTGATTGGAGTTGTAGGGATGTTGATTCCAGGTACGTTGTGTAGATGAGATGGAAACATGGGCTTCTTTTGAAAGAAACCAGCAAGTGCTCTACTTGCTTCATCCTTGATCTGTTGATTGAATGCATAGAGAGGAGGACTACTTATCATTTGTGGAGACAATGAATTTGATGTGTATCCGTCTGATGATGACTGTGGCGAACTGATAGGAGACATCTGCATTGGAGATGTGTTGGTTTGTGGTTGTGGTGTCAAATTCCAATCAAAAATGTCAAAGCTCTGCTGTTGCTGATTGTATTGTGGATACAGCTGTCTATTATTATGAGCATTGTTGTCATTCAGTAAGGCATTAATGGATGTAGGTTGGTGCTGAGGATGCTGTTGTTGCTGCTGATCACCATGATATAGAATATCGCGGGGATTTGGTTGCTGTTGAGGCGGTTGTTGATTTGAAGATGCCACATCAAAGTATGTGTCAAAATCCAAATCTGTTAATTCTTGAAGCATATTCTATGAGGAATAGTAATAAAATGTATAAAGTCTGAAGAAAAGGGAAAGAGCAGACTAAACAATAATTTTTATATGTAGAGTGATTTGATTCGAATGGAGAAACTGGGGTAATACACACAACAGGCCACTTTTTTTTTCAAATTATATTAAGCATATGTGTATCTAGTACTTTTGATTGGTAGACAAATCCTCACCTCATTTTCTTTCTGTTTTTTATTATTCTCCTGTCAACGGGTACCTGGAACTCGAAGATATAAAAAGATATTCAAGCATGGAGCAGTAGATGAAACTCACGCCATTTCCATGGTGCAAACTGTGAGATAAACATGTCAACTAAGCATTAATTGAAGAAACTTGATGGTTGAATACTCCTTTTGTTATGGGATTTAAATCAGATGATACCAGCATCTATCTCAGAGAGCTTCAATTGCTCATTTTTCACTATAAATACTATTTTTTTCTATGACAAATCTCCTTTTTTTCTATCATTCTCGTTCCCTTTCACATTCTATATATACATTCAAGATTTTCTCACATTAATTCCAGCAACAACATATCCTTTCAAAAGAATGATCTGATATTTACGTTCCACGAGACGCAAATAAAATATGAGTGGAGGCGATTCTGAAAAAATTATCTCTGAAACATACATAGAGAATCAAGGAGAAGAGGAGTAGGAGAAAGGGGAGCGAGAGCAGTGCTTGATTTTGCCAAGAAATGAAAGGAAAGAAGATCAAGCTGCTTGCTTTGAAGCACATGTTACCAATGGCATTTGAAAGTCTATAGATTTACTACTAACATCAATGCTTCAAGGGCATATGCTACAACAGGTGCAAGACATATTATCTGAGCGGGACATATGATATTCAGGATCAACATTACGGATAATAAATATCAAACTACTAAACTAAAAAAATGTTTTAGAAATGAGTTAGATCACAGACTACCGTGAGCAGTTTCATTTCTAGACTTTCTGCCGTGGGGTAAATGTGTCGTGTTTCATACATTGCAAATTATGTCAGTGTAAAAAGTACCCAGTTCATCATTTAGTACTCGGTGCTTACAGTAATTACAAAGAAAAAGAATGTTCTTTAATCAAAAATAACCTTTTGCCGACGAGATGGAAACAGTAAAATGGCAATTAAATTAGCTAATGGCTTATTAGGAAAGGATATAATATATGTGTCTTTGTTCGTCCGTTCGCTCGCTCGCTGTTTTCGCTGCACAATGGTCCTTTTTGTCGCAATGTACAAGAATTCGGATTGTTGACACAAATGTAGTACACAATAAGTCTAAAAGTATTAGGCCGGGAACGCTCTTGATTTTATTCAATTTAGAACAAATGAACTCGATTGCTCATTATAGAGATACCAGCTTAAAAAGGGTCATGTCATATGCGCGCTCAGTATTGCAATTCGCTATCATGTACAAAGGAGATTTCCATGATTATTGATGCTTCTTGTAAAAACCTATCGCCAGGATATAGCTTCATTTTGTCAGCAATGACTCGATGAAATTGCTCTTGATACAGCCTCAACAAATGTGCGCATGCAAGCGAATCTTGTGATACTCTCAGCATGGAAGAATCCTTTTGTGTTACACTTTTGTTGAAATTTACAATTCTGAGTGTAGCACGTTTCTCCCCAATAGATTCTTTACTTGCTCCAATGCGATAGATGATTGGTACAAAAGAGGAGGCTGATGCCATCCTTCTTATACAAGGTTTTCCATAAAACTGTTCTTTCAGCTACATTCAAGAATTTTTCGTGAATATAGTTTGAGCGTTTACCGCAGTTTATACGAGCGGGTTTTGAGAGATGCACAATATCGAAAAACAGCTTGCTATCGAGATTTACTTTGCTCAAAGAGGCAGTATAGCCATTTAATGAGAGACAGTTTGACAGCTGCGCCCAATTAACATGGATCAAGTCCGCCTCCTTTGCTGATGTGATGGGTATCGTATAACCAGCCCATTGAAGTTACTCTGAACAAAAGAATGCGTCGTATTCAGACATCATACGTTTTTGATTTTATCGTACGTACGCGGTATTGTCTCTACTGCGAAATTGGATCGCTATCAGATGATCTTCAATTACTCAGCAATCAATTTCGTACATGAACATGCATATGCTTATTGAAAATCTGCTTTGCAGGTTAGCCTTACGAAGGTTTACATACAATGTGCCGTATGCCATTCAGAGTAGGATGACAATTTCACGTCTCGCAATTTAGGATTCACGTTTAGATAAGCAATTCACAGCGATTATTCTATTAGATACAAAGATACACAGTATGAGCAGTGTGAAGTGTTCAGAATTAGCTCAAGTGCTTTTTGAGTCCTAGCCTCCTTTGTACAGAGCCTCAAAAGCTTCAACTGCCTTTATAGTGAGCTAATTTTCAATCTGGCCAGCTGTAATCGTTCCAACTCCATGTGACATTTTTTATCCTTTGTTTGTTAATTTTTGATTAAATTTCGAATTGCTCAATCTGTTTTGCCTGGAGTCTCTTTTGCGCCGCTGGTGGATCAATTTTGTCTGCACGATGGCCAACCCCTTGGAAATGCTCAGGCTTCGGCCAAAACATTTCGTCTGTCTGTGCTGTCGTCGATGGAACAACCCTTGGTCTTGCAGAATATCTCTGCTTCTCATTGGAAATTATTTTGGTCCCTGTCTCTTATCTACATTCAACGTAATGTGATATACCGGCTCATCACAGGCTGTATCCCTTCTCGAAGCAGATTACACTACATGATGCCTGGAGTCTTCGAGTCTCACAATTGTCCTGTCTGCTTGTCTCCCAATGAAAACTGCCAGCTACCTGCTCTTTGACTGTCCATCCAAAGAAAAGGTATGGCAAGGCGTCATTTTTGAATTCCTATGGCCCACCACGTCCATCACTGACATCAAAGAGGCTCTTTTGTCCCTGGACTTTTCGGATATCTGGTACTCCCAAGTCAAGGGCATCCGTCCATACAGAGTCCTACTCATCACCCTGTCTCCAATATGGCTAGCCCATATGCGCTTTGTTTTTGACAACATCATCCTTGTCCCTGAGGCGATTCTGGTGAATATCCGCTCCACTGTTCGCCAGACAGTGGATGAGGATCAAATCCATTCCCTCTTGTAGTTTAGATAGTTTCGAAAGTTCTGTTTAGGTTAGTTTAGTTAATATTTTACCTTCTTTTTATTATTTTCTTTTCACTTGCACCCGCCTCTTCACTTCGACCCATTACTCCTAGTGTACGCGGCTCAATCAATAAACAAAATATAACAAAAAAAACTGTTTTGCAAGATTCGACTGTATAAATTGTGATAATTGTGCCATACTTCCTTAATCTTTCCTAGAGTGCTTCCCAAGGCGCATCTAATGGTGCTAACTATAATCAGCGTCTATAGTAAACTTAATGAGCAATACCTGAAAATATGAAATGAGGTTTTTGCCGAAAATGTTGAGATTTTCAAACTAAAGGCCTTACAAACAAAATTTCAGGGGCTGCATTGGATTGAGAGAAACATTTGGAATTAATATATGCCATAGTAAAAGTCTCCATTTTTGTGGTCAAAAGCGCGATCGTTTGATTTTCAATGAAAAGCATGAGGGGTTCCTCATGCTTTTTGGTGAATTTTTGGCCATGTTTGTTTTGGTCCCAAAAAGTTGAGCAGCGGTGTCAGAAAGTAACTGCCCGATGAGAGCAACTGTTTGGTGCTATTCTGACCATCTAAAACGACCTTGAACGCGAGAAAACGCGGCTCAAATGCACTCAGTTTTCGCTGTATTAGGCACACTGTCGACTAGAAAGAGGGCAATACCAGTATGCTGCTTGCCTATATATGAAGTATCTACGTGTATACAGATGTAGAGCATCACATAAGAGTCAGATCCGCAGATAATAAAGAGAACTCTCATGTGCAAGTGGAGGGTTAAAATGAAAGTAGCAGAATTTTGATAAAATGAGCTGCGCAATTTGGTTCTTACCAAAGCGAAGCGAAGGTAGAGAGCCATCTGAAGCATAGATACACTCGTTGGTATAAACCAAACTCTCAGGGCTCTTGCTTCGTACGAAATGCCTGACCCCTATTACCAATACACGTAAATGCAGTGATCTAGATTCAAACCTATACTGTGCTGCCTACATGTATGTTATGAGGTCGAGAAAGTTCTGAAAAATTGAATAGAGATGAATACGCATCTGCATTCAAAGCAAGGTGGATGCGTATCAAAACATGTGTGTTAATTAACGAAAATAAGACTGTGAATGGCTCTCTTTAGTGGATCTACTGTATGCAATGCTTTGTGGATCTTTGCTTGACCTGTCAGGAAACATAACAAAAGACAACGCTGGAGGTTGCAGCTTTGTTGTTTTGTTACAGCATTACAATAAGCAACTGCCAAATGTTTTTTTTTAGACTTTAGACAAATATGTGCTCCTTTTCTTTCTCTCTCATTACACACATCTGAATCAGCTTTTTCTTTTTTTTTTACATCCCCTTGAATTTCTCCTCCACCCCCTCTACCTCCTGGATCCTGCTCGCATGTTCTCCTCTTTTGTTCCTCTGCAATGACTATATTAGTGTATATATGTGAGAGTTTATTACTTGATATGAATGACAATGTGTATTTTATAAAATGGCAATGAAACAGGTTTGTAATTATGTAACATCACCACTGCTTGCTGGTGTTGCTCATGTTGATGACCTGATGTTCCGTTGCTGCTGTTGCACCTGCTGCAGTAACATGCTTGTCACCCTCAGAAGCAGCAGCATTGACTTTTTCTTCCTGAAGGTTAGGATAGCTCTTATTGTAAGGGGTTCCAAACCCATCCTCATCATCTTCTTCACCGTCCATGCCAGCGTCATTTAAATTGACTTGAGGATCATACATTTCAATCTTGATACGTTGTTGCTGTGTATCGCAAGTGTAATAGTTTTGATTCTTCTCATTTGACAACACACCAGCATTATCAATCAATGTATTTGAAGGAGAGAGAGCCCCAGTGTTTGGTAGAGGTGGATGATTTAATTGCTGTTGAAATTCACCTGCAACAAGACTAGGGCTAAATGCAAGCTGAGGAGAGTATTGTAATTTAAGCATAGATAGCGAAGGTTTGTCCACCAATGTATCTGCAGTTAGTCGTTTTTGTCGAACTGGTGTTTTTCCTGTTGTTGTCATGCTGTAGGCAGGAGGAGGCTGTAGCATGTGAACGGATGTCTTCTCTTCTCCCGACATGGTAGTAGCAGTACCAGCGCCAACACCAGCACAGGTATTGATTGTGCTCAGGCTGGCCCAGCTTGAGTGCTTGTTGGCTGTAATGGGCTTGGGATAACGAGGATTGCGATGACCGTTAGGTACCACTGATCTGGATGATAATTTGTATCTGCGGCGACGTACAAAAAAGATGATTGCAACGATAATGACCCCCATTGCACCAGAAACGCCCAAAAGGGGAGCTAGCCAAGGTGCATTATTGCCATTATCTGATATCGATGCTGATTTATCATTATCAAACGAGCTATCGTATGGTGGAGGGTTAATGGATGGAGGTAACATGGCAATGCTTGGGTACGGCATTGAGGAGGATGTTGAAGCAAATGAACTGTAGCCTTTCGAATGCTGAACATGAGTAGGTATCATCGAAGCAGTCTGGATCACTCTAAATGATCTAGTGGCAGTAGGAGTGGCAAAGACTAACTTTTGCTTTGTGTTCATAGTTACTTTATGAGCGGTAGAAGAAGTGGCTAGTGCGACATGGGCAGCTTGTGGTGGTATGTAAAAGGCATGTACTGGCAGATGTCCACCTGAAGTGTCAGATTGAAGATGGGACATTGTGTTGAGAGAAGGGACAAAAGGGAAAAAAGCGAGAGCCAATGCAGTTTGTCTTTATATATGTTATTCGATTCGTAGTTGCATATCATGCATGTCTCTTGGTGTTCTTACTACTCATCAGGGCATCCAAGGTTCGTTTCTCTCCTTTTGTCCCCAAATGCATGAGTCGCTCTCAGGTCGCTTCCATCAAGTGTTTCAATACCAGATAGATTGCCGCATCGCTCCAAAAAGAGAGGTACACACACACACAACACACACAAATGAATGCATTTTCCGCCCCCTTCTCTTTTTATACCTGATACACTCGCAAAAGCAAGACAACAAATATGAATATACCACAAGAAGAGATGCACGACGATACAAAGCACGAAGGACAAGAACCAGTGAATCAAGATGAATGCTACGACGTTACTGCTGCTGCTGCGACTCGTGCTGTAGCCTCTGCTTCTCCACCCACTCTTGCACTGAATCAAACAACAGAAACCATGTTGATTACTCCTTTGAATATACACAATTTGCCTGCCAATATATTGCAGCACCTGCAACAGCAAAATCTAGGCAATGTCATTACCACGTTTGCCACAGCAACCCATCACTCTTCTGACGAAAAGATACCTACTACACTGATACCATCCAATACCACCACCACAGCTACAGCAAGCAGTTTACTCGATGCAAATGATAAATCAACCAACAAAAACTTGACGGCAGATGAGAGAAGACAGCGTCGTTTGTGGAGAAATAGAGTAGCAGCCAAAGAATGTCGCAAGAAAAAGAAGCAGTACGTCCATGAACTAGAGGAAACTATTACGAGATTAGAAAGTGAGAATTCGGCGTTACGCAAACAAGTGGAAAATATCAAGATCAAAGTGGCTAAGAAAGATCAAGAACAGCAGCCCTCGCCCTTGGATAACTTTAAGCTGATGAAGCAGGTTGAAGAGTTAAATGCTAAACTAGGAAATATTTAGTATCAATAAACTTGCAAAGCCCATCTCAAATAAACACAATCGTATTTTTTCTTTAAAGGGCTTAGAAAAGTTTTTCATCCTTTTGAGCTACATTGTGTAGGGCTTGTTATCTTGTTGGGGGTTATTGTTATTGTTGTATTACACTATTAGTTTATATATATATATATATGCTGCTATTTATACCACGGACCTCCGTCTGAAAATACTCGAAACAAAAAAGATATAAAAGAAAGACCCTTCAAATCAAATGTTCATTTCATCATTCTCTTTTTTTTTCCCATCTTTTGGTTTCCCATAAAAAAAAAAAAAAACATGTTGCGTTCACCAAAATTCGTATGGGCTACATGCCTAATCACACTTGCCTTGACCATGTTTCTTGTCATCTACACATCCTCTCAGACCATGAGTGTTCAACTACGATTTAATATAAGCCCAACGAAACCAGCTACAACAGCACCTACCACAGCAACAATTGAAAGTGTGGGGGGAAAAGAAGAAAAATACATTACATTCTTGCCTCATTCTGGCCTTCATAACCAACGCATCGGTCTTATCAATGCCATGATCTTGGCCAAAGCACTTGATCGCACACTGCTCTTGCCTGACATCAACATTGGCACTGCGGTGTGGTGGAGAGCAACCCCAACTGCTGAATTCCGTCTGGCCGAGTGCCCTTCCATCAAGCAGAGATCAAACTCCATCTGCAAGGACTTCACCAAATACGTGCCCGTTTCAGTTGAATCTATTTTTGATCTATCTGCCATTCATGCTGCCGGTGTTCGCACCATTCAACGTTCCAGCATGTCGACCCGCTATTTTGAAGAGGCATTGGGTGCTTCCGAACAAGACGTATTCCGCCTGGATGACAATGCTCGCTACTCTTACCGTATCTACGACTCCAAGGACAATCAAGATGATATTCGCACATTTGGCTATCGTGTAGACATGGAAGACTTGCGCCAAAGAGATGAAAAAGTCATGGTATTTGGCTCTTTGCATTACACATTACGTCTCGCACTTCAAGATCCTTATCTGTTGTGGTTAGCTCAGCATTTGAGAGAGGAAATCAGTATCGCTCATCCTATTGTCGTACGTCAAGCTCTCAGTGTGGTTCCTTTGCTTGGTGGTCCTGAAAACTTTGTTGGCGTCCATTTGAGACAGGGCGATGGTTTCTTCAAGGCGTTGCAAGATGAAACCTTGAATACACTTCGAGCCACATTGGAACAAACCACCTTGGATCAAGCACAGCTGGAGCAAATCAAGTTACAGCAAGAGCTTTTGCAGCCTGTCAATACGCCCCTCTCGCCCATGGACCAAGAACGTATTGATGCTCTCAAGGAAATCGATAGCCGCTCTCTCGACAAGACTGATTTGCTCAACCAATGTATCGCATGGCACAGCACAGATAATCATCCCAGATTACGTCTTATCTACATGGCAACTGACACACGCCAGCCTCGTACAACACTAAAAGCACTTTATGACGAGTTTCCGTGTATCTTTACTCTCTCCGATTTTCCACAAGTCATTGAAAGCACATTGACCATGTCTCCTATGCTCACTGGTAACCAAGACATCGATGATGAAATGACTCTGTTAGATGCCAAGGTAGCTCCTCTTTTGTTCCCGATGATTGATGCTGAAATCGCTTCTCATGGCTCGCTGTTTATTGGCACAAGAAAGAGCACCTTTTCTCAATACATCAACCACCGATACAACCGTTTCCAAAAGATGTATCACTATTAGACAATAATGTCCTCATACCATTTATTCTATACATATATATTTACATAACACACACAAACACGCATCTGTAATATTCCTCACTTATATATATATATATATATACACCCACCCCATTCATTTTCATATCATTCATCTTTAACAAGATGGAAACATTTCACCTTTTTAGACTGTGTGCTACACATTGGTTTAATAGGCCAAGCTTTTCTATTAATACATTTATACATTTCACTTGTACAGCAAATAAAATATCCGCCTATAAAGGTAGCATGTATCAAAACAACAAAACCTTACAAGCTCAAAATGAATATACAATGATAACATGATGGTCATTTGGCTGATGATGATGATATGGATCAAATGGCTCTTTCCGCTGTGTAACTGCATTTTATTTATAAACAAAATTGCCTCGCAAAGGCTATTTTGCTTTGGTTGGTGTAACTGAGAGGCAATAACAACCGTCTTTACTTATTCGACATGTTTTTGATTTATTTTAAAAGTAAAGCAGTTCGTCTTCGGATGACTAAAAAATCAAGGGAAAAAACTGTTAGTACAGTGTGCTGAACAAAACTAAAAATATCCTGTATAAATATACACATTACATCTTCCTCATAATTACTAGGAAAAAAAAAATGCATGTTTAGCCATCATCAGTAAAGCAAACATTCAATGCAAAAATAGCCTTACGTTTCACCCAATGTCCCTTGAAGATCTCGAACCTGGTTTTTAAGCTCATTCTTCATGGATATCAAGTATCGGATATGGTCTACAGCTAATGACATGGATATGATGGGTCAGTATATAGATCGCCATGCCGGCGCGCTAAAATGTTTAGCGTCGTCTTACATTTTTGTAGTATCAATGCCTCACTTCGATTGCCGTGGTTTAAGGAGGGCACAATATCAATAAGCTGATCAAATCCAATTCTAATGTTTTGTCTTCGTTTTTGTTCAGATGCAATATGGTTGGCTTTTTTCTGTGATTCACTGAGCAATTCATGTGGCTGCTTACGATGCCTACGCTCTTTTACGGGCGATGCGGATGATGTTGTGCTGGAAGAAGAAGGTTCGTGCTTGATGCTATGTTGCGGATGGTGGTACGGATGTGCAGTGTCAGGACTTTTTCTTTTGGACTTTTGTGATTTGTTGAATTGCTGATCCCAAGCTGCCAAATCAATTGGTGTGGGTGGTGGTGGTGGAAACTGGTAGCTTGAAGTTGGCGTGGATTGTGATGATGCATAATAATGATGATCTGCGCCTACAGCATAGGAAGAGATGGGATGATGTGGGAACGATGCCAATGCCGATGGAGGTGGTGCTGGAGGATAGTAAGAAGATGACGATGAAACATGGTGAGTTGCACTCATCGACGCTGAGGTTGGAGGGTATGGGTATACATGGCTTGGCACTGTTACTAGTGGCATGCTTCAGTCAAGGGCTTAACGTATAGTCTCTGCGCGCAATTTACCTTCAGTTGGCCTAAATTGACACTCCTTGGTAGGTGATGAGGAAGGAGATGGTCTCATAGAATATTCAGGAGCCTTGCTCTTGCTTTTACTGCTCTTACTGTTATTGACATCATTCTTGCTCATTTTTCATGGTAATAAGCATCAAGAATGAATTGGCAGAATGAGCCGAGATAAATCTTCTTTTTATATAAAAGTTGTACATGTTACATTCAACGCATAGTTCAACTCATTGTACAAACAATTGAAGTCTATTATCACATGCAAATTTGTTATAATTCAAAATTTCACGTGAGTAGCCGTCTAATGAATGAGGATTTGCATGCGACATACACAACGAAACAATTCAAAAAGCTTCTTGTTGCTTGAAAGTGCTATAGGTGAGAAGGAAATCAAGAAATCAGAGACAGAAACACGTTTTGTCACATGTGCTTTGACCCATTTGCCATGCTGCAAAATCAAGAAACTCTTGTACATAACATACAAACAAACAGCACCTCTATTTATTACATTTATGCAAAGCGTCAGTCTTTATTTCATACATGCCCAAGTGAGATGAATTGCTAGTGTTCGTACTGGATACAATAACATGGTAATCAGGCATGTCTCTCAGCTTCTTTTCCACATCAACAAAGCAAACAACGTGGCATTTGTTACACAGATTCGAAAATGATGATTCCTGAAATGTCTTGTTTATAGTTATCTATCATGGCAGTTATTAGATCAACCTGGAATACGATGAGAAAATGGCATGTCGATTACTAACCCGATATGCCAGATGGAATCTATTAAATGGAATTAAACGACCTTGATGGCTGTTTCCTGAGATGGTGTGCAAGTCAATCATGATCCTTGGCAAGTGATGATGAACGATTCCTGTGAATTCGACATGAAATCCCATAACCTTGTTCTTCCCCAAAAAAAATAGGCGTTTTTGATGTATTATTCCATTGCGTAATTTAATTTAAATTGCTTGGTGTTGTACATTCCATTTTATGGTGTAAACTGAATTACACAAAGTGCCTTTTTCTGTAACGCATTACACTTTTTCTGTTTTCATTGCTAATGTTAATTAATTAGCATGATTAATGCGCTCTTATTTACGGTTATCAATCCGTGGAGACATCACTAGCAGCTCTCTGATCCGGGTATTTGGTCATTATTACCTCTTGTGATTACTTTGTTCGAAATTACTTGGATCAAGACACATCATTTATACGCTGAAATGCATTGCACATATAATTCATCCACACAGCTTGAAATTATGAGACATTAATATGTCTTGTATTACAAATGCATATATTTTCGAACAAGGGATATAATGACAAAGTATGTGTACTTGAGAGGGTAATAAACAACTATTTTTTTTTTTTTTTTTTTTTTTTTACATGAAAGATGCCTTACTCACTGGACCCACAGCAAAACGTCAGTATAAGCTTTTCACAATTTAGGACACACTTACGCAAAAATAAAGAGGTTATTGGTGGCAGCTACAGCAATGATATTATCTCGTGGATGCCATGATGCGTGCAATATCTTTTTGCCAAAATCAACAGGATCTACATCTTCTCTCTTGCCATTACGACCCAAGGTCAGCTTATTCTTTGCAGATCCTAATCGTTTTGCTTTGAAGGCGCTTTTATCAGCTTGAAGTGGAATTTCGTCTCGTGTCTCGCGGCTGTATATAGAAAAGTTGTTGCTATACGAGCCTGTCATGACGCTTCTGTTGAGATGCTTGAGTACACTTATCAACACATGTACTATTGAAAAAGAACTTACTCTCCATCCCCACTGAACATGCACTCAAATTTGTCGAAAATGCAATCGTTTTCATACAAATCACACAAATTGCTTCGTAGATTGTCATTGATATTGATTGTTTGCACAGGCTTACTCTCCATGTTAATGTCCCAGATCTTCAGTGTCAAGTAATCTCGAGCCAAAATGTATCGACCATCAGGGCTGAATTTGACATCAGAGATGGATGAGATGATTTCGGAAAAGAAGGATCGATTGCTGGGATCTTCATATGCCTCGAATACTATAGTATACAGGTAGTAGAAAGCCGCATTAGACTCGATGATAACCTGTTTGATTTACATACCTTTGGCATTTTGGTCGCATAAGGCAGACTCTCTCATATCGGCCAATTTGACTGTTCCTTTACTGCTGCTGTACATGAGCAGATTGCATTGCTGAGGATGGAACTCGGCAGCAGTAATCACCTCTGTCAGCTCTTCCATGTTTGCAGGCTTGATATCGACAATGTCTAGTTGCTATGTATTAGGATCTCTCTCCCCATGCTCCTCCTGCTGATACTTTACTAAAGCTCTGTTCTGAAATATCCAGATTCCATAGGTTAATTCTCAGATCATCAGCAGACAGGTACGTCTCACTATCCGAGTTCACTGAGATTGAATTGATGTGGTACGCATGAGCTTTGAATGCAACATATGGTGCCCGTTAGCTTTCCATTTGGTTACTAATGATGTTTTGAGTGTTACCGTTGACATATATTCTTCTGGGTATAGCAGCAACAATGCTGTCCTGATGCGAGATCTTTGGTATAAATAACCCGTTTCTGGCTGTGACATTGTTGTCGTATTCTTGAGCAACTCTGATGTTTCTTTCAAACACCTTCCACAGTTTGATGGTTTTGTCTGTATGTGCCAACAAACATGGGATTAGTTGTCGCTTCATGGTTGATAGTATAACAAATTTAGGTACCGTTAGTAGACAGCAGGAAATGAGCAGAGTTCGTTCTTCTACACCATTTGATTTTGTTAATCTTCTCCTCAATCTCCAGACTCTTTAGATAATCAAATTCAGGTTCATGAGACTGAAATTCTGTGTGGAACCTGTATTCGCAGCCTTTCTTCTACAAGTGTGATTTAGCACATCTCTCTCCCATTATCCAAATGTTGACATTTACTCCATCATTTCTCTCAAACAAGACAACTCTTCCACCCTTGTCACCAGTCGCCAGGTAGTCGCCCGTGTGATCAAACTCAACAGATGAAATAATATCAGCTAACAAAGAAATAGAACAAATAAATATAAACAGCACTCTTCTCACATCTACATCCATTTACCTTCTGTGATATCATCTGAATCTCCCTTGTCACCGAAGCATTGCGCAAATTTCCAGCGCTTTTCATCTTCATTCATTGCAGACATTGTATGTTGAACTGAAATTTCGATAATAAAAGAAAGAAAGAAGCCAAGAAAGAAAGGGGTGGGGGCTTTTATTAATCACCAACAACATCAGGTTGTGTAAATTCAAGGAACCGCGTTGGCAGCAAACTCTAAACCTGTGACTTCTGGGACCTAAAATACATGACAAAGAGGATGGTGGAGATGCTGGATGGATGTATGCCACTGATAAAGGCAATACCAAGAGGCTGCTACAATTGAAAGTGCATTTCATTGAAATTTCGCTCAGACATCTCTCGCTGCTGGCTTCTCTTTCGGTCGGCTTGCGATCCCAACTGGCTGCGATGTTTGTCAGTCATTGTTCATTGCAGCAGCAATCGTCTGTGTATATGATTTCATGTATTGTACCTGTGACCAAATGACCGAAATAGGTTTGCGGCCAAGTAGACCCGAGGACGGATCAACCTCGTGGTTTGAAAAAAGAAGCAAAATCACAATATTGAATGATTGAATGATTGAATGATTGAATTAGCATCTTATACAGTCAGACTTATGGAAGTTGGCGTTTTCGCGTCATTTTCGTAAAAATAATTGGCTGAATGACAAAAATAAATGAAAAATAAATGCCATAAGCTCAATTTTCTTTGTCATTTTGATTAACAGAAGGCTGCAAAAAAGCATTTCAGTTTATATGAGGAGACTACAAAAAACATGCTAGCTTGAAGGAAGAGACTACAAAAAAACATGCCAGTTTACGGCGACAGCCCGCAGGGCGACACCGCCATCGAGCGTAGCGATATAGATCGGCTAGTAAGTAAATACAGGGCTTGGGTAAGGCCTATAGCGACTTTTCTGAGATATTGTCATTGCAAAAAACACCTTCATGAGGCAAAGCTCCCCCAAAAAAAACCGTATTTGGGCTAAGCAATTGTCCTTTCAATTCCATGATCCCCATTTAATCCGCATCGCAATCATCATTGTCATCAACCGAAAGGCATTTAGGTCAGCCAGCAGCAAGCCGCCGCCAAAATCGATTGAAACTCAGTTTGTCTTTTCTGTTCAGGATTGGACAGATTTCGTAGTTTTTCGACTTCTTTAATTTATTTCGTGGTGTTCGACTATATAAACTGTAATGATTACCCTACACTTTCTAATACAGTGCCCCTGGTGGTAGGGCGAAGTGGTAGAACTCCCGTATGCCAACGGAAGGATCCCCGGTTCAAATCCTGGTGAACGCAAGTAGTTTGATTTTTTGACGTAGTACTGATGTCCTCGTTTGGTGTTTTGTACTCTTATCCATGATCTATATTTTGACGATTTCCGCAAGACTGTATTGGCTCTAGGAGTCGCACCTTATTAGTAGTAGATTTCTTTCCCAACTTAGTTCAAAAATATCTTATTCCCCTTCATTGCAGACATTGGGTCCACCAACAGTCTTTTCTATCCCTCAGTATGACATTTAAAGGACTTTAAATAAAACCTGGAGCTCGACTCCCTTACAAAAAAAAAACACTTTCTAATACATTCTTGAAGTACTCTTCAAGACGCTTCCAATGGTGTTAATTGCAATAGGTGTTTTGACCAAACTTACTAAGCAATTTAATAAAATTTGAAATGAGGTTTTTAGCGAAAATAGCCATATTTTGCATATGAACACCTCATAAAAGTGGTTTTAGGGGTTGCTTTGGATCGAGAGAAACATTTTGATCCAATATCATAACATAATAAATGTTCAGTACTTTTGCACTTTACAATCCTAATATGGAACCTGAGTTTCAAGGCATCTATCAGACCTGGCTCATATCATAACATAATAAATGTTCAGTACTTTTGCACTTTACAATCCTAATATGGAACCTGAGTTTCAAGGCATCTATCAGACCTGGCTCATATCATAACATAATAAATGTTCAGTACTTTTGCACTTTACAATCCTAATATGGAACCTGAGTTTCAAGGCATCTATCAGACCTGGCTCATATCATAACATAATAAATGTTCAGTACTTTTGCACTTTACAATCCTAATATGGAACCTGAGTTTCAAGGCATCTATCAGACCTGGCTCATATCATAACATAATAAATGTTCAGTACTTTTGCACTTTACAATCCTAATATGGAACCTGAGTTTCAAGGCATCTATCAGACCTGGCTCATATCATAACATAATAAATGTTCAGTACTTTTGCACTTTACAATCCTAATATGGAACCTGAGTTTCAAGGCATCTATCAGACCTGGCTCATATGAGAATAATGATTTTACAATCAATCAACAAAAACCACTGTAATTTCTACCCTCTTTCCTCTGCTCAGTGCTGTCAATGTTTTATTTGAGCGACGTCTCAGAGCCTCAGAGATTTCATTACTTACTACAGACATTTTATGCAACCCATGCATTGTCAATGTCCAGACTAACGTTATTAAATATAGAATGCAATAAAATGTCATTATGAACGATATAGAAGGCAATAAAATATCATTGTAAACGATAGTGCTATGACCTTCCACCTACTTTCTATACGCTTCAAGGGCATTTACTACTGTATTGCCTTATGAAAAGGGCATGAGTTTTCCAGCTGGCCCTACCAACCAAAATTAATTCAAACCCAGAATCATAATCTGTTCTAGATTGGACAAATTTTGATGATTCTGGACTCGATCGAGCTATTTTTGCAGATTCGACTAAGTGAAGTATAATAATCACCCCATGCTTCCTTAAACTTTCCTGGAGTACTTTTCAAGGCGCTTCCAATGGTACTAAGTAAAATAGATGTTTTGAATTCACTTATTGAATGATTTGTAAAAATATGAAAAGAGATTTATGGCCAAAATGTCGAAATTTTACATATCAAAGTCCCACAAAGATAATTTCAGAGGTTGCTTTGGATTGATAGAAACATTTTGATTCAAGATATACCATAGTAAAAGTCTCCATTATCAAGATGAAAAATGCGATCGTTTGATTTTCGATGAAAACCATGAGGGATACCTCATGCTTTTTGGTCGATTTTTGACCATGTTTTTTTTGGTCCCCAAAAAGTCGAGCAAAAGTGTCAGAAAGTAACTGCCAGATGAAAGCAACCATTTGGGGCTATTCTGACGATCTAAAACGGCCTTGAACGCAAGAAAATTCAGCTCAAATGCGCTCATACTTTGCTGTATTAGGGACACTAAGGACTAAAAAGTGGGAATACCAGTATGCTGCTTGCCCGTATATGAAGTAACTACGTTTATATGGATGTAAAGCATCACATAAGAATCAGATCCACAGATAATATAAAGGGTTATTATGTGTAGGTGGAGGGTCAAAATGAAAGTAGCAGTATTTTGATAAAATACGCAAGAGCAATCAGTAGCACGAGCTGCCGCTGCGCAGGTTGGTTCTCTACCTTCGCTACGCTTCGGTGAGAACCATCCGAAGCATAAACACTCATATGATTAGTGATTATATATCAATCAACAATCAGGGTTCCTCTTCTAACATTTTAGCTATATTAATTTTGGGATATTAGCCAAAGGCCCGCGGCAGCGCGAGCCGTTTGAACGTAGGTTGGTTTCCACCGAAGCGAAGCGTAGGTCAGGAAACCACCCGAAGTGCTGAAAGGCTCGTATGCCATAGTAAAAGTCTTCATTTCCAAGGTAAAAAACGCGATCGTTTGATTTTCGTTAAAAAGCATGAGGGGTACCTCATGTTTTTTGGTCAATTTTTGGCCATGTTTTTTTTTTGGCCCAAAAAGTTGAGCAAAGGTGTCAAAATGTTCCTACTACTCGAGAACAATTGTTTGACGTTATTCCGGTGGCTCATAAAGGTCTACATATCAAGATATAAAGGCTTGAAAACTGCCAAATTTGGCTATGCATTGCTTTATGGCTTTTATTTACATGACATGAATCACACCTTTGGTAGCTGAAGTCTTGTGGAAGGGCAGTTTTGCTGCCTATGCAACTTCTAATTCGAACAGGAGGCATTATATTGATTTCGGTAAGACTAATTCATGCAAATTTTGATATGTTATGTTGTTGGTAAGCTTGATAATAATGGAAATGAATAACCGAATTTGCTGCTTGAATACTATGGTTTTGCACCTTCGCTTTGCTACTATAAAGCCCTCATTAAGATTAATATTACCAAATGTTAGATTAGATGCTTAGTTGCCATCGAGATATAAATCAATCGCTCAACGGTTCAACCAAACTAAAACTGGTAAAACTTGCTGGAAGATTATTTCATCCATCTCGTCCAGTAGCATCCCGAGTAGCAACTGTTCTTTTTTGCTGCGGCAGCTCGTTTATGCTAATTGCTAGTTTTTACCGCAGCAAAATTCAAGTTTAATAAAAGGAAATCATTTTATTGTCGATTGTGCAAGTTCCAACATTCACTTTAACAAGTAACATGGCCTCCCAACAATTTAACAATTATTTGAATCAATTCAAGATAAAACTAGATGAAGATTCATTAGAGTATATTAGCGGCATGCTTGGCGATATGACACTCACCGATCACGACGAAGTACGCGAATCCACCGAGACATTTCTCATCGATGCCAACATCAATGACAAGGCGAGAAATGATTTCTATAAAGCTTTGTTTTCTAGCGAAGCATTCAAGGGTACATCATCTAGCAGCGCATCTATCAGCGGCCCGGTCTTGATCAACAGCAGCAGCAGCAAGAAGGACTCAAAACCAGACGAGAAGGTACTATTGCAAGGTCAATTACATCAGATCTGACATCTAACCCATTGTGCAATGACGCGTAGAAGAGTGAAGCAGAGGATGAAGACCAAGACAAGCAGACCACTGCAAGAAAACGAGTTACTGGAGCCAAACGCGTGGGGAAACGTGGGGTGCGTGGTAAACAGGCAGCAGCAGTGACATCCGAAGATGATGAGCCCGAAATTGTCGCCATCTCACAACAAAGTCGATTCCACACAGAAACATTGGAGACTTCAAACAAGGAACTCGACCTTCCTGGTGTGCAAATCTCAGTGAATCAGTCGGACTTGTTGGTGGATGCTCATTTGAAACTGAAGCCCTTGACTCGCTATGGTTTAGTGGGCCAAAATGGCGTTGGAAAATCAGTCTTGATGAAATGCCTGGCTGATAACATCCTGGTGGGTCTGCCACAAAACTTGAGTATTCTACACATTTCTCAATTGGAAGATTTTGACGAAAATACAACTGTTGTTCAAGAAGTCTTGAGTGCAGATCCAAAGGCCACTATCGCTATGCGAGAATATGAAGGTATACCCTCATCATCTTAAGACAGAGTCCAGTTGTTCATGTATGATATAGCTCTTCGTGCTGTGATCGGTGATGCTGCTCCTACGAAAAAGACTACCAAGGCAAATCAAGAATTAAACAATGTTGTTTTCGGCATTATGCGATCCAGAATCAAAGACAGATTCGACGACGCTACACGATTAGCCACCAAGCGCTCTGGTTTAAGAGGTCGTGAAGCTCGTAAAGAACAGGTCAAGTTGGAGAAAGAGTACAACGATTTCTGCAAGCAAGATCCTCAGAAATATGTCACTGACGACATGGTGAATGAAGTCATTGCTCAAGTCTTTGAACGGGTGGAATTAGTGGACGAAGAGGAACGCAAGAATCGTGCGCACAAGCTTCTCAAGGGTCTCGGTTTCAATGAAAAGCAATCTGTCTCATTGATCTCTACCTTCTCTGGTGGCTGGCGTATGCGTATTGCTCTTGCCAAGAGTCTGTTCATCAAGCCTGATATTTTGCTGCTGGATGAACCCACCAACCATTTAGATTTACCTGCTATTTTGTGGCTGCAAGAATACATTATCAATGACACGAATGACATGATTGTCGTGGTGGTTTCCCATGACCGTGAATTCCTGAATAACGTTACTGATGAAACCATCATCCTCAAGGACAAGCAACTCAAGTACCATCCTGGCAACTATCAAGACTGGGAAGCAAACACTGAAGAGCAACGTACCCGCAAGCAAGCCTTGCTCGATGTAAGTATTGTTATTATGCTGTCATTGGCAAATGATCTGATAGCTCACCTCAATAATGTATACGTAGAATACTGAAAAGAAGCGCAAAAAGATTCAAGCAAGCATCGAGCACAATCTACAAACAGCGAAAGCCACTGGTGATGACAAACGTCATGGTATGGTCAAATCGAGACAAAAGAAATTGGAACGGCTGGGCATGGAAAAGACCGAAGATGGCAAACGTTTCAAGCAGAGCTATCGTGCTGGTTACCACTCGACGATGCGTGTTGAGATTGTGGTGGAGCAAGATGTCAAAACAGCTGCCATCAAGATTCCTGAGCCAAGCCATCTGCGCTACAATGGCCCCGTCTTTCGTATGAGCGATGCGTCATTCAAGTACCAAGATGCTCCCAAAAATGTGATTGAGAAGTTCTCCATCAACATTGAGCCCAATGCCAGGATTGCCTTTATCGGGCCCAACGGATGTGGTAAATCTACGTTACTCAACATGTTAACTGGTAAGACACAGCCGACACAAGGCGAAGTATATCGTCATACTTTGTTAAGAGTGGGCTACTTTTCTCAGCATGTGGTGGACCAACTCGATTTGGATCTCTCGCCTGTGGAATGTATGATGAAGCAATATCCTTCCTTGTCAGAGCATGAGTGCCGTGCTCATTTTGGTACGATTGGCGTTTCTGGTAAAATTGTATTACGCAAGATTCGAACTCTCAGTGGTGGTCAGCGTAATCGTATCGCGTTTGCCATGATTTTGTATGAAAGACCTCATGTCTTGGTTCTGGATGAAATTACCAATCACCTGGACATGGGCACGGTAGATATGCTGGTGGACGCATTAGCTGATTTCTCTGGCGCCTTGGTTGTCGTGAGTCACGATGTCTGGTTCTTGAAGCAAGTACTGGAACCTGAAACGGATGGCAGTGACTCTGAGGAAGAGGAGAAACCTATCCAACGGGAGGTGTATACTATCAAGCAGGGTATTGTTAGCAAGTGGGAAAAGGGCATTGATGCCTATGTAGCCTCTGTATTACGCACAGTTAAAAAGCAGAACAAGATGTTATAGTGGAATGCCAATAAAAGATATAAATCATTCATCCGCCACACTTTTTACTCTGTTAAGGAATTTTTATTGATCCGGGAGGACAGAAGCTTCACCAAGAGTCTGCCAAGAGAGACCCAATGGTTTTGCCCAGAAGCACAAGAAGCTAGATCTCCGTTGTCGCTGCGAGAGGGAGGCTGGAAGAATGATTTAGGTGTGTGAGGATCTTTTTGAGTAACTTCAGGTTAAAGTCCTTTGTATTGCTCGTGTTTTTGATACATTTATACACGTTCTTTGATTAAGTTTTCGGCATTAAAAAATACTAATTTGTATTTGATAAGCAAATATGATTAGAATTATTATCAATAGCAGAAGAGACGGATTTCTGGTACATCTAGCCAATATGCCTTTTTGCTCTGTAGTACATTTCTTGCATTTACTCTACACGCTGGCTCGAATGTCAAGCAAAACAACCTGCGAGATGGATGGGAGACTGTTTGCTCGATAGGTAGAATTATCATCCGGATCACCTCGAAGAGGAAACCTTATCTCTGATAAACAAGCAACAGCGTGCATTGGCAGCATGGCTTGAAGTGACATTTTACAGTGAAGCAAGCAATGCTATTTGGAATCAAAAAAAAAAAAAAAAAAAACGAAATGGCTCATCTTGATGAAAATATCGATCTACTGATGTGTACCAAGACCTAGAGAGCCTCGTTCTCCCAAAATAATGCAACAATCAGGATGAATTTGATGCGGAGAGATCAAGATAATTTAATGAAATGCTGCGAATGTGTTACAATGAAGTCTCCTTTTCAGATTCATTCTTCTAAATTTATCAATTTTGGGATTTTTTGTATATAGTGGCCATCCAGATGTGCTAGTAGACAAATCAAAAGGTTGACAGATAAGCACTCTATCGACACCCAGATCACATGTGGGCTGTATTACTCATCAAAAGACAGGTTTGGTCTATTTTTTATTTAGGCAACGGGTCGGGGTTGTCCGAGTGTATACCGACTCCACGGTGATATGGTCTTTGGCATCAGCTTGCAACATTGCATTCATGGAATGTGAAATAGAAAAAAGCAAGCTGTTACTGTGCTCCCGAACAAATCAGAAACAGCACTCAATCTACTTTTTTATATGTTTGATTCAGATTGCCATGTTCATTATCCAATGATGGAAAGAATTATGACGCAAAAAAAATGAAATGATGAATAATTTTACCGTCTAGAAGAAACAAAACAAACTCTTCTTCAGCACTCGCAGTTACAAAAGTTTATATAAATAATAAACATATTATTGGCAAAATGATTTAGACGGAGCACTTTGAAAAGCAAATGTCGCCTTCACTTGTATACTCCCATCTATGTGGATTTTGCTCTCTTGGATCGTTCTGTCATCATGTCTAGCCGGCGCTTTCAGCTAGAGGTACATGTATATATATTGGCATCCGCCCTTGCAGTGCTTCAATGTAGCATTTCATATTCAAGATAACATTTTCAATGTCAGTGATGTAAGTTGGTACTACTACAAACATAACCATTGAATGGTTTTACCGCATAGACTCTTTTTTTGCATACGGAAGATCAAAAAATGGTAGAATCATTCAGGCCCTTCAAAATTTACCCGAAAATAGAATCCAACATAATGAATCGAAAAAAAGTTATATAAAGAGGTGGTTTGGAATCGCAATAATCACTTTTTTTCTTCTTCTTTTTTCATCATCATAGACTTGCTTTCTGCTTCTTCATCTCTTATTTGCATTGCTTTCTTTCTTACATCACATTTCTCTCACACATCAACCAATCATACTCTAAGTTTATATAATCCAAAATGGATATGCCAGCCTTGCAAGGTATGCCGCAAGAGCGACACAATCGTGATGAAGAATACCAAAACAGAAATCACTACTCTGATGAATCGACCATTGAAGGCGTTCATGGTAAAGAAGAAATCAGCAGCGACAATGAAACATCAACTGCAAACTATCCCAATGGCGGTGCTTTCGGTGAAGCCGAGGGCAATGCTGTCAACATTGAAGAGGCCATGTCTAATTATGAAGAGATCCGCAGAGAATTGACACAGCAATCTCGCATCTCTCGTCGTAAATCAATGACACCTGATCAAGTAGAAAAAGGCGATGTCAAGGATTTCGATCTAACTGACTTTTTGCGTGAACAAACTGAAACCAGCGAATCTCAAGGTTTCCATCCCAAGCATATGGGTGTCGTCTGGAAGAATTTGGTCGTACAAGGTCTCGGTGCTGATGCTAAAACGATTCCTACCAACTGGACCTGGATTCGTGATGCCGTGCAATTCTGGAAATGGGGAAAGCATGAAGGTCATGATTTTACTATCCTCAAGGGAAACGATGGTTTCTGTAAAGACGGTGAAATGCTTCTCGTACTCGGTACCGTATAATCAGTGATCCCATGTATAAACAACATACTAACATTGCTTATTTCTTTCTAGGTCGTCCTGGCGCTGGTTGTATGTGTTTATGGTTGAATGAGTACATGTAAATACAACGAGCTAACATTGATTCTTTTTAGGTACTTCTCTATTGCGTGTGCTTGCCAACATGCGTGCCTCTTACACCAACATTGAAGGCTCCGTCCACTATGGTGGTATTGAAGCTCAAGAGTTTTCCAAGCACTTCCGTGGTGAAGTCTGTTACAACGAAGAAGAAGATCTCCATTACCCTACCTTGACCTGTAAGCAGACCTTGAAGTTTGCTCTCAAGAACAAGACGCCTGGTAAACGTCTCGAAGGTGAATCCAAGGGCGAGTTCATCAACAAGGTTCTCTACATGCTGGGTAACATGCTCGGTCTGACCAAGCAAATGAACACCATGGTCGGTAACGCGTTTGTGCGTGGTCTCTCTGGTGGTGAGCGTAAGCGTCTCTCTATTGCTGAACAAATGACCACTCGTAGTTCCATCAACTGTTGGGATTGTGCTACTCGTGGTTTGGATGCCTCTTCTGCTCTTGATTATGTTCGTTCTCTCCGTATCATGACTGACATCTTGCACAAGACTACCATTTCTACTCTTTACCAAGCTTCTGACAGTATCTTCCATCTCTTTGACAAGGTCATGGTGCTTGATGAAGGTCGTTGTATCTACTTTGGTCCCACTAATGCTGCCAAGAGCTACTTTGAGGAGATGGGTTTCTTCTGTCCTAGCCGTAAATCCACTCCTGATTTCTTGACTGGTCTCTGTAACATGAACGAACGTGAATACCGTGAAGGCTACAAGAACCAAGTGCCTGTCAATTCTGTTCAATTTGAAAAGGCCTACAAGGAATCTGCTCTCTACTCCCAAATGATGCAAGAACGTGATGAATACGAACAAAAGATCAATCAAGATCGTCCCGATGAAAAGTTCCGTCAAGCCTTTGTGGATGCTCACCAAAAGCACGCTCCCAAGCACTCTCCCTTTGTTGCCACTTATTTCAACCAAGTCAAGTCTCTTACTGTCCGCCAATTTGAATTGATTCTTGGTGATAAGGGTGCTCTTGTTTCTCGTTATGGTGGTGTTGTTGTCAAGGGTTTGATTATGGCTTCTGTCTTTTACATGATGCCTCAAAATGCCAGTGGTGCTGTAAGTAAATCTGTCATGTTGCATAGCGTGTTCATAGACTCATAAGTTGGATATAGTTCTCTCGTGGTGGTTCTTTCTTGTTCTCTCTCTTGTTCAATGCTTTGATTGCTCAAGCCGAACTCAGTGCCTTTATGCAGGGCCGACGTGTGTTGGAAAAGCACAAGCATTTCGCTTTGTATCATCCCTCTGCTTTCTATATTGCTACTGTTATTGCTGATGTTCCCTTGGCTTTGATTCAAGTCATTGTCTTTGAACTCTGTGTCTACTTTATGATGGGCCTTGTGCTCGATGCTGGAAAGGTAAGATTTAAGACAATTTGATAACGTACATATATACTCATATTCCCTCTCTAATCTAGTTCTTTACCTTCTTCATCATCCTTGTCGTGACTAATTTGTGTATGAATGGTTTCTTCCGTTTCTGGGGTGCTGTCTCTCCCAACTTCTTCACTGCCTCTCAATTGTCCAGTATCCTCTTGATTGCCTGTCTCGTCTACTGCGGTTATCAAATTCCCTACAACCAAATGCATCCCTGGCTCATGTGGATCTACTGGATCAACCCACTTGCCTATGGTTACAAGGCTTTGATTTCCAACGAATTGCACGGCATGCACTTTACCTGCGAGGGCCCCAATTCTGTTCCTTATGGTCCTTCTTACACCAACACGAATTACCAAACCTGTAACCTTCCTGGCGCTGTTCCTGGTCAAACTTATGTGCTCGGTGATGACTATCTCCACACTGCTTACGGTTATGAGACTTGGCAACGTTGGATCAACTTTGTCGCTGTCTTGCTTTTCTTCTTTTTCTTCACTATTCTTACTGCTCTTGCAATGGAATACGTTGATCTTCAAAAGGAAGGCTCTATCACCAAGGTGTACAAGGCCGGTTGTGCTCCAAAGGAAATCGATGAGACTCAAGCTCTTGAACAAACTGTTACTGAAAACGATGAAAAGATGGAAGCTGTCAATGATGGCACTACCTTCTCATGGCACCATATGGATTATACTGTCCCTATCAAGGGTGGCAAGCTCAAGCTTTTGAATGACATTGGTGGTATCGTGAAGCCAGGACATCTCTGCGCCTTGATGGGTTCCTCTGGTGCTGGTAAAACTACTCTTCTGGATGTGCTGGCCAAGCGTAAGACTATTGGTAAAATTGAAGGCCGCATCTACTTGAATGGTGAGCCTCTCGGTGCTGACTTTGAACGTACTACTGGTTACTGTGAGCAAATGGATGTCCACAATCCCAATGCCACTGTTCGTGAAGCTCTCAAGTTCTCTGCCTATCTTCGTCAACCTGCTGAGGTCCCCAAGGAAGAAAAGGACGCCTATGTTGAACAAATCCTTCGTCTCATGGAAATGGAAAAGATTGCTGATGCTCTTGTTGGTGATCTTGAAGCTGGTATCGGTATTTCTGTAGAAGAACGTAAGCGTCTTACTATTGCCACCGAATTGGTTGGTAAGCCCAAGCTTCTCTTCTTGGATGAACCCACCTCTGGTTTGGATGCTCAATCCTCCTTCAACATCGTCCGTTTCATTCGTAAGCTCGCCGATGCTGGTTGGCCTGTACTCTGTACCATTCATCAACCCTCTGCCACTCTCTTTGAACACTTTGATCATCTTGTCCTCTTGGTCCGTGGTGGTAAAACTGCCTACTGTGGTGAAATTGGTCCTAACTCTCGTACTATGATTGAATACTTTGAATCCAACGGTGGTCCCAAGTGCTCGCCTCAAGCTAACCCTGCTGAATATATTCTCGAATGTGTTGGTGCTGGTACTGCTGGTAAGGCTACCAAGGACTGGTCTGAAGTCTGGACTGCTTCTCCTGAAGCCAAGGCTCTTGACGCTGAACTCGAAGCTATCCATCAAGGCATTGATCCCAACAAGAAGAACCGCAGCACTCCTTACTCTCTCTCTTTTGCTCAACAATTCTGGCTCGTCTACAAGCGTATGAATGTCTCTTGGTGGCGTTGTCCTACCTACAACATGGGTAGATTGTTCAACGTTTGTTTCATTGGCCTTATCTCTGGTTTCTCCTTCTGGAAGCTTGGAACTACTCCTAGCGATTTGCAAAACCGCATGTTCTCTGTATTTACCACCTTGTTGATGTCCAACGCCTTGATTATCTTGGCTCAGCCTCGTTTCATGCAAGAAAGAATGTGGTTCCGAAGAGAGTATGCCTCGAAATATTACGGTTGGGCACCATTTGCTTTGTCTTGTATCCTCGTTGAAATCCCCTACTTGATTGTCTTTTCTGCAATCTTCTTGTTCTGTTTCTACTGGACTGCAGGCCTTCAAAACGTGTCTGATCGTGTAGGCTTCTTCTACATCCACTTTACCGTTTTCTTGTTCTACTCTGTCTCTCTTGGTTTCATGATTGCCGCTTTCTCTGCTACCCCTCCTATGGCTGCTGTCATCAACCCCTTCTTCACCTCCATCTTGATTCTGTTTGCTGGTATCATGCAACCTCCTGCTTCCATGCCTTACTTCTGGAGAGCTTGGATGTACTGGCTTGATCCATATCATTATGTGATTGAAGGTCTTGTTGTCAATGTCATGGACAGTGTCGAAGTTGTTTGCGGTGACAATGACTGGACCCCCATCAACAGCCCTCCTGGCATGAACTGTGGTGACTACATGGCTGACTTCTTCAACGCTGGTGGCAATGGTTATCTGCAATCCAACTCTTCTACTGGTGTCTGTAACTACTGTCCTTACACCAAGGGTAACCAATTCTACGAGGAAAGAATCGGCTGGCACTTTGACAACAGATGGCGCGATTTCGGTATTCTCTGTGCCTACTGTGTCTTCAACGTCTTTGCCTTTATGTTCTTTGTCTTCTTACTTAGAAAGGCCAAGCGATAAATGCCTCTTCATTTATCTACTCTTTACCCCCTTTTTTTTGCATTTCAAACATAATTCTATAGATTATTATTTATACACTACTATTTCTTACCTTTAGAAATCACATTCTGTAATATTTTTTAAAAAACAACAAATTCCTTCTTATCTTTGTACATTTCAATCTAAAGAGAAATAAAAAAAAGAAAACAATATAAAATAATCAATGGCCTTTTTTATATATGGTTTGGGATTTCAAGTAACAACTAACGATAAGCTTTCAGGGGGGCAATTTTTAATGCATGAAAGCGTGCCTGAGACGCAGTCAAATTTACACTGAAGCATGAAGTCAATGAACATTGCGCTTTGCTGATATATGATGGACAACTGAAATAATACTTATTGCATTGGATATGATATATGATATTTTTATTGAGTCTAATATATAATTTAAAGTTTACCTCGTTGTTGCTGTTGCTTCTTCTCCTCAAGCACAGCATCACGAAGCACACGTCTAAGAATTTTGCCACTGGGGCTTTTGGGAATCACATCAAGGAACTGAACACCGCCACGTAGCTTCTTGTAACTAATGACGTTATCCTCAACAAACTTGGAGATCATGGTAGCAGAAGCAGGCGTCTTTGGAACAGATGGTTGGAGTACAACATAGGCTCGGGGAAGCTCAGTTGCTTGTGCAGAGTCGTAGATGCCAATGACACAGCAATCAGCAACGGCATCATGACTCATCAAAAGTGCCTCCAGTTCAGCAGGTGCTACTTGATAGCCCTTGTATTTAATCAACTCCTTGATACGGTCAATGATGAAGAATTCGCCAGTTTTGGAGTCGAATTTGGCGACATCACCCGTGCGCATCCAGCCATCATGTGTAAATGTCTCTGCATTGGCCTTGTCATCATTCAAATAGCCCTTCATAATGACTGGCCCTCTCATAAGAATTTCGCCAGGTTGATCTGGTCCTAACTCTGATAAACGGAATGAGCTGTCATATGTCTATTGGGTCATGATTATTGCTCTTACCATTTCCTTCTTCATCTACCAGTTTGCACTCCATATTGGCAACCAGCACACCGGTAGATCCAGAGGGACTGACACCAAGTCTTTGGTATACACAGCCAGCTGTGGTTTCGGTCAAACCATAACTACAATAGAGAAAATACGCATGAGTCATTGCTATTGTCTTGATAAAGAGTGTGCTTACCCTTGTCTCACAGGAGCCTTGACACGCAAATGCAGAGCGTCTATATGCTCGCTACCAAGAGGTGCAGCACCACTGCTAATGATTCTGAGCGAGGAGAGATCGTATTTCAAGACGACATCATTCTTTGCGAGTTGAACAGCTGCATTTTTAATAAAAGTGAGTTACAAGATCATCTACATTGCAATGTATACTTACCAACTGGAGGTACAATGGGCCCATGTGTCACCTTGTACTTTTCAATCAATTGGCACACCAGCTCCAGGTCATATTTGGGAACCACAACCACGGGCGTATTGGAGTAAAAGGCACGGAGAACGAGTGTAGTCAAGCCAAAAATGTGGAAAAATGGCAAGAAACCAATAATCATGTCGTCCTTTTGATTAGCATCTGTTTGCTCGAAATCAGTTACCATTATCATTTGGGAGACAAAGTTCTTGTGTGTCAGCATGACGCCTTTTGCCACACCTGTGGTACCGCTGGAAAAACAAATAAAAGCTAAATCTTGGCTATCCACACCTTGTATTGGGATCTGCATGACTTGCTTGGATGCAATAGCACTGAAGGGTTGTACGCCATCAATAGCACGATCGCCGAACAAAAAGATCTTGTCCTTGGGTATACTGTTCTTGGCAGCCACCTTGAGTAAGACGGGAAGCAATTCAGGAACAGTAATAATGGCCTTGGCTTGTGCTTTATGGACTTGATGATTGAACTCAACTACAAGCATATGTTAGAAGACATGCTTTCAAAAGGCATACATACATTTGATATGCCTACCTTCAGTGTAGTTGGGATTGCCGGGAGTTACTGTACATTGAGCAGCCAACAGCGAAAAGTAAAGCACTGCATGATCGTACTGATTGGGAGCAAATACAGCGACCACATCGCCCTTTTTTAATCCAACATTCTCTTTCCAGCCAGTAGCCAACTGACCCGAGATAGTTCTTGCTTGTTTAAAGGTCAATGATTTACCAGAAATGCCGTCAATCAACAATGGACGATCCTGTGAGCGAGTTGTGTTGAATTCATTGGGTCGAAATAAGAAGGAGTAAATGTCAATATCTGGGATTGGGATAGGCTGTCTCTTGGATGTAAAGATGGTCATTGTATAACAGGAAAAATTCGAGGGAAATTGCAGAATATCAACGAAAAAGCAGCTTGTCCTTATATTTGATTTTGATGTCTTTTCAAGTGGGAAATCTGTTAGTAATGGCAAGGTACATGTTGGTTTTGATTGGCCTGTGCTTGATCAATGGGTAAAGTATTTACCTCAGCGTGAGATAGAGTTCTGTTTTAGTGTCTGTAATGCGGTCAGAAAGGGGATATGATACCCCGTGTATATGAAAACACTGCTCAAATGTCAAAATAAGTGAGGAAAGCGAAAAAAAATGAAAGAGAGGAAAAAAAGATAATTGATTGAAGATCTTGTTGTTCCTTACCTTCCATCAGATAGACTGAGTTTTGACATTTGCCTGGTTTTGGGGGAGAACAAAACTTTTTTTTGTTGGTTTGGATTTGATGAATGCACTTTATCCACATCAATCATAAGAAATCAGGACGATAGGTTGTTAAAAGTTGAGCTATACGTACTTTCAGAAGAAGCAAATGTTAGTGCGACAGTAAGTCTCCAGCCCCTAAATGTCACCATTGCTCTTCAGTCGAGACCAATGCCAAGGCAATGTAGCTTACATCTCAGTCCATGATCTCTTTTATTAGCTTCACGAGCATCAATTGCCTCCATGCATTGCAAAGACATGGACTTCTCCAGCCAGCAGCCAAAAACTAGTTTAATCTCCGCTAAACTGATGCTGGCATGCCTTGAATCTTGCGAGCATAATATCTGACATCTGCCACCCACCATCATCTCTAATATATTTACCAGAAAACTATATAAAAAACGTCGGAGTGGTCAATCAGAGATCAGAGACGTAAAAAAATTAAAGCACTGAGTACCGTCAAGGCTCGAAAAAACCATTGGCGAAGCTAGCATTGGGGAGGGGGGAAACTTGGTCCCTCCACCAAGAACATAACGCACCTAATTCAATATTTGGTAACGTTGACCTATAAGGGGGTTTTATCTTAGTGAAGCGAAGGTGAAAAACCGCAGCATTCAAGCAGCCAATTCAGCTTTATATTTCTATTAATATTAAGCCTACCAATAATATAACGCATCAAAATTTGCATGAAATAGTCTTACTAAAATCAATATTCCTTCTACTCGAACTAGAACTTGCACAGGCTACAGACCTTTTCTTCCAGAAAAGTATAGCTACTAGAGATGTAATTCATGTCATGTAAATAAAAGCCATAAAGCAATGCATAGCCAAATTTGGCAGTTTTCAAGCCTTTATATCTTGATATGTAGACCTTTATGAGCCACCGGAATAACGTCAAACAATTGTTCTCGAGTAGTAGGAACATTTTGACACCTTTGCTCAACTTTTTGGGTCAAAAAAAAATATGGCCAAAAATCGACCAAAAAGCATGAGGGGTAGCTCATGGTTTTCATCGAAAATCAAACGATCGCGTTTTTTACCTTGAAAATGAAGACTTTTACTACGGTATGTATTGAATCAAAATGTTTCTCTCGATCCAAAGCAGCCTCTGAAGTCACTTTTATGAGGCTTTCATATGCAAAATTTCGACTTTTTCGCTAAAAACTTCATTTCATATTTTACCAATTGCTCGATAATCTCAATCAAAACACCTATTGCAATTAGCACCATTGGAAGCGCCTTGAGAAGTACTCTAAGGATGTATTAGGAAGCGTAAGGTGATCATTACAATTTTTATAGTCGAATATCATAAAATAAATTAAAGAAGTCGAAAAAATGCAAAATCTGTCCAATCTTGAACAGAAAAGACAAACGGAGTTTGAATCGATTTTAGCGGACGGCACTGCTGCTGGCTGGCCCAAATGCCTTCCTGTTGATGACAATGATGATTGCGATGCTGATTAAATGAGGATCATGGAATTGAAAGGTCAAACGCTCAGCTTGGATACCTTTTTTTTTTGGCATTTGTTGGAAATGTTCCTTATAATAGCGGTGTTTTTACAATGACAACCTCTCAAAAAAATTGCTGTAGATCTTATACAAGTCCTGTATGCGTAGCGAGATTGATCGGCTAGTCTATTATACTGAATATCGAACGTACACACAGCTTAGTTTGCAGAGCTCTTGCACAATTAAATACTTGCTTCACAGGCAGATACTTGGTGTCAGTTGTGGAGCAGTTGTAAAGCAAGTGTACGCTCTTCCAATATTTCAATGTAATGTTAACGAATGTATTTGTACATATTGAATTGCACAATGCTTTATTTACTTTTTGTACAGCTTTTTATTGATCAAGCTTGTAGGTCTTCTCTTCAGGACATGATAAGTAACGTTTGAATAATGTAAAGATAACTGCTGTCTAATATGTGGCGGTATATCTCTTCATCTGTCAAACAGTTATTGACAGCATTATTTAAGGTACCCCAAACTTGTTCTAGGTCTGATATATTGATGCCTGACCTGCAAAACCGCTTGAAGTTTTCCTTCATGAAAGCTGCATCCATTCTCAGTATGTATTTCTCTTCTCCCTATCCTTTCTCGTTCATTTACACTCTTTGTTTGCGTAGCATTAACACTATCTAAAACCATTTCTTAGTTGTCATATTTTTGTATCTTGACAGCTCTTATTTATAACCAAATTTATAAAGCGCTGCTCTTGTTACAGTATGTATTGATCTGTTCAATCGATGTACCATCACAAATGCTCACATTTTTCTTGTCTAGTTATTTTTTTCTGTGTCAAATGTCTAGTGTGCGAACAAAAGTAGAACAAAGAGATCCGTTTACTGGCACTCAAACCAGTCGTCCTCCCCAAAGAAGTGTCGTTTCTAAAGGGAAAAAAAAAGAGAATATAAAGCGGTAGCATCCACAAATGCCATGTCCACATCATTTTACCAACCTGTTGTCAAAAGGTCCAAGTCATTTGGTTTCTCGCCGCAGCGTTTGATGGATAGTTTTCTTCAAGCAATGAGGGAAATCATTGAAAACAAAGCAAGGCCCATCATTGACAAGCCTAGTAAATTGGATGCACTCAAGAAGACGTTACTCTCGGTGAAGAAGTTCCCCCTAGGTGTCATGACTACTTCTGAAAAGATCTGTCAATGTGCCAAAGATGAATTGAAAAATCATCTTGAACACCTGGTACTAAGCAAAACTTCAGTACTTTCAACAGTACGTCAAGGATCACTTCGATGCTATTGTGGCATCTTTACAGCCTCAGGCCACTACGTCTACATTCACTGGTGAAAGTGCATCCATCCCAGTTATACCGGTTATTGCTCCTTCTGACTCTGTAGCGTTCCTTCGCCGCGACCTCTCTGGCATGGACATGGTATCCGACATGTCTTCTGTGTCTGGCGCTCCTTCACGTGCAGCAATGTCTTCAATCTCGCATAATCCATTTGATAAATCCATGGTTGAAGCTCCCCAAGACAATGTAGAATATCGCATTTGTACCGTGTCTTTCAAGAGCCTTTTATGAAAGGATGTGCCTTCCGATCTTGTCGAGTCATTTTTGCAGAAGCTAAATACTGCATTGCATGATGTATCTGATTATGTTATGGACTTGCAATTGGTGGTATACACATTGATGCTCTCAATGAAGTCCTCGCAGCTCGTAACTCGTAGTGGTAATATTCAGCTGAAGAAAGCTCATGGTTTCCAAACACAAGACATCCTCCCAGCAGGCTACAATATGAAAACTAATGTCACTACCTTTGCTCCTCCATTTCCCTCTAATGCCTTGAAGTCTACGGCTTTTTGCAATGGCGTTAAGGATTTTTTCCAGAGCAGACACATTGATTACCTGCATACTGCTTTGTTTGGCCAAGAGGTACCAAGATCTCGCATCCTACATTTGCTGCTCTGTCGTCCGCCACTGCGCCAATACTCGATGCTATCGCAAGGGATACGCCTCAACCTGCTAGTGAACTCACGATGGTGGCTCGAGGATTGTACAAAACAAATCTCGAAAACATGTGAGCAAGTAATAAGGCATTTAACAGATCACTGAAAAAGCTACTGGAGATTCTTCTTCGCGTGCATCTCGCTCCAAAACGAGAGTCGCATTACTGGGAGCTTCAACAGACCAAAGCAAAGAAGCAATCCAAGCAAGTTGTTAAGTCGATCAGAAACTCATTTCATAACACCATCCGATCAGAGAAGTACAAACTTCAAAGATATCAAAGAAAGGCACAGGGCAAACCAGAAGACAACAACTGGGCGAAGCTGGCCAGAAATAGTCAAGAGCGCATAACTCACATGTACGCTGATGCCAAGCGTCCTGTCAAGTCTGTTTCTACTTCTGGTACTACATCTGATCAAGCTGCTGTATCTGCTTCTGGCTCAGGTTCTTTTACTACAGGTGTATCTATTCCTACTGCTCCCTCTGGCACTTCTGACGCTGTTACTGCCTCCAATGCTAGCTTTGATCTTGATAGTGCTGATATGCCTATTGACGAACTGCTCCCTATTTCTGAACTGATTGATGAAAAAGACGACCAAGAAGAAGAGGAAGGCACCCGTGATCTGCCTAGAAGACGAATTATGATTCTCAAAGCTACTCCGAGAAACCTCTTGGCGAGGCAAGCTGGAAAGTCTATTACCCATACACAGCTCAAGAAGGAACGTCCCGATATCACGGAAGAAGAGAATCGCGTGTGCATGCTTCTGGGAAACTTACTGCTGCCTTATATACCCACTAGAGATCATTATAGCTACATTGGCTTCCAGCTGCCATTCTGCCTGGCCTTACCTCTGTCCGTATTTTGGGGTCACTTTATACTACACCCGCTCTCTTTTTATATTTATTTAAATACTTTTTATGAGTTTATATAATAAATCTTCATACAAATAAAAAAAAATTCGACTTCATTGATCTATCTTCTAAGATTTGACTATGTGAAACGTGTAGACCACCCCATACTTCCTAATACTTTCTTAGAGTACTTTTCAAGGGGCATCCAATGGTGCTAACTACAATCAGTGTTTAGAAAAAACTTATTGAGCAATGTACAAAAATATGAAATGAGGGTTTTGCCCAAAATGTAGAGTTTTTATATATTAAAGTCTTACAAACAAAGTTTCATGAGCTGCATTGGATTGAGAGAAACATTTTGAATTAGTATATGCCATAATAGAAGTGTTCATTTTTGCTGTCAAAAACGCGATCTTTTGATTTTCGATGAAAACCATGAGGTACTTTTTTTTAAATTGTTTTTATTGATTGCTCCGTGTAAGTAGGTCCCTAGGGCACTACCAAGAGGTGGGCGCAATTGATATGATAACCATGAGGTACCCCTCATGGTTTTTCGTCGATTTTTGGGGATGTTTTTTGGTCCCCACAAAGTTGAGCAAAGATATCTGAAAGTAACTGCTAGTCGAGAGCGATTGTTTGATGCTATTTTGGCGGTCTAAAACAGCGTATAACACGAGAATTCACGGTTCAAATACATCCAATTTTCGCAAATACTTGGGTTGTAAGACGTATTTATAGTATGATGTACATACAAACAGCATTTCTTGCTTGGCTCTCTTGAAGAAACAAAATCAAGGGAATGATTTAGGCAAAAATAAAGCAAGCTGTGATTTGACTATTTAGTATATATTTCAGCTGTCTCTCTCTTTTGATAACGATATAGGCTGATCGAATACGCGCTTTATTTATTACTGTTACAGTTTAGGCCTATTATCAGTGTTTTCTTCTTGATGAGCAGCATCACGCAAGACGCGACGAAGAATCTTTCCAGATGGGCTCTTGGGAATAGTATCAACAAATCGTAGCGAACGCAGCTGCTTGTATGGCACTACTTGATCTGCCACAAATTTCATAATTTGACGAGCAATTTTGTCTGAGGGAGCAGTTCCACTGATGAGTGTTACGTAGGCTCGAGGCATCTCTGTAGCTTGTGTACTATCGTAGATACCCACTACGGCAGCGTCTGCAACAATAGATAATTTGAGCTATTTACAATATGCTATCAGTACCATTGAATAGAGACGGTATGACTAGACACTTACCAAGATGCCTTCGAGTTCAGCAGGAGGTACCTATACACATCGATGAGTCTCTCTGATCACAAATTTGCCATTTGATCGTGTATACATACTTGAAAGCCCTTGTATTTGATCAATTCCTTAATGCGATCCACAACAAAAAAGTGTTGATGTTCATCCACAACCACAATATCGCCTGTATGGAAGTAGCCTTCATCGTCAATGCATTCAGCAGTGGCCTGTGGATTATGGAGATATCCCTGTAAAGTAGTGAGAATGCCAGACTTTAAGCACTTAGTATGCAACATGCATATACCTTCATGACATTGGGGCCTCTTAACCACAACTCTCCACGCTCGCCCTGTGCCGTTTCTATGATAGCTCATGCCATTAGCATCAAGATATACCATTGCAGATACAAAAATACTACCTTTTCCATCTTCATCCACCACCTTTGCAGTCATATTTGGAAGCAATACACCAATGGAACCATCAATGACACGATCCAAAGGCTCGGCTATGGCTGCAGGAGAAATCTCTGTCAGTCCATAGCCCTGTTTGATGGACAAATGAGGTAAGCGAGCCTTCACTTCTCTACTCAGACTTCCACTCAATGGAGCAGCCCCAGAAATGCCTATTCTGAGCGACGACAAGTCATAGTTCAAGACAGACTCTTCTTTGGCTAGCAGGACATAGATGGGAGGAACAAGAGGAGCAATGGTAATCTTCTCTTTCTCTATTATTTCACAAAATTTGATTAAATCAAAGCGAGGCAAAACGTGTACAGGAATGCCCCAATAGACGGCTGTGTGTAAGATGGCAGAAAGGCCGAAGATATGGAAAAAGGGCAGCACGGCAATCATACGGTCTTGACTGCGATCAACAAATGGATCGTCAATGGAGGTCCATTGACATGTGTTGGCTGTGACATTGGCATGACTATTTTGCAGAGTGAGTCAAGTAAAAAAATGCCAATCAGGTGCTAATCTTACGTTGTCATAACACCTTTACTCTTGCCAGTAGTGCCAGAAGAGAAGCACAGGTAGGCTACCTTGTCTTTGGCCTCTTGGTATGTAAGAGCATCAGGCACAGCTCTTCTTGCTGCCAACAATACCTTTTGGAATGGTTGAGTGTCATCGATATTGCTCATTCCAAACACAAACACGTTCTTTTTGGAGATGCCCACACGATCAGCTGCTTTCAGCGCAGTTTTGACATTTTCTTCATGACAGATGATCACCTTTGCTCTAGACATTTCCAATTGATAAGAGAGCTCTTCTACATTGTAATTGGGATTTGCTGTGGTTGCAGCACCATCTAAAAAGAGTTGATTAGCATACGCATTGAGCAGTAGTACAAGAATGCCACTCACTGGCTGCCAGTGCTCCGAGAATTGGGACGAAATAGTTGTACTACGGGTAAAATGAGAATATTGGTTTGATCCATCTGCAATTCGCAGCGCTACAGCTTAATTACCTGGTTCGGCGCATATACGGCTACCACATCATTTGCTTGAAACCCACAGACATCTTGCAAACCAGCACCGAATCTCAGCACTTGATCTTTGAGTTCAGCAAATGTGAGGTATCTGCCGTCATTTGCATCGATCAAGAGAGGTCTATCTTCAGGCGTATTGAATTTGTTGACAAAGAGGAATTGGATGATACTGGACTTGGGTAGGTCGAGTGAGGGCAGTTTGGATGAATAGACCATGCTTTTTAGGATAGTGAAAAATGGAATGTTTGGATTCTGCATAGTGAGCCTCTTTTTATATGCTTTTATTATGGAGACGCATGGTGCCACAGCCTTTTGGATAGAATATACATTGAGTGCTTGTGTGAATTCTCAATACACGTTAAACTATTTAGCGATGAGAATTAAATGACTAAATTTCTTCAAACAAATCTCCCGGTTGTTTGCAAATGCACTCTGCGTGTCACCCTCCAATCAGCCATCTAGTTCGGCATGAATTGCCCATTGATCTGTTACTGTTATCATCGGATTAAAGAGGAGTAATATACATTGCCCTTTCTTGTAATGCCTGGCCTACACATATTCCCATAAAGTCAAGTCGTATAAACGTGTATAAAGTTTGGCATGCTACTCTTGCCCTGGGAATTTTTCCACTGTTGTATTCATGGCCTTTCTTATGCTTCTGAGAGCCAATAGGATCATCTTCCCAAACATTGGGATAGATCCACTATCGAAATATTCCCATTCGCTTTCCTGGTTTTAGTGAAAAAGTAGTCTGTTTATTAAATATTACAGTAGGATTAAAATATTAAGGTTATTATACACGAGAAACAATCCAATCTTCTGGATCCTCAACGCCAACAAGATCTTCAGTTACAGTCAACACTGTTTGCAGCTCATCCACAAACACCAAACTGTTCATTAAATAGGCACTGTAACATGGGAAGGATGGATTTGCAATGTCTTTGGGTTCAATCATGATTTTCTTTTCTAGGAGGTTTACAAATCTCTGTCTTGATTCGACAGGCGATATCATGTAGGGTGGTAGTGACGATTTTGCTGCAAGTGTAGTAGATATAAGCTTCAAGCTGGTCAAGATGGAGGAGAGCTAAACAGTGTGTCAGTATAGAAAGACGTACCAAACTCTGAAAGCTACTTACATATTCTTTTCTTTCTCTCATTAGAATGGACCCAATGCTTTTTCTCCATTCTGTTTGGACTTCTCTCAAAGCGAGCCCCTATATAGTCTTACATGAGATAGTATGCCCATCAACAATACAGATTGACATACCATGTTTGTCACGAGATCAGACATATTATCCATCTTTTCAACAAGAGTCTTGTAACTTGCAGCAGGAAAGTATCCGCGAAGAGGAGGTTCATAAGAAGCATGATGAAGCAGTGTTCGCTCATCTGCAACTTGACGACGAAGCTCTAAAGCAAGTGCTCCAAATGCTTTGGCTACATGAGGTCCAGCTTTTTGGCCAGTAGGAGAAACAGCACTAGCGCAGAGAATACCAAAGCATTTACCAATATCTCGGATGGTACAAGAAATTTCCTTTCGCAATTCAACACGGCCAGTAGGAGGAAATGGAATAGATATCAAGATACCTGAAGCAGCAATACCGATAATCACCAGCAATAGACGCTATCATAGGCATTTAGTCAAGCTGAAATGCATTTTGCTTGGTGTTTATGCTTACCTTTCCTGCCACCGTATATACTTGATCGTAGTTTGTGAGTCCCCCAACAACGTATCCATATTCATACGCTACCACCAACAGCATGGTCACTGTGCTCATCAATGAAGCAACTCTGTATTTAGGCACAAAGAAGAACACATGATACAATGGAAGAAATACGACGAAACAAACAACAGCCATGCCATAAGGATTGCCCCGACACATTTCCCAAATCACGATGCCCAGAACAGCGCCTACAACGGATCCAATGATTCTATCAATTAAGCTACACATCCCCTTGGTGAGTCAATTATGGCTTCGATCAAAGCATATACATGCTTACCCAAAAATAAAAGCACCTGTCATTGGAAACATCCAAAGAACAAGCGTAATCATGGCCCATTGACCTCTCCAATCCATATACCAAGTGTGATCTTGAGGCCGGTAGGCTGGAATCGCCAACATCACCACACCAACGGCAGTCTTGAAAGCAAAGAATGTTGTGGTATCAGTGAGCCATTGTCCAACAAGGTACAAGCCATAAAAGAACTTTTGAGTGGCTGTTACTGGTGCTGACACATCTGGATCTCCAAGTTTGTCTGCATGGCTGGGCTTGGGCTCAAAAAGATCGCCATTCGAATCCTCCGTGCTCGTTCTGTTGTCACCACGAGTAGCTACACGAGTCAAATCATTGCCGCCTTGGTTTTGATATTCACCTTCATCCGCTCCCACAGATCCACCAACATTGCTATTTGACATGATCCACCTCTTGAGAGTTTGATGGGGAAGCCAAAATCGAGCCTTCTTTCTTTCTGTTTCCAATCTTTCAATCAACTCGATCAATTCAGCGACCTTTGTAGCATGTTCTCGCAGATTGTAAATGTACAGAAAGATGAGATAAAGCGGTCCATTGCGAGGAATGTCTGCAGCATTCATATTCAAAAACTTTCGAAACACCTTGTCGCTCTTGCTTACTTGGTCGAAGCGCTGGATCAGTTCATGCAGTTGTGCTGATGTGGTGGATGGTGCTGTGTTGATTGCAGTGATAGGGCCTTTAGGTTTGGAGACCCAAAATCGAGGAAATGGCCAGAGAATACTGTTGAGTGTTGTTCGTGGATGATAGTGGAGGTTGCCCAGTCGAGTCGAGGCTTCATTGGTAGCAGCGTAACATAAGCTGGATAATTCTGCCGCAAGAGGCTTGAGTCCTTCAACCGATGTTCGAAATGCGTCCAAAATGGCAGGCTCGTTGAATCGTTTAAAGTAAATGTTTTTTGTATCGGAATAGATGTAGTTGTTCTTCATGATCAAAGCCAATCCTACGCCATGCAGTGAGTTTCGCATGTTGGTCACCATTTTGGATAGCTCGCTGCAATCCACATCAGAGATACGTGAATAGATGATTTCTCGTTTGACAGCTCGCTTGCATTCAATCATCAACAATACGCCATTCTTGAGACGCGCGTTGAGCGAGGGAAGAGATGTCTTTTCTGCTGCCTGTGAACAGGAGAGAAATGCTTCCGAGTGCTCTTTGAAAAACGTATTGTAGCCTGCAAGCGTTTTTCGTGTGATGCCCAAAAAATTGTTGATACTGTCGTCTGGCCAAATCAAGTAATTAACAGCTAAACAGATGGCTCCAGCAACTGCCACAGGTCGTAAAAATAGCCACTACATCACCGTGAGCACTCGTACTATCGATTGAACCTAGCACCATCGCTCACTTACTATAATCGCTGGTACCATCGGCGCATAGCCTGCTGAATACGTCATAGTGAACTATGGTCAACGAAGATTGATTGGTAAATGACAGGATTGAATCGATTGATGAAAGTTGGGCCAACTTACTGACAATACAATGCATGCAATAACAGCTCCAAAATTTGCTATCGGCATTGACACCGCATGAGTATCACACCACAGCGTCCTACTGATGTCGGCTTACCTTTAGGCACCTTCATGCGAATGATATTCAAGACAAATGTCCCCAAGAACAAAAATACGGCTAAAACTGCACAGGCACCTGGTTGAATGGGGTTCGGGTCAGAATGATTTCGAGCAAGACTCGCAAGGTATGCACCTGTAAACTGCTGTCAGTGCTACGTTTCACATGCCACGTCTCAACACTCACCTAGAAAACTCCATGCTGTTGCTAGCAGGCCACCAAAAACACCCAAGAATACTGCCTATCCATATGTTGCTCAGATCAAAGCAATGAAAAGTGCACTTTTTATAGCAATATTACCTCTGTTTGAATACCTGCATAAATTTAGTTAGCATTGCATGGCTACGGTCTCTATCGCAATGTGGATCGATTACCAATGGTTCTCACTGGAAAGAAAAAGATGGTGACAATGGCCACCAGTAGAACAGAACTTCCAATAGCTTCACGAGTTTCAAGAGCAAAGACAAACACCATAGCAATTAACAGAGCAATCGAAGCTTTGATTGTCTTTCTGAATTGGGTAAATGTCGGTAGTGATGACTTGAATCGTGTCCATAAACTTGGCTTTGTGGGTGGAACAGCAGCAGCAGCAGCAGCAGCAGCAGCAGCAGGTGCTTCCTTCGGCTCTGCTACTAATGATGTATTGGGTATCGCACGCGATGAGGATGATTCAGTCAGCATGTAGTTTTCGTTTTGGGCGTCTTCGCTGGAGTCTAGTTTATGGAAAGATTGTCTATGTACAAGCGATGGCGATGATTTCATATTGATGGCTACATCGTCATGGCTGTGGATTGTGGATTGTGCATACGAGTGATCTGACGTTGTGTCATTTGTGTACCAGGAGGATCGATTGGGATCCTCTGGACGAGGAGACAATTTCTCCATTTCTGTATCCTGGTTCATTCTGAGGAGAGAAGACAGTTGAAGAAGGAAAAAGAAGATGGAAACACATTTTTTTTTAGACATTCGTCTTTGACGTCAATGTCTAAAAAAAAATGTGCCCAGTGTCTCAGATCTTTATGCAGGAAAAACTTAATCCCACAAAGATTAGTCCAACCAATGATCCATGATGGGATATTGCCATATATGGTAGGCAGATTGGTTTAGCCAGCTTTGAATTATCGCAAATGCATAATGACAAATCTTTGTGTAAATAACGTGGCTGTACAATGGTAAATGCCACTTTATAATAATCGACATTTGTCTGGCTGTTCTTCACAGTGATATCTGTAGTGCTTGCTCTTGTAGAGTGTTAGTACTAGCAGTGTATCCAGCAAGCCATGAGGCAAGCATTGGTAGGTGAAGTAGATCAGTGCAACCGCGAATCAGTGCGATATCTTCCATACCCTTGTGCAGATCCAGCAATCCCATCGAAATTTCGCATTTTAAGCTTTTCAATATCACAGAAACCTGCTCATAAACAGCCTATAGCTGTAGATTTAATTCTTGTACGATACTCCACATTTGTATCAATGAGAGCAACTCATTTGCGCACACACAACATAGTTACATCACCTCTTACTAGTCAAATATATGCAAAACATAGCGAGATTAGGGTGTATTTAAGTCGTGTTTTCTTGTGTTACACGCCATTGTAGATCTCCAAAATAGCGTCAAACAATCGCTCTCGACTAGCAGTTACTTCCAGATATCTTTGCTCAACTTTTTTGGGACCAACAAAACATCCCCAAAAAAACGACGAAAAACAAGGGGTGCCTCATGCTTTTCATCAAAAATCAACCCATCGCGTTTTTGACCTCAAAAATGAAGACTTTTACTATGATATATCTTGAATCAAAATGTTTCTATCGATCCAACGTAGCCTCTGAAATCATCTTTGTGGGACTTTGATATGTAAAATTTCGAATTTTTGGCCAGAAACCTCTTTTCATATTTTCGCAAATTATTCAATAAGTTTATTCAAAACATCTATATTACTTGGTACCATTGGATACGCCTTGAAAAGTACTCCAGGAAAGCTTAAGGAAGCTTTTTTTTTGTAGGGGAGACGAGCTCCAGGTTTTATTTAAAGTCCTTAAAACGTCATACTGAGAGAAAGAAAAGACTGTTGGTGGGCCCAATGTCTGCAATGATGGGCAATAAGATATATATAATGAACTAAGTTGGGAAAGAAATCTACTACTAATCAGGTGCGGCACCTAGAGCCAATACAATAATGCGAATCGTCAAAAGATGGATACTGAATAAGAGCACAAAACACCAAACGAGGACATCAGTACTTCGTCAAAATAATCACCAAAAATGCATTCACTGAGATTTGAACCGGGATCATCCAGATGGCATGTTGGATGCTTAACCACTTCGCCCTATCACCACGGGCTGTATTAGGAAGCATGGGGTGGTCTTCACATTTCATATAGTCGAATCTGACAATGAAGTCGAAATTTGATCAGAATTAACAAATAAAGGATGAAAATGCCAGGCGGGATTTAAATCAGTTTTGGCTGGCAAAACAGATCATGAAGGTAAAAGATGTTTTTGAAGGCTTATGAAAAGGGAATTGCGAATTGAAAAGCGTTATTGTTTAGTTCAAGTATTTTTTTAATAATTCTATTACCAGTTTTCTGAGCATAATCGGATTATGAGCTCTTTTATCGAAACAGTACACTTGTTTAATGGAATCAAATTGTACGTTACCACTTTATTGATGGAAACAATGACAAAAAGTCTAGAAATATTACAAAGGCTTGAAATCGATTAATTAGTACAACAGCATATATGATATGTATAAAACTGGATTTCGAATTGTGAAAGTAGAATAAATAGAAGAAAATTAAGTTGTGAATAACGTAGAAAATGATTATTTAGTAGGTTGTTGGCCATTTCCACCAGTCAAGATTTGTGCGGCATGATTTGTCTATACAAGATGGTAAGCATCATTTCATTTGATCTAATCGCATGTATCAATAATTACCTGTACAGATGAGAATCTTCTCAATTCATGAGGTTCCATGGACATCTTTTTGTTGAGGCCAAGGATACGTTTACCAAAGTTGCGAGGTCTTGATAAGGCACGCAACGATTGAGTACGGTTAGCGTAATAACGGGCTGATCCAGAAGTGGACACAGCAGAAGAGCGTCTTGAGCGGCGAATCGATTCAGCATCAGTAGTTTTAGTATTCTTAGCAGGTCTAAAGTATCTTTGCATAGCAAACTTGATCAAATCTAGAGGAGCAAACCAAATAAAGTTCCAGATCTAGAGAAACGTCAGCATGTCTTGAATATATAAAAGGATTTACAGTGACTTACCCAAGCAATGCCTGCAAGCGTCCATCCACATCCCCGGATATCAGTGAATCCCCAATTGGCATAAACAGCAATGAAAGTAGCAATCAGTTGAGCAAAGATAAAGGCTGCCATCAACAAAAGCGAAGGGCGCTCCATAAAGAACCAACTTTGAGATCGGGTAACAAAGATGAGGCCTTGTGAGATGGTGGATACTTGCAAATAGATGACAGAGTGGAGTACACCATCATTGGGGCTATCAAAGGGGGCGACACCAAAGCGGCTTTGGAAGAAGGTGGTGTCATACAACACAGCAAAGAAGACGACAGTAGAAGCAGCCAAATACAGACCATACACAATAGCATATGAAAAGATTTCAAACAAGTTCCATTGATCCGGGAAAGGAGAAGGTCGTACACGATCTGTAGAAATCGTCATAATGGTTCCGTCATTGAGAATAGCTAAAATCAGCACCATGAAGGGAGGGAAATTGAACTTGTAGGCAAACACCATGACAGCAAAACCAACCACCACACGAATCGTGACGGAGCAGGTATAGATGGAGTAGTTTCTCATACGCTGGAATATTTGACGAGAATGGATCAAGGCTTCAATAATGACAGAAAGACCAGGTTCAGTCAACACGATATCAGCGGCAGATCGGGCAGCATCAGATGCGTCAGCAACAGCAATACCCACATTGGATTTGGAGAGAGCAGGAGCGTCATTGACACCATCACCTGTCATTGCAGTCATATGGCCCATGGCTTGAAGACGTTGGACGATTTCATACTTGTGCTCAGGATAGACACCAGCAAAGCCATCAGCATGCAAGACGAGTTCATCTACGTTGTTGTATCCAGAGCCAGCAGGAGGACCATCCTTCAAGGTCTTTGAAAGGTACATGTTGTCGCCCATACCAAGACGACGGCCGGTTTCTTTGGCAATAGCAAGTTGGTCACCTGTAATCATCTTTACCTGTACACCCAGTTCGATAGCACGATCAATGGTCTCCTTAGTATCACCTCTTGGTGGATCATAAATGGGGAGGCTTCATTGCCAAGTCCGAGTTAGTCAACATCATTCAACACGACACAGTAATTCAAGACTACTTACAGACCAATAAGCTTGAATCCAAGGCCTGAGCCTTCTGCTTTGTAGTCATCACCATTGATTTCTTCAAGAGCCACAGCCAGAGAACGCAAACCACGACGAGCAAACTCATCAACGTCATCGTTGAGTAATTGGATTTGTTCTTCTGTTTTGTCACGAGTACAAAGATCTAGAATGAAATGCGACATGCCCTTTGTAGCTCTGTAAATCTTGCCATCTTTTCTGTATACGATTTCTGTACGCTTGATCGTGGGATTAAATGGTTCAAACTCAAGTTCTTCAATACCTTCTCTAGCCTCCTTTGGGTTAGGCAATGAGTTCACAATGCAGAAATCGATGGCATCCTGATTCTCAGTACGGGAAGCGTAAGCCGAGATTAGAATAATTTCCTCGGCGTCATATTCAGCGTAGGTCTTGATGGTGGGCTTGTCTACAATGAGTTTGTTCAAAGTCAAGGTACCGGTTTTATCGGAACACAAGATGGTTACTGCAGCCATCTCCTCAATGGCAGTGATTCTAGTGACAATAGCCTTGTGCTCAGCCAATTGTTTCGCACCAATGGCCAGTGTAACCGAGAGTACCGTTGGCATAGCAATAGGGATACCACCAATGAGTAATACAAGCAAGTTATCAATGCCATCACGATAACTGTAACGGAATCCAGCGTACATGACCAGAATTTCAGCCACCAAAAAGATGCCGATACTGCAGAGACAGAAATTACCAATCTTTGCCAAAATAGACTGGAGATGACCCACATCGTCACCAGCATCGCCTACCAATTTGGCAGCACGGCCGAAAAAGGTATTGAGCCCAGTGCCAATGACTACTGCTTCAGCTTCGCCTTGCTTGACGGTGGAGCCAGAAAAGATCTCGTCACCAGCATGTTTACCTACAGGTAATGATTCGCCGGTAAGAGCAGCTTGATCTATGGATACTTGACCATGAGCCGAGATAAGACGCCCATCAGCAGGAATTACATCTCCGAGTTTGATTGAGATCACATCACCTGGCACCAGTTCAGCAGCCTCCATAGTACGCCACTCACCATCTCGTTTTACTTTACATTCAGGAGCCAAAGAGTCCATCAATGCCTTGACAGCGTTACCAGCTTGACGTTCCTCCAAGAAACCAATGATTGAGTTTGCTAATAAGAGTAGAATAATACCAATGAAATCCTCCCAATCTGGAGGTTGACCACCGCCATTTGAGAGAGCAATAGCCACCAGAGCGGCGGCCTCCATGACCCAAGAGAGTGGATTCCACATGAATCCCAGGAATTGCAGGATGGGATTCACTTCTTTATGGTCTAAGCGATTGTAGCCGAACTTCTCCACACGGGAAGCAGCCTCATCCGACGTCAAACCGTCAGTGGAAGTTCTAGGCAGCTAAATCAGCAACATATTCAATGGCTGGTGAAAAAGATACCTACTGCAGCAGCACGAATACATCTCCAGGCTCCATGGTAGACAGATCATACTTGTCCTTGTCGTAGAGCTCTTCAACGGTCAATTGCTGCATTGGAGGCACATCGCCGCCATTTGGATGCTGAGCATGCCCACTGACTGGTGCTTTTTCAGCATCCTGAGCAGCAGGAGAGGAAGAGGCTGTTGAGGATGGTGATGCCTCAGCAGCGCTCATCGACTCAATCTTCTCGCCTCTATCGATATCTTGATTTTTGTTTGTATCAGACATGATAAATAATGAACAAAAAAAAAAAAAAAAAAAAAAAAAAGAGAGAAAGAGAAAAAAGCAATTCCAAATCAGAGGTGGTATTTTATAGCCATCAACGAGTAAATGTATATAAATATAAATATATATATATACATGGGATAAATAAAACGAAAACGGTAAGCTGCAATCCCGACCTCACCACCAACAGGTTATGCAATGCCATTTTACAAATCAAGAATATATTCACCATAAAAAGCACTTTCTAGTGTACGTTGGTGTCACTGTCCCACATCCGTTGATATCATTATTATTCGAGTTGTTAAACAGGAATATTCTCATCGCACAACAGCAGCAGTGTGATAAATACTGTATGACGTAAAATATGAAAGCAATATACACACGTATACTCTACTACTCTCTACATGTACATCTGACAGCCAATTAAGCTAATATAAATGTTTGAAACAGCTCGCTGCCTGTTTCAAAAGTGGAAGCCATGTGGAGCAACAACAATCATGCAAGCTCATAATCCGACTATCATATTGATAGCTGCTGTACACATTGCTTGTCAAATTGACGCTTCCAAGCAGATTATCCAGGCTATTTTTATGAAACGTTTCGTTGCAAGAGTCTAGTGGTTAGTGTATGCACGCAATGAGCGTTACAGGTGCTCATCTCATCAAAAGTGGGAGGCATTTCTTGATCCGCTCTCTTCAAAAAGCCTCTTGCGCGGCAGTCACCAGTTGAAAAAGTGCATCAATTTTTTCCTCATGAATGTTGTGTAATTCATTCACACATACCTACAAAAAGAATGGATGTAGATGAGGAGATTATCGACATTGGCAGCGACGAAGAAAAGCAAGAGTTGCAAAGACTAGCAATGAGGTAGCGTTTCGTTTTCTGCGCAAACAAGTCTGGACATTAAACACATGTATAGCGAGCCATCACAGCCGCAATCAAGCGACATCAAGCAAGCTGAACCCACAGAGCAAGACACATGGACCGCGCCAGCACCACCCGCCAGTGACAACTTGGATATGGATGACGAATCTCGCAAACTGATTGAACAGATGCTAGCAGAAGAAGCGTACTTTTACGGCAGAGATACCATCAGCACTTTGAAGCAGCAATCTGCGCCCAAGAAGAAGCGCAAATCACCAATCAAAGACAAAGACTACGACTTTGAGCATGATACATCTACAGCAACGACAAGCACATACACAAAAAAATCTCGAAAAGAAGGTTTGTAACATGTAGAATTGCCAAGATAAATTGTATTCATTTTAGTATATGCTAGGAGCCATTTTATCGTCTGCATCATTACCCTCTCACAAAACACGGTGGAATGAGGAAGAGGATGATTTGTTAAAAGAGGCATTGGTAATACAAAAAGGGGGTGGCATACAGCACATGCTAATTGAGCGCACGAGTAGATCAAGTACGGTTATGGCAACTGGAGACTCATCTCTGAGCATGTCAAGACGAGGAATCCGCTACAATGCAAGAACCATGCCAGACATTTACAGCAATATGACAAGATTGATAGCTCCATACTACAGCCTTCCACATCAATACAGTCTCCCTCTCCAGCACCACAGCAGCAGAAACCAGACAAGGCAGAGACTGAAGAGATACAGATAGAGCAACAGGAAGCAGCGTTGTCAGAGGATGATTTCTCAATTGAAAGTGATGAGGAAGAGCCACCCATGGCTGTCAAAGAAGAGCAACCAGATATACCCAAACAGGAACCCGAGGAACCTGCAAGATCAGAAACACCCACTATTACTACTACGACTCCACCTAATACAGCAACGATCAAAACGGATCAAGATGAGATGACGAACGATACCCAGGCACCTACAGCACCTACAGCACCTACAGCACCTACAGCACCACACATCCACCAATCAGAAGCGATCCAATTTTCCCCATTTGAGGTATCAGAACAAGAAATGGCTCACAATCCAGAATGGTTCAAGCAGAAATACAGCAAGACACCAGACCGTTACCTCAAAATACGAAATCACATGTTGGCATGTTGGAAGTTAGTCAAACCTAAATACCTCACCAAGACAAGCGCCCGCAAAGGCCTCAAAGACTGTGGTGATGTGAATGCGATAGGCAGAGTGCATGAGTATCTTGAATCAATTGGCGCCATCAATGTGGATTGTGTTACAAGTGCACCGCGACCTCCTCGACGGGTCCCGCGTGAGTGGAATGGCCAGGGCGATGACGAGGAGCAGATATTGTTTGATGCCATGGAGGATGCATCTGGTAATGTTGTAGGTTACGATGGGCCTAGAAAACGCAAGGTGCGAAATGAAGCTGGAGAATGGTAACGTAATCCATGCAGTTGTTACGAGACACGCTGCTTACCTCTCTCTCTCTCTTTAGGGTGGACCCAAAGGAATTGGAAGGACGAGTCATTGAACATGGTCAAGTGATTGTTAGACTAGGTAGCCTCGGCGTGGTACAATGTTTGTTGTTTTGAGAGCCTAAACAAGTTTCATGTTTATTTTAGATTCAAAACCGACACGTACGGTAAAGCGATTATCTCATCACTACTACGGAGGCGACGATTTTGGAAGAGGCTACGATCCCTTTAGATTAGTGCCAACAGAGCACTATACGGAGGATAATCCAGCACCCTTTGAACTCGAAATATCCAGCGATTGCTTGCTGGTGATGGATTTCCATTCGCATTTAGCGCACACAGAGATCATTGGCTTATTGGGCGGTAACTTTATCACAAGGGGTGAATCCAAGATTCTGCAAGTGAAAGTCGTGTTTCCATGTCAGAGTACGAGTACCGGTATTCAGTGCGAAATGGATCCAGCGTCAGAGATGCAAGCCCGTGAAGTGTTTGCAGCGAAGGGTCTAAACGTGGTAGGCTGGTATCATTCACATCCCACATTTGAGCCACATCCCAGTATCAGAGACATTGAGAATCAGACATCGTATCAAGTAAGTTTCTTGCTTTTTTGAACATGAATAACAAACTGAGCGTTTACACACACACACAATAGACGCTATTCAGAGAAGAAAAGACAGGCGATGAGCCGTTTATCGGCGTGATTGTAACACCATACGACCCTGAAATTCAAAGCGAAAGTTCACAGATCCAGTATTTGCACATCAGTAAGGAATGGAACTCGTTACACTCATTTCGTAAGTTGAAAATCATGGCTAAAGCGTAACCATGAACACTAATTAACTTTTTGACAGGTGTGCCATTTGCATGTCGTAGAACCGTGATACAAAGCGAGCAGGTCTCTGTTGACATTATGGATCAACTCTTAAGACTGATACAAGAGTACAAGGATTACGAGCAGTAAGTGCTGGCGTGGTGGCTATGTTAGTAGTGAGATAAAAGGCTGATTGTATGTGTGCCATCTAGCAAAGTGAACATGATGCTTCCGTTCGGCTCTCAGTCGAGATTGGACAAATTACTGGATTCCTTGAGAGCGCACATCTTTATGAGTAATGAGAATGAAACCGAGTTTATCCTCAAAGTCAAGGAGGCTGTGTACAATGATTTCATTGATCAAGCACACAAGCAAGAAGGGGCAAATGGTGGTGACAATAAAGAGGGTTAATACAGCTCGCAGAAAATAAATGAATGCATGATAGATGTCTTTTTGTTTTTTATTGGTATTTTAGAGTTAGTTATACAGTGGTAGTGGTGGTGGTAGTAGTAATAGTAGTGGTAGTAGTAGTAATAGCACAGCAATTGCATTTTTAATTATGTGTATAGATATATATATAGGTTGTTAATAATATAGAAGTGTAATAAATATATATTCTTTTGGGTTAGGCATTGTTCATCATGTTTGTAGGTGGATTGGCGCCATGATTGTACTTTCTGACGTGTTGTTGCTGAATCACAGATGGTGAGTATGTGGGTGTTGTGGGAGAGTAGGAACGTCCCTCCGGGTGGTGTTGTTGTTGATGGTGTGAAAAGTAGGTCTGTTGAGGCTCGCTACCTTGATGAGCACCAGGAGATGGTACTGAAGACGAGCCAGACGATGAGCTATTGTATCGAGCGCGTTGCCAATCATAGCCGCTGTGAGGTGATTCAATAGGACCTGTTTGTTGCATCTGGAATTGCTGATGGTGATGGTGCATCTTTACTTCTTCAGTGGGTTGTGCGTTGTTGTGATACGCTTCATTTGAATAGGGATCAGAGTGGCCAGCATCATGAACCGCGTAGTTGGGCACTTGAGCATGATGCGTATAAGGCGAAGGAAGAGGAGGATGTGACATGGGAGATGATACATTGGAAGGTGGTTGTTGAACAGCATTCGCATAGTGAGGGTAAGACGAGTAATATGTGTAATTTTGAGGTTGCTGAGGTGCTTGATGATGTTGATCATAGCCATGGTGCATCATTGGCTGAGGCAAATCTTGAGGCTTTGAGTAATAGACAGGTTGTGGTTGTTGTTGAATAGGCTGACGACCAGGTGGAGTCATAGGTTCCGTCTTTGCAGACAATGTAGAAGAAGGTGTAGCAGAATCAGATGGAGCATCAGTACCGACAGGGCCAGACGATGAGCTAGTGGAAGTGCCGTTGACAGGATAGGGATGATGACGCTCTTGATTATTGTCAGCATAATGACCTGGGCTTCTACCTCGAACCACCAAGGGAGCAGACTGGCAAGATCCGATCTTGATCAATTGACCTCTATCCGTCTCAGCAAAGAGTTCAATGATACAAATGTAATACTGCTGAGCAGCTCTTCTCTTTCCGTTGTTGGCAGTGGCAGTCTTGAATTGCACTCTTTCAAAGGTTACAATGTTTTGGTTGTTTGCAACAGAGCTCATGCTGAGATTGCCACCGGGAGTGATGGGCTTGGGCTTGGGTCTGTATTGAGGGCCCTTATCACGCTTGGGGGTATGTTGAATCAGCTCGATCTCCTTTTCACTGTTAGCAACTCGAGCAGAGACACCGAGGAGGAAACGCTGCACGTTATACAAAGCACCGTCGTCATCTTTGACAAGAACGTGAGGCTCATTGACAGAGTAGTAATGATTGAATCCATGAACAGAGAAGACACTGCTGACTTGAAAGTAGTTGCGTCTGTAACAGGTCCAGTCGTTATCGGCCAAAAAGAAACCACGATCCATTTTAGATTGCACGCGAACAGATAATCTAAAGGACATTGTGAATTTAGTACGTTTTGGTATTGAGACAAACACATGACGACACTTACAATGTGGATTTATCAGATGAATAAAGGTTATCAAAAGGCTTGGTGGAACTAAAGTATGGGCCAGTTTCATTAGCAAATAGATTAGCTCTTCCTCTGACAACATTTCTGGCAGCAAATGGAATAGGTTGGCGGTACAATGGCGCTTCCGTATTCTCTGGGCGAGGTGTACTTGGTTGAGAATGAGCAATCATACTATACAAATGAATCAAAAGTGTTGTGATGAGTTAAAAAGGAAACAATAATCAAATGTAGAAATCAAGTAAAGAGAGAGAAAATAACGGGGCTAAGGAGGGAGGCAAGGTGGAGATGACCAATTACAACAGATGTAATATGATTTGATAGGTTGCAAAAAAAAAAAAAAAAAAAAAAAAAAAAAAAAAGTGTGAAATAGATGCTTACCCAGGTAGTCCATTAACATTTCCGTCAGCTTCAGGGGTAGCAGCGCCAGGAGAGGAAGAGGGATAGTTGTGCCTACAGTGAATATAAACCAACAAGGTTACCAAATAAATACAAAAAATCCTGATTTTGTAGTACCTGTTGCACTAAACAGCGACAGGTACAGCATAATTGACACGAATGCACGGGTCATTTATGTTTTAAATCTTTGCAAAAGATACTTACATTGGCTGATGTTGTTGGTGATGTTGTGGATGTTGATGGTAGACGTTATTATGAGCGTAATCATTAGATGGGAATGCACCAGTACTGGCCTGAGCGAGTTTGGGAGATGTGTCTACTGCTGTTGCAATGGGTGGGGTTTGGAGCGGCGCCTGCTGATTTGGCATGGCAATTTGCCATTCTTTAGTATCATGAACAGTATTCATTTTGATTTTCAAGTGGTAAGAGTATAAAATGTAGAAGAAAGAAAGAGAGAGAGAGAAAGAGAAGGAAGATTTCCGAGATTTGTACTACTGAGATTTATATTCGAAATGAAAAGAGAGAGAGAGAGAGAAAAAGAAACAGGAAAAGGTTAAATAATCCACCACTCTTCCACCACACAATTGCGCGGAAACTCAGGATGATTGTGTGGAAATTTAAGGTTGAGGAGCAGAGGGCCAAAAGAAGGTGAGAAATTTTTTTATGCCCGGTTCTATACTCCCGTATCAATTTAAGATTTACATTTTTATAAAATGACAAATGCGTTTTATACTATACGACAGCCATCTATCATGGCTAGGTTTGCAAAAACAATAGAGTGAAACACGAGAGAAGTTCTCCACTTTTTCTTTTCTGGATTATCATTGTCCATTTTCATCTTTTTTAATCCACAAAAATGTTACGAAATATTGTTATCTGTATCTAAGCGGGGACATTGTAACGATTCGTGCGACATTAGACTTTTTTTTTTTCAGCCCAATGATAAACGCAAAATAATATCTAGAGAGAGATTTTTACTTGTTTCCAACCTTGATGGAGTAAGTATAGGATCACAAATTTGGTCATTCCGAGATATATGAGAGCTTGGCTAGAATTTTTTATTGATTTGTTGTGTAGTTCAAACGAATCACCAATATTCCCATTAGTCACACAGGTTCAAAAATACGCCCTTGTTATTTTTTAAATGCCGATAGCTTTTGTCAACGATGATTGGAGGTCCCTTAAATTAAAATATAATATGATTGGGTAGATCAGAAAATTAGCCGCTTTTTGGGCTCCGTTGAACTTTCTTCGCTGCGTGGAAAGACCCATTAAAAAAAGAGATCAAGCCTAACGGATCTAGAATGTATGTATATTTGTTTATCAGTAATTATACAACTAAAAGCAAACAAGTTTTATGTGTTTGAGTTTATTTTTTTACGGTTGCAAAATAATAGAAGCACAAGAAAGCCGTAGTTTTTGTATGAAAATATCCTTGAGCGAATAATGGCGATGAAAAAGTATTGAAATTTTTCTGTTACAGCTACACAAAAGCGAAAAAGTCAATAACAGATCTACTCATATTGTTCTATTGTAATTATTCGAAATATTGCAATATAAATTGATCTACTATCATTACAACTATCTCTACATTTCCTATTGGATTGTCCTTTGCCGTTTCAATCAACATCTAAAAATAACATCAATCTTCTTTTTTTTTTTTTCTCAACAATTGTCATAGGATGTGTTTCGGATTCAGAGGGAATTCGATAAACTCAAATGACCGTATGATAGTAGCAGGTCTATCATCTTTACAAAAATCATGCTGCGATACGTCGCACGCATTATGACAATAGCGTTTTGCTTTTTAGTGTACCTTTTTGAATTGAGTTCATCTCAGCTATCCATGTATAGTAGTACATATTGCTTAAAAACAAAAGAGTAAATCAAGGTCAAGATTGATGATGGAGCACGTTGGGCTAATTTAATGCACGCATGACTATATGCTATGCGTCCTTTTCCCATAAATACAAACATCATGACTAATGGTACATATTTTTCTAACTGGCATCATTTCCCGACATCTTGAAAATCTCCATGGTAAAAGAGAAAAAAAATGGTTTTGGCCACTTGACCAAACCGAGCGCTTTAAATGACATTTTGTTGTACAGCACACAGCATGGATATACACAAGAGTATTGATGATCGATTGTACAACGTAGTTACTCTGTGTCTATTTCTTTATTCTTTATGATGTGAGCTACATTGAAATACTCGTACATGCCTGGTTTTAGACGCACTTGATGGTGCTTGCAGCAGTAGACTTTTTTTTTTATAGTACCGTCGTAATGACGATGGTGGCGGATCTGAACCAACATAATAAGTATGTCATTCTAAACAACCGAATAGTCCAAGCCATACAGGTTTGTTTTGCATATATTACAGTCAAGGATGCGACCTGTTTAAAGCTGCACTAATCTTATAGTTTACGAGCCTTTCGACACTGGGTGGTTTCCTGACCTACGCTTCGCTTCGGTAGAAACCAGCCTATGTTCAAACGGCTCGCGCTGCCGTGGGCCTTTGGCTAATATTGCAAAATTAATATAGCTAAAGTGTTAGAAGAACCCTGATTGCTGATTGATATATAATTACTGATCATAGGAGTGTTTATGCTTCGGATGGTTCTCACCGAAGCGAAGCAAAGGTAGAGAACCAAACTGCGCAGCGGCAGCTCGTGCTGCTAATTGCTCTTGCATATCTTATCAAAATACTGCTACTTTCATTTTGACCCTCCACTTACACATGGGAACCCTTGATATCATCTGTGGGTCTGATTCTTATGCTATGCTCTACATCCATATACACGTAACTACTTCATATAAGGACAAGAATCATACTGGTATTTCCCCTTTTTAGTCCTTAGCGCCCCTGATGCAGCAAAACCTGAGTGTATTTGAACTGTGTTTTCTCGCGTTCAAGGCCGTTTTAGATGGTCAGAATAGCACCAAACAATTGTTCTCATCTGGCAGTTACTTTCTGACACCTTTGCTCAACTTTTTGGGGACCAAAAAAACATGGACAAAAATCGACCAAAAAGCATGAGGTGCCCCTCATGGTTTTCATCGAAAATCAAATGACCGCATTTTTCACCTTGATAATGAAGACTTTTACTATGGTATATCATGAATCAAAATGTTTCTATCGATCCAAAGCAACCTCTGAAATCATCTGTGTGGGACTTCGATATGTAAAATTTCGATATTTTGACCATAAATCTCTTTTCATATTTTCGTAAATTACTCAACAAGTTTATTCAAAACATTTATCTTATTTGATACCATTGGATGCGCCTTGAAAAGCACTCCAAGAATGTATTAGGAAGCATTGGGTGATTATCATATTTCTTATAGTCGAATCTGCAAAAATAGATCAATCGAGTCAAAAATTAATAGAATTTGACCAATCTAAAACAGAATAAGGTTTTGGATTTGAATTAACTTTGGCTGGTGGGGCTAGCTGGCAAACTCAATGCGCTTCTCATAAGGCAATATAGTTCCTCTGGCCCACGGTAACCATTGATGATATCCGCCATTCCCTCCTCACTCTCGACTTTTACAATATTCGATATAGTCAGCGGCCTCGTGCTTCCTCCCATCATATAGTCATCATTGCGATGTCTAACATTTGGAAAGCTCACTATCGTCTAATCTTCGACCAAACTTCCTTCGCTCCCGCCGCTGTGCTGAATAGTATCCGACTCGACATCCAAAAAATGATCGACGAAGATCTCATTCATGCCAGCCTATAATAGTCCCTCTTTTATATAGTTCTCATATTTTGTCTAAACATATATAATATTATCGCAGAAAATTGCGCCCGCCGCTTGATTATAGTCCTGCTACTATTGTCTACGCGGAGCAAGTAATAAAAACCTTTAAAAATAAGGCAATATAGTAATAGATGGTCTTGAAGCATATGGAAAGTAGGCGGCAAGTCGTAGCACTATCGTTCACTATGGTATGTTCTTGCATTCTATGTTTAATAACGCCATTCTGGACATTGCCGATTCATGGGCTGCATAACATGTCTGCAGCAGTAAGGGAATCTGGATCATAATCAACATTTCTCTCAAAGAGATGGTCAGTTTTGTTACACTAGGTGTTACCAGTAATATCAACTTTGAAATAAAATAAACATTAATTCCACACTCTTTAGTGTTTTAAACAATATGTTACTTAGGTTTCTATTACGACGTGGTTTTCTCGATGGTCGAGTACGTTCGTTTTGTTGTCTCAATCGCAGCCGTTGACTAAATCTCTGAGGCTCCACGCCGTCGTTCAAAGAAAACGTTGAAAGCACTGAGCAGAGGAAAGAGAGTAGAAATAGCAATGGTTTTTGTTGATTGATTGTAAAATCATTAATCATATATGAGCCAGGCCTGACAGATGCCTTGAAACTTATTCGTTTCCATATTAGGGTTGTAAAAGTGTCCAAGGACTGAACATCTGTTATAATATGATTTATGAGAAATACTCAGAGACATCTAAAATATGAACAATGCAGCTCACGATAAGAACAAGATGAGCAAAAGCACTGTTTCTAAAGAATGATCGAATATGGTAATAAAATAAGCTGTTTGCTTTGCGTTGCCAGCTTGTTGGCATTTTACCGCTTGTATAATGCATTGATTGCAACCATTTACCGTATGCGTAACTGACCTGGGCCACAAACGACACTAAGGATACTATGGCAATTGGATCGCATGCCAAAGTACGATTGAATTCAAACTTACCGAGTATCATGGCACTCGCAATGCTTAAAACTGTTCTAAGCTCTACTCTCGCTCAATTGATGCTACAGCAAATGATTTTAAGAATGTTCGGCAAGACATGTAATGAGCTTGTTCTATGATCAAACGTATTTTTATTTCTAATTAACTAATCAATCAAGTTATTTCGTCTCACAAATTAGGGAAATCCTTGGTCTTTCTTTCATTTTCGTAGTATTTTGCAATCAAGAAAGCAACATCAAGGGATTGCTCGTAATTCAGGCGAGGATCGCAATGAGTTTGGTAGTTTGTAGACAAATCATCGTCTCTCAGGTCCATTGAGCCACCAATACACTCAGTTACTGAATCGCCAGTCAACTCGAAATGAACACCATTCAACTTACTCTTGCAATCCTTGTGCACACGGAAGGTTTGTGATAATTCTTGGATAATATCAATGAAATGTCTGGTCTTCAATGTTCCATCAGAGGCCGTCTTTGTATTACCATGCATAGGATCGCACACCCAAACAGGAATATGACCAGATTTGCGAACAGCTTCAATATGCTGAGGCAGATGCTTTTCCACCTTCTCGGCACCGAAACGTGTAATCAGTGTCACTTTACCAATCTCCTTATTGGGATTCACTGTATCAAGCAAGCTGACCAATTGCTCAGGCACCGTGCTTGGTCCAACTTTGATGCCGATAGGGTTTTCAATTCCACGCATATATTCAACATGTGCACCATCAGGTTGACGAGTGCGATCGCCAATCCACAAAAAGTGAGAGCCTGTGTTGTACCATTTTTTTTCCTTGGTGGTGGGTGACATTAATAAGCGAGTAAGGCTTGTTTCATAATCCAGCAAAAGTGCTTCATGGGAGACGAAAAAGTCGACTGATTGAAGTGCATTTGTGTTGTCATTGTCTGCACCGATAGTCCTCATGAAATCAAGTGAATCTGTCAGTTGTGTCACAATAGACTCGTATTCTCTCTTGACGTTATCAGAGCGCACGTGGCTCAAATTCCATTTAGAGGGTTCATGTAAATCAGCAAATCCAGAGTCGAGTAATGTACGCACGTAGTTTAGAGTAGCTGCAGAATGGAAATAAGCGCTGCAGAAAAGAGTCAATGCAATGGGAAACGCTGTGCTTACATATTACACTTACCCTAACAAGCGCTCAGGATCAGGCTTACGATCACTGGGATCAAAACCGTTGACATTATCACCTCTACAGCAGGACGTCAATCACCCGGACACTACCCTTGCGTGCTGCACATCACTTACCTGAAAGAGTGAATCTCCTTTCCTTCATGCATTTCCATGGGGTTAGAACGTGGTTTGGCATATTGACCAGCCATACGAGCAATGCGCACCACGGGTGTGCGAGCACCCCACGTCAAAACAAGTGACATTTGTAACAGAACCTTGATTTTAGCTTCGATTGGATCCTAATGACAATCTGAATTAGTTGAGCTCAAGGTAGAGCGATCACCCAATCCCATACCTGAGAGCAGTAGTCAAACAGCTCGGCACAATCACCACCTTGCAACAAGAAGGACTTACCCAGAGCAGCATCCTTTAGCTGTTTTCTAAGATTATCCACCTGGATAAGATTGTCAATGAGTCAGACAAATGATCCCACACAAGAGACACTCAATCACATACCTCAGCGGCAGATACCATGGGGGGTAAGCGCTGCAGTTTGTTCAATACACGATTCACATGTGCTTGGTCTTCATAGACAACGTCTTGCACAATAGGCTTCTGCTTCCAATCTTGAGGGCTCCAATCAGTAGACATCTTTGTTCGTTTCTTTTAGTAATATAGGAAAAAAAAAAGAGGAGGGGTCAATGGGTTTCTCTATTTTTTTTCTTTTGTGGGTTGAAATTGAATGGCTCTTTAAACCTTCATTTAGAATCCCACCGTCACCTAATTTTTGACATGATAATTCATTATGAGTCAATATTTGTATATTGGTAGTACTCATCAAGATTGTATAAGTCAATGCAATACACAATTAGAATCTTATGATATATATATATATATATATATATATATATATATATTAGTAGAAGTATACATGTCGAATTGATATTGAAGTCTGTCCATGCCAAATAGCTGTTGGTAATGCAAACATTCGGTTGGATAACTGATGTCGAATTTCGGGTGATGAATAGGTAATGGCTCTCGGTTGACAGGATTTAGCACCGTTTTCATTGATTAGAATTGATTTGTAGCCATATGACTCATATGTGCCAATGACTGTTTATTAACTTAAAGGAACGCAACACTCCTGCTGTATGCTGTATGTTGAGCTGATCAAAACTTCCTCACATACACACATTATGGAGTAGCGCTATTACTACATCTAGCGGTAAATATATTCGCATTGATATATGCATAACATAGGTTTTAATATCACAAAAGCACTAATTTTACGCTCAATTGATCAAAGAGATTATGCAGACCAAATCTTGAGTGCTTTTCAATGTGCAATCCCTTTTTTTATTAGCTTCAAGAACATCGATTGCCTTCAAGAGACAACCAGCATTGATATCGCTAGCCGCCAGAATTAATTAAAACGCAGTTTAGTTTTTTTTCTCTCGAAATGGCAATTTCTTCGTCTTGAATCGATTTGCAAAATCTGTTTTGCGAAATTGGACTATTTAAGTCGTAATTATCAACCCTTACTTCCTTAATCTTTCTTGGAATACTTTTCAAGACGCTTCCAATGGTTCCAATTGTTAAAGGTGTTTTTAACAAAGTTATTGAGCAATCCTTAAAAATATGAAATGGAGTTTTTGGAGAATACGTCGAGATTTTACATATAAACATCCCGCAAAAGTTATTTCAGCGGTTGCTTTGGATCCATAAAAACATTTTGATTTAGTATATACCATAGTAAAAGTCTTCGTTTTGGAGAACAAAAACACGATCGTTTGATTTTTGATGAAAAGCATGAGGGGTACCTCATGCTTTTTGGCCATATTTTGGCCATATTTTTTTGGTCCCCAAAAAGTTCAGCAAAGGTGTCAGAAAGTAGCTATGAGATGAAAGCATTTGTTTGGTGCTACTCTGGCTGCCTAGAACGGCTTCAAGCACGAGAAAACACTGCCCAAGTTCTTCAGATTTTGCTGTGTTTTGTACATATTTGGGTAGTAAGAGGCATTACAAATATACTATCAGTTCTAATATAAATCGTTCTTATAGACACAAATGCGGAGTATTCCAACAAGAGTCAAATCCACAGTTATAGATGTGTTATAGAGTTTGATATAATAGTAGAAAGCTTAAATAAGAGTAAAATTTCGATACAGACCATTAACATAGATTCCACTCATAGGCCATTCATGCAAATTGAGCTAGAAGGATGTTTGATGCCTCGTTCTTGAACGTCAATGGTATACTTTAGTAATAACATAACAATTGGACAGACAGTTTGTAGGGCAAAAGTAGATTCAAGAGTTACTGGGTTTTGTATACTGTACACAAAGTCAAGTATCAAACATAAAGTTAATCTTTTATTAAGTGGTAAGTGAATATATTATATCACAGTGTTCTGATTCGATCCTCATCCGTAGGACAGAAAATTGGTGCGTTGGCATTAAATTTGAGAGTTTCTTGCTTCTGATCTGGCTGCATGAACATCATTTTCCTGTCAAGCTCCCGTCAGTAATTTGTTCGATAGTCATGTACACCAAACTCAAACATACCATAGCATCTTGGACAGCCACTCGTGAGCCAAAGTAGACGGATGAAAGCAATCGATATTACTATAAGCAAGTAGATGAGTTGTTTGAATCCATGCAATTACTGCCGTATCCTACCTGATTGCCTCTATAGGAAATGAAAAGATATCTACCAGCAAAGGCTGATAGACAACAGCGAATTGTTGGTCGGCCTCAAACACACTACTTTGGAAATGCTGTGCCACGTCTTGCAATGCTTGATTGTACTGAGGAAACAAGTTGCTCATGATAGTAAGATTAGCTGCACTGTGAGAGCATTCGCATTCATGGTCATGGCCAATAAAGTTACTACCCGGTATAGGTTGACAGTAATCGGTAAAGTTGGCAGTATTCACCACAATGTCTTGCACTCGCATCATGCCAACTGTATTCAGGCCATAAGTCTCTTGCTTTCTTTTACCATAAAGTCAACTTACCTATTTGCACCAGTACGTTTGACACGCTTGTTCTAATTCTTTCAATGGCTGCCAACACGTTGACACTAAATGCAGGAGGAAGAGAAGTGATCTCTGTGCACGAATGGCAAATGTCGTTGGAACCGATGAAGACTGTAAGCAGCTTCCAATCCGTTGGTTTCGCGCCACCCGTCTTGTACACCTTGTCCAAGTAGTCCAATATGTAATCAATTTGATGATTTAAATTCAAGCTTCGAGCACCGGATTGTGCAGCATTCAATACATCGTTTTTGGGTCTGTATTGGCCATCAGGACAAATTTGGTTGCCTATCCAAGGTATTAGTAGATATTTCATCAATGACTGTATAAAACTTACCAAAGCAAATACTAATAATGTGATCTCCTTTTGAAGAACCCACTAGATGATACGAGTAGTAGTTCATAATATTAGGTACAGTGACAGTATTGGCGTCCTATTGATTTCATGTTAACTGGATGCCAATCACACTGAAATGTGTCAACACCTACACCCCCCATTGCAAAGGATATGCCTCTGTTTTCATACAAGTTCTTGATGTTGAAAAAATTGTCATTTTGAACACCTTTGGCAGCAAAGCCAGCCATGACACTGTTATGGCATTGTGCTAGTTAGTTCTACTAGTATAATTTGATTTGAGCAAGACCACATACCTATCACCTAATCCCATTACAATACGAAAATCGTCCGGTCTCAGGTCATGCACACTCTGCGGTGGTGAAGTTCGAGGGGATAAAAATGGGCATTTGATATCCAAAGGCACTTCTGCTGTACCGTTAAAGACTGTGCTATTTGGATCTCTTTTCAAAGTAGCAATGGTGGCTGTCATGACAGTAGGTATCAAGAGCACCGAATACAAGTAGGCAATAATGGACAAGGAGGATGCAGCAAAGAGAAATGTAGGAAGCATATCGAAATAGCTCCAAAAGCAATGTATAATGCTAGCTGAAAGGTCTTGTCTATGTTGATCGAAATGTTGCAGTGCTTGGTCCTCTTCTTCCGGTCGCTGCGGCTCTTCTTGAAGTGGCAAGAGAGGATGCTTTGAGAAAGAGAGAAGAAACGAATCACCTTTTATATAAAACATGCAAAACGAAAGCTCCAAGTGTCAGTTTCTATTAAACAAGAGTGAAGCTATTTATTATACTACATGGCTGGTATAAAAAGGAGTGCAGAGTGCTTTCTATCAGATTACTTTTTGAAAACACACAAAAAGGGGGGGGGGGAGGAAGGTGAGATATCTACAACAGGGTTAAACGATACAGCTGAACACCAGTCTCTAAAGTCATTCGAGGCACCAGACCATCGTCCTCATCCTCTTGGCCTTGGTATGTGAGCAGTTTCACGTTGAAATGTGCTCCACACAGAGACCAAAATCTACGCTCTTCCGCCTCATCAAATCCACGACGCTTGTAACCAATGTAGATGCGGGTAGATTCTGTGCTAAGATCAACAAACGCCTTGACAAGATCCTCAAAAAACTGCGTTTCATACAACACATCAGATGCGATAATCAAATCAGCCTTTCCACAAGCTTCAGCCTGTATCGTATTGCCCCATAACAGATTTCTTGTCTGCAATTTGACCTGTGTATTATTGGCCAAGAACTCATTGATCGCGATGTTTTGATCAATCAAATCCACAGCCTCGTCCAGTTCGGTGATGGTGATTTTGCCTTGCTTGAGGGTTGAATGAGGTGATGCCATCATGCTTGCTATGTATAAGCCCAGCAGTCCAGTGCTATATTTTGTTTGTTAGTTCATCACCATACCGAATGTTCAGAAGGTGCACATACCCAGCACTCAAATCTAACGTGTGCTTCTGATCGATATACTCTGGATGAAGATCAATCATATTCTTCATCACATCAAGCATCACAAGCGCAGAGTCCCAAATCTTGCCTGGAATACCAGAATCCCACATCTCATGTATAGCAATGTTGACAGGTGGGTTCTCTGAGGTAGAGAACACACGGTATCCGTCATACACCATCTTTACGGCTGCTGAATTGGGCCATAGTTCCAATGGCAGTGATGTATCCAATGTTGGTTGCAATGCGGGATCAATCTCAATGGGCCCAATGACAAGCGGCAAGATGTTCTCTGTATTGTAATCTGATCTCTTTTCTTTGGGGAAGTTGACCAGCTGGACAGGGCGCATGTGCAGAAATTTGGTTTGTTTAGCTGTCGATGCTGTTGTTGCGCTGCTATGCTTTGATCTGATGCGGTATTCAAAGGCACCCTTTCCCGAGCTCACAAAGCCAGACACAGGCAATGCATCCTTTGATAGCTGGCCCTCTGTGAAAGTACGAGCTGGTCGAATCTCCAGTTCCCAATCAGGATCTACGCATGAAAAGGGAGTAATGCCTTCATCGGTGTTTGGTGTATACAAGTCGCAGGCAAGAATGACCTGACCATCAGGTTCAATGTCTGATCTTCTAAACAAGCCCAATTCGTTCACTAGCAACAAATCCACTCGATACCAATGGTCAGGCGCTACTTGAGATGCTAGTGGTGAGCGCAAGTTGATGCGATACAAGGAAAAGTGCTTTTCCAATTTTGCTCGAAATTCCTCGTCAGTCAAACTCATGGTGTACATGCAACAAGAGAAAAAGGTGCTGGGAAAAGTTTTCCAAGAACGCGTTTATTTTATCCACTGACACAGATCGTTACGCCAATGACCACTAAACCCATCCCCAGCCAAGCATCTATTAGAAATTACTAGGATAAGTCTTGTATATTCGCTACATGTAGATTGCTTCCTCTACCTCTCCCGCCCATCTTCTCTCCTAAACAGAGCCCAGTCAACAAGGAAAATATGAATGTCAATGAATTGGTGATAGGCACCGCAAGAGACATGTCTATATTTGTATAGTCAATTAGCATATTCCAATGCTATTCTGTCGGCCTTGAGGTTACCTGATTTGCCTAGTGTATAGTAATATACAACAGATCCACTCAGGTTGAGCGCCAACGGTAAAACATACTGCAACAGATGGTTGAGTGCTCATCATTCAGCCAGGCGCATCATGGACGTCTCAGGAACCTACCTGCCATTTGGTGAACAGATACTTTAATTCTGCTAACCACTTTTTTAAGCCGCCTTGAGGATACTTTTCGGATACCTTATCCAGGCCAGCACTTCCTGCCTTTATCAAGGGATTCGTTGATCCCCAGCATATAGCCACTTTGATGGTACAAGTGAGCAAAAACTGTATACATGTTGGGTGTGTAGATATCGTTTACCTAGTATAAATCCAATCAATTGTCCTGCGGACTGTTAGCTGATACACATAAACACGTATTGTACAAGCATTTACGAAGAGAATCTGATAGCATATTTGTATATCAAAGGTGCAGAGAAAAGGGAGACAGGAACTCACACAATTTGCTCCAGCTTATTGGATTAGCGGCTCTGGGGGAGGGGGAGGGGGAATTTTGTCACAATCATTGATTTCATTAGACGTTGTAATCTCGAAATGAAAAATGTGTAGCAGGTACCCATCTCTTGGTTCAAGCAAAGTTTACCTCATAAACACTCTGCCTTTGAATAGTTCTTACAGAATAATATGGTGAATTTTTATATATATATATATATATAAATGATTTATAATAGTCTAATTACATATGCAGCATTTTACTTTGTTTGAGGAGAGGGTGTTGTCGAGCTATTTGGCGTGGCAAGGTGGGTATGTGTGTATGTATGTTGTGATACACTATAGTGCTTATAATGGGTAAGAAGAAAGCATACGTTCAATGATAAACATATACAGGCCTCGTTGGAAATTATCAGCAACACTCATCAGCTTCATCACCGCAACAGCAGCAACATAGACACAACGTAGCAAATCTGTATGCATGCAGGCGCATCGAGAACAACGTAATCAGCAACAATGAAATTGACTCGTACATAGCTGAGGTGTGTAAACAACTTACAATCCTAGACAGCAGCTACAATCTCCATAACAGCAATCGCAGCAACATCCACGCCTCTGATAAACAACAGGGTAGGGTTGCTGTGCCATGACAGGCCCTCCGCCTACCTGCATTGCGCCCATGGGCGGATAATAGCCTACACTCATGTGCATCAGCACAGCAATTTGAATCAAGAACAGTGTGTGCATATACCTGGAGTTTGCTGAGCTGCCATGACAGGCGTATATGGTGAAGGGCCATTGTAATACGGTGTCGCTGATGCCATCTGAGGCATTGCCGGAGAAGCATACATTGGCGAAGCAGTGTACATGGGATTTGGCATCGTCATTTCTAATGGTATATACAAAGAAAAAGAAAGAAAGAAAGAGGGTAAGGAATACAAGGATGCGAACAAGGGATTCTTGTTGCCTACGAAAATCGCTCACTCAGCAATTTTTTGTTTGTTTTTGTGTTCTGTTTTATAAACTCTCTAGCGGCTTTCAACCCATGATCAATGACGCTCAACAAAATCAAGTCGTCATGATATTATAATACCACCAGTAAATTACGGCCCAAGACATCTTTTTTTACTCTTACTGCTCTCTCTCTCTCTCTCTCCTCAAAATGGACTGTAGGCTACGGTTGATCTGATCTGACAGTTGCAAGTCCGATGGGATGCAGATCAAAAAATCTGGATAGTATTACACTTATAGACACAAACATACAAGGCTCTTCAGCAGCTAGTATATTGCAGTTGCATATGCCAAACTACAAGAATCTAGAGCAGAATCAAAGACAGCCCTACCTGCCATATTTGATCATTTCGATACAAAAGAAACTCTAATTGCATTGAACTCCAGTTGTGTGTAGACATGATGCTACAAGTCATTGTACGACACTAGCAAACGTCATTAGATAAAATCCATCATCCAAATATGAATCAGACAAGGCGAGAGAGTTTGAAGCAATGCAAGTGATATGGTGTCACTATGATTGTGGAGGGGCAAAAGAGAGCAAATGTCAACAAACACGCCCTTGATGCACATCTTTATTTGTCTGTGTAATAAGGTTTTAATGAGTTTCCTTTCATATAGCTAATCCGTTGCTAGTAGCTTATAGATAAACTGAGCCACGTGTGTATATGGGAATTTGATGTATACGTTCATGATTGTGTTTTACCGCTGCTAATTGCCTCCAATTTGGGCTTTAGTTTTGCAAGGTCATAAGAGTACGCTGATTGATCAGGACAAGAATCAATGTAATTCAGGACATCCGCCACTAGCTCCTCTAATGCATTGCTTTTGCTCTTGATTGTAGTCATGGGTGATTGCTGTGGCAACGGTACTGCTGGCGCTGGCAATGCTGATACATGAGATGCGCTCTTTTGATGCTGGTTAGGTATGCTTTTATGAGGAACTGGTTTGTGATGAATGGCGTGTGCATGTGCTGGTTTGGAACCTGGATTGAGGGCATGATGGACAAGTGGCGATGATATTTTGACGGCATTTTTCAAAGGCCTGTTGCGTTGGGAAAAGAGCAGGTCTTTTCCGTAGGCAATACCTACTTGCGCATCTACTGGCTTCTTTAATGATCGCTCTGTGATCCTGCGAGAGAAATTCAGAAATTCATGGGCATTGGGAGATGCTGCTGTGCTTAGATTTGAGTGCTCATCATCCAGCTCAAACATGAGCGAATTGTGTGTGGTGGTCGTGGGCGAAGAGGATAGCATTTTTATCAGGAAAGAGAGGGGAAAGAAAGGGTAAATATAAACCAAAAAGCTAAACTTGCATATCGTATTTATTCTTGTAACTGTATCATCATTTGAACGGGTAAATTTATGTAGGTGAAAATAGCCAATATGAATTTAGATCTGCAAGGATTTGTTTGTGTATCTCTCATGCTGGTATTCAAAATGATGGCCCCTTCTTCTTCTTCTTCTTCTTCTTCTTCTTCTTGTTTACACTTCTTTGCAGCACACCCATGAACAAGATTGTGATAGTCAAGCTTGGTGGGGCTGCCATCACCAACAAGAAAGGGATATGTGAATTAGCACCAGAGAATGATTTGTCCATCTTGCTGGATCAAGTGGCAGCTGCTTATGAGATATTGAAAGGAGCAGGACATCAACTGATATTAGTTCATGGTGCAGGTAGTTTTGGACATCCTCAAGCAGTAAAATACAACTTGAAATCGGGCTGGTCGTCATCATCATCAACTGGTACTTTGTCAAACATGCCAAATGCAAACTATCTGAAAGGCTATTCACATATTCGCAACTGCCTACAGGCACTGTGTCAAGCCATCGCTTCTAAGCTAGAAGCACGGCATGTGCCAACGCTAACTATGTCGCCTATCGATTACATTGAAACAGTCAACTGTGAAGACACGCCTACTAGCGCATTTGCGGCAATGGCAGATCGAGTCAAAAGGTATCTCTCTTTGGGATTTGTGCCTGTGTTGCACGGTGACGCTGTCCTTGATCAGATTAGGGGATGCACTATTCTGTCTGGTGATATCATTATGTATCAACTCACTCGATTGTTGCCGCAAGTGTGTCGATGTGTGTTTATTACAGATGTGCGTGGTATCTACAAGCTTGACCCTAAACTGCGCCCTGAACAAGAGAATGCACTGATCCAATACATCAAAGTCAGTGCCGCTACAGCGGACGATCACCTATCATCAGATCAATTGCAACAACATCATCAAAATGATAAAATGGCCGTGGCAGATGTAACAGGCGGCATGCAAGGAAAGGTGAAATGGGCCAAGAAAATAGTCTCTCACAGCCAGCAAGATCTTGACACTGTCATTTGTAAATGGGGCACAGACGAAGCACTGGATATGATGGCACTGAAAGCAAAGCCAACGCCTAATGCCTTCATGACTATGTTCGCAAGAGATTAGGTGCTTTTATTATTAATTTGACAAATATTCCTGGACAATCTGTTTGATGGATTCGGGTTCCTTTTTATACACTTCCAGTAAACGTTCCGTTGCCAAAGCTTGTAAATCGGACGCATGGTCTACTTCATTGGAGGTCAACAATTTGCTTGCACACTGTTAGAGAGAAGGAGCTGTCAGTCATCTTTGCCCGCTTGCAATGCTTGCCTATTTACCAATTGTAACCCATAGAGCGCTCTCACATTATCAGTGCATAGTTCCAAAACTTTACAGTAGTGCTTCAATGCCAATGGCAGGTGATTCAAGGTGTAAAGGATCTCTGCATATTTGAGGAAAAAGACGTGATTTGAAGGTTGAAGGATGATGATCTCCTCGCAGCAATAGGCAGCCTGATCGTACATGTATTTCGAAAGGTAAACGTCGCACAGTTCTAGCCATGCTTCATGATCGTCGTAATAAGTATCCAAGTAATTTGTTAATGCTTCAATCATCTCTGATTCCTTGTTCCTTGTCTTCAATAATGCAATTTGGCGCTTTGAAGCCAGCTAGAGTCGGATAATGTTAATCCACCACTTCGGCATTGGTAATCGTAAAGCTAACTTACCATATTGGTATCATCTTCCTGGAGGATTGTATCGTACACTTCCTGTGCTTCGTCTAGTTTTCCTTGTGCTTCAAATCGCATACCTAATAGACGGCGAAATCTGAGCGACTTTTCTGTAAAGCGAGCCTTGAGTTTATCGATGCAAGCCTATATCCAAAATTCTCTTTCAATGAATCAACTTTTTTACCAGTGACATACATATGAACTTACGTCGGCGAGAGGGAAATCTTGAACATCAAGCGCAGCAACCGCGACTTGTTCGTAAAATGGCCAAACTATGGCATGCACATGTTAGATACAAGTGTTTATGAGGTTGATAGTTGCGCTCTTACTGGCATCACCGAGTTTAGCAGTGTAATTATCCTTGATTAATCTAGCACCAAGAAGACAAACCTTCTCAGAGCTGCGCTCGTTTGTAAGTCTATAATGCTGGAGCTCCTCAGCTGCTTCTTTATGATTAAACTTGCTCATTTATGTGTGAATTAAAGAGTAAAGGTGCACCAGGTAATTTGTCTCGCGTTCAAACCATCATTTCCTCCCCTTTCTAGTGGTCTATCTCACCGTCACTTTAGATAGCTAAAAATGCGCTTCTCGAATATGGGTGGTGCATCCCTAATCATGCCTAAATCAAACTTTTGAAACCGAAAAAAGATAGCAATTTCAAACCACCGTCGATGAGGAAGAGGGAAAGATCATCATGACTATTTGAACTATTAATTCATCGTCTATAAATTTACAAATCCATCAAACAAGACGTAATGAACAATCAGAATGACCTGTATGTTGCAGCTTTGAATAAGATCTCAAACGACAGGTAATTCTTGAATTTACGCAAATAATATTGCTACGACGACGGGTGAGTTGGTGCACATTCATCACATGCTTTTCTCTGGAAACCCTCAGAATATCTGAAAATAAGGCTTGTATGAGCACTTTGTGTGAGATAACTATACAGAGCGGTACCATTCAATGCGCGTTTTCATTCAGCATAAACTGACTATGAACAGAAAACAATGATTAGTATGTATTGAAAATGTTACAATTGAGCAATCTTCCATTTTCAGGTCGGGATCTTCCAAAGCCATTGAAATATTGGTGCCAGAGCCTTGAAACTAGCATGTTCCTATAGTAGTTTGTGGCGAGAAAAACGCTGGTGTAGTTAGACTTTAGATTGGATGGGTTTGATGCTAAGAAATAGATGATTATCGAAATAACCCAACTTTGAGTGATGAGCTTCATATAAGAACTACGTGTTAATTATTACGAGCCTTTACCAGTAATAGATCAATAGATGAAGTGGTGTTAGAAAACGTTGTATTATTGAAAACCGCTTGGCAATGTCTTGCTTTACTGTAGTGCCTCAACAGTTTAAAGCTGCTGGGCTGCGCTTTTCACAAAAAAGGGGGAGCAGCCATTTGCGGCAAAAACACGTTTTTTTTAATAACACAACGAAAACATTCAAGTGGTGCTCAAGTCTATAAAATAAATCAAGGGCTTTGTATGATTAATAGCAATGCACAAGTAGAATTTTATATGCTCCACTGTAGCAAAAGTTAGCCCTGTTGAGTGGTCGTTTTTCGACAACAGTTTGTTGACAGTGGCTGGCCTATTAAGTGCTGTAGATGCATGAAAACAACTGATGCTACAGATTTGAGTAAGGCCTCAAACAATAGGTTATTTTTTGGGCTACACTACGAATAATGCAACAGATAAGTTGGTACAGGTCTGGTATGTAATAATTCATCTTAAATATGTTTCAATCCGCATAATTGAAACATTACTAGTACCATCATAATACATATTTATATATGATAGTCTTGCTTTTTGACAGGTATTGAACATTGGTAAAAATATATGTCAATACTACTTCCTAAACATCTATTACAATAAACTTACCACTTAATCCTACTACTCCTTGTTCAATATTATTTACGTAATATTATAAAATCATAACATAAATACATTTATAGGCTCCAGACACTTTTACAATCCTAATATGGAGGAAACTGAGTAGCCAGGCATTTTTCAAGCATGGTTCGTATACGATTAGAGATTATATATTAAATTACTATCAATCAACAGCCAAGTTTCTTCTATTATTAATTTTGCAATATTAGCCAAAGGTCCGCGGCAGCGCGAGGCGCCTGAATGTAGGTTGGTTTCCACCAAAATAAAGAGTAGACCAGGAAACCAACCGAAGAGTCAAAAGGCTCATCGTAACATAATGGATTTATGGCCCCCAAACACTTTCAAAGCTTCAAAAAGGAGAGATGTTGATTTAGCAAGTATTTTGATAGACTAACGTTATTAAATATAGAATGCAATAAAATATCATTATGAACGATATAATAGAAGGCAATGAAATATCACCATAAACGATAGTGCTATGACCTGCCACCTACTCTCTATTCGCTTCAAGGGCATTTACTATTGTATTGCCTTATGAGAAGGGCATGAGTTTTCCAGCTGGCCCCACCAGCCAAAATTAATTCAAACCCAGAATCATAGTCTGTTCCAGATTGGACAACTTTTGATGATTCTGGACTCGATCGAGCTATTTTTGCAGATTCGACTAAGTGAAGTATGATAATCACACCATGCTTCCTTAAGCTTTCCTGGAGTACTTTTCAAGGCGCTTCCAATGGTACCAAGTTATATAGATGTTTTGAATACACTTATTGAATGATTTGTAAAAATATGAAAAGAGGTTTCTGGCCAAAATGTCGAAATTTTGCATATGAAAGTCTCCCAAGCAAAGCTGTAGGGGTTACCTTGGATCGAGAGAAACATTTTGAATCAATATATACCATAGTAGAAGTCTTCGTTACCAAGGTCAAAAACGCGATCGTTTGATTTTCAATGAAAACCATGAGGGGTACCTCATGCTTTTTGGTCGATTTTTGGCCATGTTTGTTTTGGTCCCAAAAAGTTGAGCAACGGTGTCAGAAAGTAACTGTCAGATGAGAGCAACTGTTTGGTGCTATTCTGACCATCTAAAACGGCCTTGAACGCGAGAAAACTTGGCTCAAATGCACTCAGTTTTTGCTGTATTAGACACACTCTTGACTAAAAAGGGGTAATATTTGTATGATACTTGCACGTATATGAAGTAGCTACGTGTATATGAATGTAGAGCATCACATAAGGATCAGATGCTCAGATAATAAAGAGGACTCCCATGTGTAAGTGGAAGGCTAAAATGAAAGTAGCAGTGTTTTGATAAGATATGCAAGGGCAATCGGTAGTGCGAGTTGCCGCTGTGCAGGTTGGTTCTGACCGAAGTGAAGCGAAAGTAGAGTGCCATCCGAAGCATAAACACATTCGTATTAAATACTAAGTATTACCCAAGGCTTAAGGGTCTACAAATAGTAACACCAACCTCGTTCGTTTCTTGCACATCTGTCATCCTTTACCACAAAACCATTGTACTCCATTATAAGATAGGTTTCCTCTGATGAAAGCCCTCAAAAACATGAAAACCCAGACTACTTGAATTTCAAGCTATGGGAAATCTACCAATACTGGTATCATTCAATGAGCATTTCGATTATGTATAAACTTACTATGGATTGGGAACAATGGTTACCATCGAAAAAAGGTATACTCGTGCGATCAAAAGGTGCAAATGTTCAGCATAATGTTGTCAAGCCAATCGAAACTCGCAGATCTTACCGGTTCTAAAACTGGGCCAACAATGATGGCCCAAGAATGATGTCCCAACCATATGTGTGTAGTCGACGTTGCGCTCGCAGTGTGCCATAACGTTCCTGTTAGGTTGCTGATTTCAAATCACCAATGAATACTTGAAATGCCGGTGAGTTATGGTTTCAAGACTAGATGACTATAGCTTACTTTGTTCTCCTCCATTAGACCATCCAGTTCAGAGTATAATACGTGCTTTCCGGCTTGAAAAATACTGTACAATGTCGCTTAACTTACGTACTATAGGACTTTCCGAAACTTATATATCCTTTTTTCAAATGTAGCACATTCTTGTTATTCTAGAAACTGTTTTATATTCCTCGCAGTTGATATGCGCAACTAAGTCTGCAATGTCATTCTTAAATACGATTATATAACTAAAGTAGAGAGAGAGGCTTTGACCTAATATATAAAGCGTTTGATTATAAAGCAGGAGAATCTAAGCTCTACTCCTGCTAGCCCCAATTTGATTTAACTTATGATTGATGTGATACGTTTTGGTGTAGGGCGATTTTATGGCGTGGACTTATGGATCATGGATTGAAAATGGCCTCTAATGTTTTGCAATCTGATATGACATTTGTGCCAATGTCATAAAGCGGTTCCGAACATTCTCTTTTTTCATTTTTTTACTATTACTGTCTTTCAACAAATCGAATATTAAAGTCAATGTTAACTCGATACATGGGGCGTACATGCATTCAACCTCAGGCCACCTTTCAAATCTATGCAATGAATCTCGATTGCCTCTTAGGATAATGTCCCAGCTTTTTTTAGTTCAAATCGAGCTGAACAATGACTGATCATCAATAACATATAAACTGATTGATTACTTAAATGTTGCTTCAGACTCTCAATTGACATTTCGTCAAATTGCGTTCATTGGCTGTATTTAACAAAGAAGCAATATGGGTATCGCTGCCAAAGGTGATACTGCTTTTGGTGGATAACAGAATGGTACGATTATACAGTTTAAACCATTGTGTAAAAGCAAAATGATCCTTTGTGCCTGGAAATTTTGATATTCTAAGCTCAGTGCGGCGACATACTTGCGAAAATGAAATGAATGTAAACGGACCATAACTGTGCGAATTGATCACAAGATAATGATTATGGATAATACTTCCACCGTGGGAGGATGTACACAAGTTTTTAGAGATGTATTAAAGGTATATAAAAAGATCTTCATCTAAATCTTCATCTCTTTTTCTCAAGTTGTTTGCATTAACTTACAATTATCTACTCCCCCTTACTTTTTTTTCAAACATTAGTTAATAGAATGGCAAAAGGAGAAGTTCAAATGTAAGTTGATGCATACCATCTCAAGCATAGCAACTCATCTGTATCTCTCAGTCACAAACTGGCCCCAAGAGATCGCGATGTGTCAAAAAAACCAAACATCATTAACAAGTACAGTCGTACAATTACTCAAACGCCATCTGCTGGTGCAGGCCAAGCTCAATGTAATGTATTTGCTTTATAAGAAAGAAAAAATGAATCACTAAAGGGTTACAAATAGTGTACGCCACCGGACTTTCTGATGAAGATATGAACAAGGCCCAAGTTGGTATCACTTCTTTGTAAGTTGGTATTGAGAAATGATACAGCGTGTGTAAAAAAAAAAGCTCAGGGTTCCAACATTTGTCAATGATAAACAGTGGCTATGATGGTAATCCATGCAACAATCATATTGACGCTTTGGCCCGCAAAGTTCGCGATGGTGTTTGGGAAGCTGGATTAGTAGGCTATCAGTTCAATACCATCGGCGTTAGTGATGCTATTCCAATGGGTACTGCTGGTATGTCCTTCTCTTTGCCCTCCAGAGATGTTATCGCTGATTCAATCGAAACGGTAAGTGCGGATAATTAGCAAAGGAGAATTTACTTTTTGCAGGAAATTGCCCGTTAAACCTTAAATCACGTTGTAATGATCTAGGTAATGAGCGCCTTATGGTATGATGCAAATATCTCTCTGCCTGGATGCGACAAGAATATGCCTGGTGCAGTCATGGCAATTGCCCGCTTAAACCGTCCTTCATTGGTGATCTATGGCGGTACCATGAAGAAGGGGCACGGAACTGTTGGATCTTGCAAGGGCAGAGAAATAGACATTGGCAATGCATTGGAATGCAATGGAGAGTTCAATAGCGGCAAGATTACCGAGGAAGAAAGAAAAGATATTATTCGAAATGCTTGCCCTGGTAGTGGTAGTTGCGGTGGCATGTTTACTGCCAATACTATGTCTAGTGCCATCGAAGCTCTTGGTTTATCCCTACCTTATTCAAGCAGTATCCCCGCTGAGAGTCCATTAAAGGTTCAAGAGTGTCTCCGGGCTGGCAAAGCCATTCGTCTTCTCTTGGAAAGAGACATCAAACCCAAGGATATCTTGACTCGCAAAGCCTTTGAAAATGCATTTGTTACCATCATGGTGTTAGGCGGATCTACCAATGCTGTCCTTCACATGCTTGCCATGGCCAAGGCTGCTGATGTCGATTTTACTATTGATGATGTCCAAACTATCTCTAGTAAGACTCCCTTCTTGGCTGATTTGAGACCAAGTGGTAAATATGTCATGGAAGACTTGCATGATATCGGCGGCGTTCCAGGTAACGGTCTATCGTAGTGTAACAAAAGGAGATTTTGCAAACCTAAAACAACATATATTCCTATATATTTTTAGGCGTATTGAAATACCTTCTACAAAAGGGCATGCTCCATGGAGATTGCTTAACTGTAACAGGAAAGACTTTGGCCGAAAACTTGGCTGAAGTTGACGATCTTGCCGAGGGTCAACAGATTATTCGCCCTATTGAGAATCCCATCAAGCCTACCGGGCATTTAACCATTTTGCGAGGAAATTTAGCACCTGAGGTAATACAGATCTTTCGTGGTTTTGGGGTTTGTGTTACTAACAGACTCATACACACATGGGCATTAGGGGGCAGTTGCTAAGATCACTGGTAAAGAAGGCTTGGAATTCACGGGTATCGCAAGAGTATTTGACGAAGAAGACGAAATTTTCGCTGCATTGGAGCGAAATGATATTCCCAAGGGATCTGTTGTGGTGGTCAGATACCAAGGCCCTAAGGGAGGTCCTGGTATGCCAGAGGTAAGCAGTTATCATCCCAAATCTCGCGCTTTATTACTAATATTATGTTTGCTTTAGATGTGTAAGTTCTCTTTTAGCGCACATTGATAACGTAACGTCTTGATTGATCTAATGCATTGAACAGTGAAGCCAACTGCTGCAATTATGGGCGCAGGATTGGGTAAAGATGTTGCCCTGATTACTGATGGTCGTTTCTCTGGTGCCTCTCATGGTTTTATCATTGGGTGAGCGTCTTTCTATTCATAATCGATATCCAAGTTACTCATTCATTTTGCAGCCATGTTACTCCCGAGGCATTTGACGGAGGACCCATTGCTCTTGTTCATAACGATGACAAGATCACTATTGATGCGAATACCAGACAAATGACATTGCACATCCCCGATGAAGAGCTTGCCGAGCGCAAGAAGAACTGGCAACCAAAACCCCCCAAATACACGAAGGGCGTTTTAGCAAAGTATATCAAAACTGTCAAGAGCGCAAGTGAGGGGGCAGTTACAGACGAATACTAAGAATTCATTAAACAAAGTGCTGCATTAATAATATCTTTATTGCTACAGTTGTATTCTATAACTTGAGTCAAACAAATCAATACTAATAATATGTTATTAAATGCAATGAATTTGGCGTTAAATTATGATAAAAGATTTATAAATACGATAAAATAGATAAAATATGCAATTTTAGTGTCTATTAGCAGACATCCAGAAACCCAGACTTCCAGCAAAGACACCAATGATGATGGAGATAAGGTTCAATTCAGCAAAGAAACCACCAGCCTTTGTAACTTGGCACTCTTGTTCAGCTTCAGCCTTGTATTTCTTCTCCATAAGATCATTGAAATAGGGGTTCATGTAAAACTTGGCAAAGTAGTCGTTTTGAATCCACATCAGCTTGTTGAATGCGCTCAATACAGCACCCTCCTCATCACGCTCCAAACCCAAAGTACGAACAGTATCAATGATAGCAGACTCGACAAACCCCATCAGAGCATTGATATGAATGTAGTCAACATTGATCTTGGACTTCTTTTCAGGAGTGTCAAGATGGATCTTGGCAACCCAATCAAGATACTTGAGGAAACGGTCGTCATAGGGACCCTTCAGAATACGAATCAAGTACTTGCCCAAAAAGTCTTTACGAAACTTGATTTGCGGATGATCCAGAGTCAATTCATCAAGACTGTTGGCAAGTTCACCTTCAAAACCTTCATTCTTGGGTAAAAAGTGCTTTTTTGTAATATCGAATTCAAATTGCTTCTTGTAAACAGCATCGACAAGTGCAGGAACAGCAGGACGCATCTTTTCAGCAACCCCTTGGATAGCTTGCATGTCTTTCTCGCCAAAGCCCATGTAAGCAGCCACGTACTCGAAACGATACTTGTCATTGGTATACAGTTGCTTTTCGTCAATGTGTTGCATGGTGATAAGGATGAGATATTCAATGTAGTATGGATAGAGATCAAAAGCTTGGAGTTCTGTTCCTTGCCTTTATATACTTTAAATTTGACATGTTTCAAATTTAACAAACAATTGAATCACTTTTATTCAAATTCGCGGTGTATCGGTCAATACGGACATAACGACAGCAAGTTGATTTTAAGGTATTGTATTTATATATAACATAATGGGAGGAATAGATATTAGAGCAAAAGAAAGCTTAACCTTGAGGTTTTTGTTGAGTGGTATCATAAACACGGATAATTTTGGTTTGATCACTATCGTTTTGGGAGAAAGCATAGCCACGATTTCTCTTGAGACGCTGTATACGACGGACCTTATTCACTGCTTGCCTGAAACGATCCATACGGGGTCTGTAATCAGGCAAATTGTACTTTTGAATTTCCTGGACAAAATGGTAAGGAAGAGGACGATACATTCTCTTTGCACTATAAACATGGATGAGTAAAATTGGCAGTATCGACAGAATCAAGTACTTACTATTTCCAAAAGAAATCACGCAAATTGCAGACAAAAGGCACCAGCAGGACAAACAGCCAGAAATTGACATTTCCCCAGAGCATTGGGACAATGCCATAATATTCTGGGAACACATCTACTGAGATAGCGGGTCCAATAAACGCGACAACTGGCAAATAAATAAACCAAACCAGCATCGATCCAGGAATAGCAATGACGGTATATTTGGTCCAAATACTGTATTGACGGGTAGTTGTTCAGTATGCATATCTACAATCGTATGCGTGCGTGCATAACTTACTCTGTAATCAAGGCACCCTTCCACAAGATACAGCCCAATACGGCAGTAAATACTGCTGTACCTGCCCACCATTGACCCCCGACGAGGCCATTTCCAAACACGCCGTCTGTGCTCAGCATGCCCACACCGAGAAAGAATAAGATCTGTTTGCAAAGAGTTGAGCAGAGATTCTACTGTCATTTTCCAAGCGATTTACTTACCAGAGAATGGAATACCGCATTGCCAAACCAGCCCCAAAACTTCTTTTGATTGAAGAATTCGTTTGTCTGCCCAAGCATGTACATTTGAGGATACTTATCCAGCATTCTTGCAGATACAAATTGGTCAAAAATACCGATACACAGTGGAGGCAAAAAGGTGAAAATGACATTGAAGCAAGACATTGTCCAAGACTCGTACAAGGTAGATCCCGAAAACCCATTGTAGAAAGCATACTATCAGTGGCATGAGCATTGCTTGTTCACATTGGTTTGATTAGCACTTACCCAAAATTGTGTCAAATACATGGCTACATTCTTGTAAAAGTAGTAGAAAATCATCTTACTCAAGCGTTGGTATGCCCATGAGCCGTGTACCAACAGCAACTTCTTGAGGAATCTAAATTGAGAGATGGCGAAATCTGCGCTACGAGCTGCCTGGAGACCTTCAACACCACTAATACCTACACCCACGTGAGCCGCCTGAATCATGGACACATCGTTGGCACCATCGCCAATGGCTAGCAGAATGGATTTGTCATATTTCTTTACAAGTTTCACTACCAAAGCCTTTTGAAGCGGGGACACTCGGCAGCAGATCACAGCCTTACACAAGACAGTCAGATCAAACAACAATTTCTCAATGTCCTTTTCCAATGCAAATGTCAAAGCTTTGCCATCAATGACAAATGCCAAAGGCTAGATATAGAATATGAGCTACAACACATCACGACAGTACGGCATATAGAAGCCTACCTCCAAGTCTTCTCCACGCTCAATAGCGCCCTGAATATCCTTCAATTTTGACTCCAAGAAACTCTTTGTTTCCCAATGGCTGTCCATGTTGCAAACAATCAAACTCATCTCTTCATTCAGCAGTTTGCATGAATAGCCAATGTTGATGGCAGTCTCCTGTCGATCACCCGTCAAAACCCAGACCTTAATACCAGCTTCTTGCAATGTATGAATAGTATCAGGTACGCCATCTTGTAACTTGTCCTCGATAGCTGTAGCACCCAGTAAGAATAAGTTTTGTTCAATCATCTCAGCAGCCTTGTCCAGCTCATCGGCACGATCCACCAGTGTAGTAGCTGCCTTGTCGTAAATTTGAGACCATCTGGCGTATTCATCTTCAGGGATCTCACGCATAGCAATACAAAGAGTACGGAGGCCTTCAGAAGCAAATTCCTCGAGATGGATCAGTGTATTCTCAACAAAGGGGTTATTCTCTGATAATCTCTCCAAAATGACGGAATCAGCACCTTTACAATACAATTTGATATTGCCATCAGGGCCACGGATAATGGCAGACATACGTTTGCGAGTGGAATTGAATTCACAGACATTAAGCACTTGGTATTCGCATTCTTGGCCTCTTTGAGTACAGGTGATTGAATTTGGTTTACGCGTGTGGAACTTGAACTTGAGATCGCTAGCACCCTTTACCAAGGCACCTTCATCGGGAGACGAGGCTTGATAAGTGATTTCATCCGAATCTTCTTGTGCTTCGGGGATAACCGTATGACAAGTGGCCAATAAAGTCAAGAACTCGTTGATGACATTTGCAGTGGGATGTGTTTTCAAGTGATCTTGGAGCTGAGTGAAGTTGTATTGTAGCGTAGGATCGTCCACGCCATCTCTTGCTTGTTTGTCTGATTCCACCTTCTCCGCATAAGAGATACCTGCAATTGAGCATTCGCGGAACTGCATCTCATTGCATGTCAAAGTACCCGTCTTGTCCGAGAAAACAAACTTGACTTGTCCCAGTTCTTCAATCAAACTACTACTGCGAGCAACTGCAGCCGTGTCTGTCGTGTCGTAATACATGTCCAAATCAGACTGAATCAAGAAAGAAAGCACGAATTTGACAATCTCCATGGTAACCATCAAACTGATAGGGATGAAACTGTTGAACAAAATCAGGAAGGTGAGGATATCGTATCCAAAAGCTTGAGCGCGAGAGAGTCCAGCACCCAACATCAAATATCCCTCAACGTATCCACTTTTGGTAATCTACACAAGGGTCCACATGTCAACTTTTTGATGTTGCTGTAAACGTAACACACTGATTCAACTTACGGTAAAAATGAGACCACCTACAGCACAAGCAACACTCATCACTACTAAAATGGCGAACAGATACAAGATGTTTCTATTGGTAATACGTGTTACATTGGATACCTTGGAGGGTTTTTTGCTAAAATGATAGTGAGAATCGAGTCCAATACACACAACACACACAAGTTTACCTTGAATTTAACATGAGCTTGGTTTCATGGCCTGTAAACACAACAACGCCGTAGATCCAAAGTGTATTGCGAAGTTGAGCACCACGCAGTAATAGCTGAGTGGGGTCTAAAGCATAGTCTCGGGATTTACCCACTTCATTCATGGAACTAGTAGAAAATACACCATCATAGTTGTACAAACGGTTGTTGGGCTGTTCACTGCGAATGGTGCCTTGCAATTGCTTCATATCCATAGGATTCAAAATGGACGATGTCTGTGACAATGCTTGCTTGATTTTAAGATTGACTTCGCCATCCAAGTTACTGGTTTCGATATAACAAAGGCCTTCAGGTTCTGAACTGCTAATCAAAATCAAATCTGCGGGAAAGTTCTCTCCACTTTCTACACGAAGGACATCTCCGACCTTGATATCACGCCAAGCCTTCTCAACAAACTGTGTACCTTCCAGAACCTTACATTTTCTGGCATTGAGTTCTGCGTCAGATCGATGCACGCCCTAACAATTTGCAAGATGAGTGGCGCTTGTTGATAGAGTTGGATGGAATGATAGTTACCCAATCCTCAATCACTTCCTTTACAGCAGTAATGAATAATACAATGACCAAAGGCACAAGTGTGGTATATCTGCTAGTAGGTGAAATACCGGGGATTTGCTATGAGAAGTGTAAGGTTTAGTCTACTGAATGTTATCTTGGCATGGACGATGATTTGGCGTACCTGAATTCCAGAAATAAACAAAAAGAAAAGGTTAGCATATTTGGAAAACTCCTCATACAGAAATTTAGGCAAAAAGGTGAATGCTGTATATTTTGCAGTAAACACACGGTTATGGAGAAACTTTTGCTGATCGTTTAGTTCTGGATTGTTGAGATGGATGATGCGCTCACCACCTTCTCCAGCGGTACCGGAAGCAGCATTTGTCTTCCCTAATAATCCATTGATGGTATCTTTGATATTGAAACTCTTTCTTTTTCGGGTCACTTGAGGCTGTGATGTGGCTCGGTGCAGAGTTATCGTGTCCGTGTGTGATGGGGCTGATGCTTGCTGCTGTTGCTGTTGTCTACTGCGACCGGCAATAGGGCTTTTGTTTGTCAGTAACTGCAAATTATCATCGTCGTCTTGGAGTATAACTGAATCATCATAGAATGAACCTGGCAATCATGGCAATATAAATTAGAACTCCATGGACAAATTGATTCCCCTTTTTAATTATTTGATCTATTATTTAATAGACACCAAAATCACATCCTTCCCCCTCCCTATGTGAGAACCGTCGTTTTCTTTCTTTTGTACTCTGCCTTTCCCCCAATCTCCCTGTTCTTAAATGATAAATACCTTCGTCGAGAGCAAACGATGAATCACCTCGTTTTATTTGCTGATGCGATCCTTGATGTATGTAAGCGGGTGTAGTCAACTCGGATTGCTGCTGTAAGGTAGAGGAAGATGTCGTATTCGAAAACGTTTGATGTTGGTTCTGTTGCAAGTCTAAGAGGTTCCTTTGTTGGTGTGGTTGTGGTTGTGGTTGTGGTTGTTGATATTGTGCGTCGTAATCAAATCGAGACGAGCCCAATCCTGGCTCGGATGAGTCCTCGAAAGGGTTTTGATTCGGATTACTGCTGTTGCTATGATTGTATGAAGACACTTTTGGAAATGTAGTCTCTTTTCTCTATGTTTTCAAGAAAAAAAAGGGAAGAGAAAAAAAAGAGAGAAAGAAAGAAAAGAAAAAGAAGCGAATCCTGGAGTTGAGAAATCAAAAGGTTTTCTCTCTCTTCCCCCCCCCCTTATTAATTTTAGTGCAACCAAGGACAAGAAATAAAAGCTGATTTACAATACATTGGCCAAAAGGTGCCTGAAGCAACTCCGGTGCTTGGCTCTGTATGGTGTAATTGTCAATTGCACCTGTGCATGCTTCAAAATAGACACATTGGCTTCGTTCACATGCTTGTATTCAGGTACCATAGATGAGGTGAATTATGTACACCACCTAAATGAATGGACATCACCTTTGTATTGCCAAATTTCAAGAAACTGAAGTCATGTCGTAATAAACCTTCTATTTTTGCCTGGATAAATTTAAAAATCATACATAGCCATCTAGATTCAAACGAAAATGGAAGCCACTAACACAGCTAACAATATAAGGACTTCAGAATGTAGCAGCTAGAAATCTGTATCGAATTTGTCTTGCTTGCAATTTTTAGCTCGATAATAAGCTGTATAAAGTAGTTTTCTGATGGAAACTCCTGAAGTTTTAAAGTGTTAGAATAGCACCAAACCATGGCCCTCGACTAGCACTAACTTTCTGACACCGTTGCTCAACTTTTTGGGACCAAAACAAACATGGCCAAAAATCGACCAAAACATGAGGTATCCCTCATGGTTTTCATTGAAAATCAAACGATCGCGTTTTTGACCTTGGTAACGAAGACTTCTACTATGGTATATATTGATTCAAAATGTTTCTCTCGATCCAAGGTAACCCCTACAGCTTTGCTTGGGAGACTTTCATATGCAAAATTTCGACATTTTGGCCAGAAACCTCTTTTCATATTTTTGTAAATTACTCAACAAGTTTATTCAAAACATATGTCTTACTTGGTACCATTAGATGCGCCTTGAAATGCATTCCAAGAAAGCTTAAAGAAGCATGGGATGATGATCAGATTGTACATAGTCGAATCTCACAAAGAAAGTCAATTGAGTCGATTTTGTTCAGAATTTGTCCAATCTGGAGGAGAAGCTGAGCGGAGCGTCAATCGATTTTTATTGGCTGACTGTGTCTCACAATAGATGTTTTGTGATGCAAATCAAAGGAAGTGTGCGAATTCAATTATATAGAAGCATTTTAGCTTAGCTTGGCTACGTTGATACTTTGCTTGTGTAGCTTCATATATAATAAGGCCAGTCGATTTGGCTTACCACTTCAATATTTGAGCGACTATAACTTTATTGTTGTAGGATCATTTGCTTAGTGACCTTGAGGAATCATTGATCTGTGATACAGTTCGTGACCTCTGTTGATTTTTTCTGGTTCTTGTTCTTGTCATTGTTGCTTTTCTTACTCTTTGTTATCATTATCGTGTTTTGGTTATCGCTGATAGACTACAGCGAGAATTTATCAGCGGTATTTTATACAGTTTCTCTGGGCATTAGAAAAATGACTGTATGATTTGAGTACATCACACAGGATATCAATGGCAAAAGGGCCGTTTTGATTATTTGCAGAGGGTTTTCTGGTTACAAGCCGCTACTAAATGCATCTACATCAATAAAGACGCATTCAACAATCTGCTGGCCGTATCCTCTGTGAATCAGCTTGTTCATGCACATACATCCAAATGCGCCAATGGGCACCAGAAGCACTGTATCACTGACGTTGATCCAAAATGATGCTGTTCCCCCTTTTTTCTGAGAATTGAATTGACTTGTTGAAACCTCAGTATCTCTCTTCCTCTCCTTTCTCCCCTCGTACAATAACGCCTGTTGACATCCTTTATGGAGACACATTGTATAAAAAGACAAGAACATTCCATGACAGTACCCGACTCTAAAAGACAGCGCACTTCTTCACACTCAAGCAACGAAGGTGATTATTAGTCATCGACTACGCGCGTGCTATATTACTCACGCCTTTCTCAGACATGGCAACACCTACCTCTACTACGGACAAATCTGATGTCGACATGATAGACGATGTAGAAGAACGCAAGGATGAAAATGGAGATGATACACAAGATGAAGCAGCAGCAGCCGCAGCAGAGGAACTCGAAAAGGGTATTATTGGTGTCCTTGACTCGCCCAAAGTAAGCGTTGATTGCATGACAAAAGAGCGAAATCTCATCACATTTACATTCCATAGATTGTAAAAGCGCTTGCAGAATGCAAAATTTTGGTTATTGGTGCTGGCGGTTTAGGCTGTGAAATCCTCAAGAACCTTGCATTGACAGGCTTCAAGCAACTTCATGTCATTGATATGGATACCATTGATTTAAGTAATTTGAACAGACAATTCTTATTCAGGTAAAGATAGAACTGTTGATTGCCCTCAAAATACCTCCTCGCCAACATGCTGTATAGAAAGAAAGATATTGGGAAATCAAAAGCCATTGTGGCAGCCAACTTTGTCATGAGCCGAGTGCCTGGTGTCGAAGTAGTGCCGTAAGTACACTGGCAATTATTGCACATTACGGAGCACTGACAGTACGCTAGCTACTATGGAAAGATTCAAGACAAGGACGACGATTACTACAGACAGTTCCAGCTGGTCATTTGTGGATTGGATTCAGTAGAGGCAAGGAGATGGATCAACGCCAAATTAGTGGACATGGTGGACGAAGATGACATGCAGAGCTGGAAGCCGCTGATTGATGGTGGCACTGAAGGCTTCAAGGGACAGGCTCGTGTAATTCTGCCTACCATGAGCTCTTGCTACGAATGCTCCTTGGACATGTTTAACAAACCCACCACATTCCCCATCTGCACAATCGCCAACACACCTCGTTTACCAGAGCACTGCATTGAATGGGCCTCTGTATTGGAATGGCCAAAGGTGTGGGGCGACAAAAAATACGACACTGACAATCCAGAGCACATTACTTGGCTGTATCAACAAGCTTCTGAAAGAGCCAAGAAGTTCAATATTACTGGCGTTACCTACTCTTTGACCCAGGGCGTTGTAAAGAACATTATTCCTGCCATTGCCTCCACAAATGCTGTTATTGCAGGTAAGGGAAGAAAATAGATACAAGGTGGATATAGATATCTGACAGTTTATGGTAGCTTCATGCTGTAACGAGGCATTCAAGCTAGCTACTGGAGCGGCTCCCTATCTGAACAATTACATGATGTACACTGGTAATGATGGCGTTTATACCTACACATTTGAACATCAAAAGAAGCCAGACTGTACTGTGTGTGGTTCAGAATCATCCGTTGCCAAATTAAATCCTGAAATGACTGTAGAAGAGTTGATTGAATGGCTCACCGAGAAGCCTGACATGTAAGTATACGCTGTAGTTCAGCCTCACATCGGTATGCTGATCATGTTGATTAGACAATTGAAAAAGCCCAGCCTTCGAACAGCATCCAAGACTATCTACATGCAAGCACCAAAGGCGTTAGAAGAAGCAACTCGTCCCAATCTCTCGAAATTTATTAGCGAATTCATTGAAGATGGAGAATTCGTTACTGTGACAGACGTTGCATTGCCTGTTAGTCTTCAGTTGAAGGTCATTATCCGTCCCTGAATAAACAACTCCAGTCGTGTCGCTTTCGTTTAGTTTTTTGTCTATGTTGTTTTACAATTTGCATGCTATTGCTTGCAACAAGGCTCTTTCTTCCACTCTACCTATGATGTAGACGTTCCAAAACCTGCTTCAAATGCATTGTCAATGTCAAATGCACCTGTCAAAACGGTCACTATAAGCCACTACATGTTGATTTCTTTCTTTAAACCACTTTTTTTTCTTCTTTCACACATAGACAGCTTAACATCATGCCCGGATTTGTCTTGGAAGAACCGTTTCCTTTAGCTCGTTTCCACAACACTGTAGGCGAAGGTGATGGAAAGCACTTTGTCGTTGGACTCAATTCCTTGGAGAGCACACTGAACAACAACTCATCTGAGCGTCTTGATGATGCTGATTTGGTGGCCATCACTGTTCAAGGCGAAGGCTTCAAGATTTACAATGTAAACAGCGAGAGTATTGCTTGAATTCGGCTGGAAAACTAACCTTAGCATGCTAGACGACCGATCAAAAATGCACCAAATCCTGGATTACACCACCAGGCATCGCTTTTGTTGGACCTGCAACTCACATTGACGGTGGCAGAGATTCCAATGCTGTTGATTACACCTACGCTATCGTTGCCTCAGGCCCTGATGTAGCCAAGACAGAAGAGCGCAAGACAATTTGGCTGTGGAAGAATACAAAGACTGGCGATAACGAGGAGATTGACAAAACTGTCAAATCTGTAAGATCAAGCACTCATGACGATTTGCTCCATGCTAACCACCTTTGGCCTCATGTAGTTTGACGAGCACATCAGCGCTATTCATGTTTCGCCATCATTGCACTCTCATGTCATCATTGTCAGCGAAAGTGGATCCATTGAGTTAGCCACCAAAGATTTGGATCGTTTAACAGCCAAGCAAAAGGCACAAAAGAATGGCAACGTGATTTGGTCGACTGTGTTCGTGACCTCCAACGCACACGCTCGTCCCTGTTGCATCCCATCTTCCATGGTGCCCTCCATGTCCACCATCGTTGTCACTGTCAGTCATGTCGCTGGATCCGATGCTTACACCATCAAACTCAACTATGTCAATGTCGAGAGAAGAAGCATCGATGTGCTCACCAGTATCAATGTCAAGTTGCCTGAAAAGCCTGTAGCATTCACTTTGGATCCTACTGATGGTCGTTTTACCATCTTGGGTGCTGCTGGAAACTGGACTGTGTGGCGCATGCAATTGAAGCATAGCTCCTCAAAGAAGATCTCTGGCTCCTTGAACGAACATTTATCCATCCAATTGAATGGCTACAGATTCCAAGACGATACTTTGGGTAATATTGCGTCTGTCACACCTTTATCTGACAGCTACGTGGCCATGATTGCACCACGCACAACCCAGAAGGGAGATGTCGAGCATGTAGTCAGTGTCTGGGATGTCAAATACGGCACTCTTCAAGCCGAGCAGTTTATCAAAATGACTGAAAAGAACACGTTCAACAAGAACAGCTGCGTCTACAACATTGCTGTCTTGCCCAACTCTCATTTGGCAGTTACTGTTTCCTCTATTGTCACCAAATCAACCAAAAAGAACACCAAGTCATCCAAAAAGATGGTAGACACCAATTCTGTCGTCATGTTATGTCCCTACTATAGCGAGCCTGTCTCCTTAATGGCCGCCATGGGTAAAATGAAGCAAACGGTCGAATTTATGGGCATCAACAATGAAATCAGCTCTGAGGAGAACATTGGCTATTCTCGTAGTGGTACTGAAACTGTCAGTCGAGATTGCGCTTTCCATCCTGACGAGGATTCTGATGCAGTCTATGACAAATGGGTGTCCAGATTGGAGAAATATCAAAAGCAAGAAACCAACACCTTATCCAAGTTGATGGCTGATGATATCTCAGGAGAGGAATTCAGCAAGGTCTTTTTCGAGCATGTTAATGTGAGTACCAAGCCTGCTGGTGGTGACGCTCATATGAGTGAAGCTTCTTTGGATCCTATCGCAGCCAAGACAGAAGAATACCGTCTAATCATGCAGACCAGATTCAGCAACACAAGAAAGGCCGACATGGAATTATCACAGTTCTTTACATCCAATGTCATTACCAAATGCTTTCAACAAGGCCATGGCAAATTCTGGCCTGTGGATGTTATACTATTCTTGATGTCAAGGTCATTGCTTCGTAGCAATTACTCTGAAAAGGGCATCATTAGTTCTTTCTTGGAGAGAAAAGAATGGTCTCTTATTCCTATCGTATTGGAGAAAGTACACGATATTCCAGAGAATGATTTGGTGACACTGATCAAGGCTTTGATTGCTTTATACAACAACGAAGATGGATGGAAGACGCGATTCAGCACATACATGAAGATGGTTGTGGATGCGCCCAGAAATGATATCTTTCTACAACAATCGCTTAAACGCATTAACGCTCCTGAATTACCCATCATTCTCGAGACAATCGTCAATTGGTTAAAGGACAAGTCTTCAAACTTGAGCAAACGTAGTAATGTAAGAGACGACACACATACACATATTCAAAGAAAGTCATGGGAACTAACATATATCTCTTATAGATTGTGGATTTTGCCAACAGTATATTAGATATCCACTTCCCTACACTTATTTTGGAGCCTAAATTACAAGAAATCGCTCACACATTACGGGAACTTGTTGCTGGTGAGATTGAAGTGATTGATGATTTAGAGCAATTGAGAAATATCTTGGGAGCCTATGATCGCAAGAACAAGCATGCCACTGCCAAGCGTATGGAGAGACAAACAAGAGAGCAAGATGCTCCTGTGGACGAACTGACCAAGTTCCGTAAGAAGAATAAGGGCAAATTTGGCGGAGAGCAAGGTATACCAGTCTACAGAGTGGAGGTATTCAGATTTTAGTCGTAGTAGTATAGTAGTATTCATTAGAAAGACGCATCATGATGCAATTCATCGTGTTGTTTGTAGAAAGTGATAATAAACATCATATCTTTTTTTTTAATTTTTTGTAATGTTTTCGGACGCATTAACCGCATTAAAGTCTTTCCAGTGCTATTGATACACTCATTTTGTGCCATCGTTTTCTATTCAAAGAATGCATGGCATTTCCAGAAGACAGAACACACTATTGAAACTCTTCAAGGACAATTCCTGATAAACTCTTCCTAAGATCCGTAATAATATGCCACATAAGCTCATTAACAGTATCACACATCATAGCTTGCAGTATTTTTTTTCTCTATCAGGAGCACGGCGAATTTTTGTTTCAAACAAACTACAGCCGCGATCACTTCATTTCGCCCAGATTTACGGATTAAATTTTAGCTCAAAAGAAAATTCCACATGGCTATTAGTAACTTAAAAGTTATATTATCTTTATGTAATTCCATCATATAATGAAGTTACTGTAATCCTAAAATGTTCATGCATGACTATTTGATGATAAAGTAAATGACAAAGTAAAGCTTTTCCAGCACATCAGAATACGCTAGGAGCCAAGGAAATAGATCTCTACTAAGAAAATTAGAAGTGTACATGATTGCATGATTTGGCAATTGCATAGAAAGCAGGCCATCAAAGCATCAATCTAATCATTTTGAAACATTCTTCCGGTACTTTTTATTTGATTTTACATTTTAATCATTCCTGAAATTGTCATAAGCCATACCTGAGATTCTGTAAAAAGAAGAATAATTTTATCATGTTACTGAATATGCTTAGATTTTGATTTAATTACAAAAAAAAAAAAAAAGAGAGTATTTCAGATATTTTATATGTGTACATGACTTTTCAACAACGGTAGTAGCGTCCGAGGAGGCCACACCATTCAGCCAGGGATAACGTAAATCATCATTTAAGATTTGGAGTTACTCAAGCAACCCAAATTTAGCACCTTAGAGGTGATTCGAAAGCACAGACTCGTCGCAACAGATTTGCTTGCGCAAACAAGGACAACGAACGCTATCGTCTGAGATTCAATTCAACTCTGTCAATTGGTAGCTACCTCGAAAATAACATCACGTGATTTAGTCCGACTCGAGTTATAAAGTTTCCGGCTCATCAATGAAACATAGAGCTCCGGAATACATTGAAACTGTAGCCTGTTGCATGATTGCAGCATTCAGCGTTAAATTTACCATGTTATAGTGCTACACCGTATTGTATGTGTGATTCGTCATAATTTAGAAGAGAAGGTAAAGTTGTAGGTCTATCTTTAACAACTTAAAAGGTTTGCATTTTTATCTTTATCGCCATAAAAGGTTTGCATGCTTATTTAAGGTTATGACGAATACTTTATCCATATTGGTGTATGCGCCATTTAAGGTTTTTTTCTCTATCAAAATTTAATACTTCTTTTCGATGATGAGCTTTGAACAACTCGATCGTTGTTTTGTTGTTCTTTTAAAAAAATCTAAAGAATCTATAACTTGTGTTTATGTTCATGTTAACCAAAGAGGTGTTCAGTGAAAAAAAAAAAAAAATGTTCGTCATTAATGCTTTTGTATGATGAAAAAAAAAAAAAAAAAAAAGCTTTTCCAATAGAAATAGGATTTTTAGTACATATATGATTCTGAAAGAACCAGGGTAATGATACATTGACAATTCTTGGCGACGTTTAGAAAAAAAAAAAGAGAAACATGATGAGTTGTGTTAACAAGATTAATGAAATCCCATGCAGAAATTTCGATCGAGTGAAACGTTTGGAATTACCTCATCGCTACTCTTAGAGACTCTTGTTTCTCTTTTTGTGATTTAAGCATTTCTCTGTAACCTCAAAATGCTATAAAAGAGGGCCCAAGATCCCTTCCAACATCTTTCAATTGATTTTTTAATTACATTTTTTTCTATTCGGATTAATCATGCAACTCAGTAAGCTTATAACTCTCGTCGTTTTCGGTGCGTCTGCTGTTGTTGCTCAAAAGAGGCAACAACCTTCTGGTAACAGCTCTGCCACTATTGTCGAACTTTTGACAGCTCCCAACAACACTCTGGGTGTATCAAAGTTTGTCAATTTTCTCCAATCTGATCCTGCTTACCAACCTACCATCAATCTCTTGAGTCAACCGGGCAACTACACTTGCTTTGTCCCCAATAACCGTGCCATTAATAGGCTGCTTATGCTCTGGAAGGCTTATGCCCAATCTAATAATCTTAATGCAACTGCCTACCCTCCTGCCAACTTGTCTATCGGAAACCTCACTCTTGCTGATGTCGTAAACTACCATGTTCTCGATGACAAGGTTCAGGTTGCCAACATGAGCAACTATGTCAATGTTGCCCATTCCATCTTGAACAACACCAAGGTTGATCTTCTCGGTACTGGTTTGCCTGTTCTCATCGAGAACAATGCTACTTGGAAACAATTCAACAATCAAACCTGGCTGAAAACCCATGGTCAGTATCTTCAATATGATGTTGGCAATGGTGTTGATGATGCCGCTGTTCGTTATCATGATCTTAAGGCCTCCAATGGCTATGTTAATGTTATTAACTCTGGTAAGTGTGTTGCGTCAATAATTTTCAGTTATCATGTCTGACTGAACCACATGTTCTATTTAGTTTTGATTCCTCCCTTGAGCCCTAGCATTGTTATTGAAGAAGCCGACGATGTTAATGATATTGCTGATCTCTTGACGACTCATCCCGAAATTGCATCTACTCTCGATGGTATGAAGAACTTTACATTCTTTGCTCCTGATGACAATGCTTTGAAGCGTGTCAACTTTAAAAATATGGATAATGCTACTATCAAGAACGTTATCATGAACCATTTAGTCGAGGGTGTCTACTACTCTACCAATTTTACTGAAAATGCTAATTCCACCGACGGTAAATTCAACCTGACTACATTGAACAATGGCACCTTGCCTATTCATGTCAATGGCTCTTCTATTATTTTGAACAACACTGCTCGTGTTGTTGAGCCCAACATCTTCTTCAACAATGGTGTCATGCATGTCATTAACAAGTTGCTCAATGGTACCAGCACCAACGCCACTACCAGCTCCAACACCACTACCAGCTCCAACGCCGCTACCAGCTCCAACGCTGCTACCAGCACCAACGCCGCTACCAACACCAACGCCGCTACCAACACCAACACCGCTACCAGCACCAACACCGCTACTGCTTAAGCAAGCAGCTTTGCTTACTACTCTTAAATGACTTTTACAACTTTAGTACATATTTTCAATAAACATAGTATATAATTCAATTTAATGAAAGAGATATTGTCATTGTTCACATCAATTTTGAGCATTGTGCTATTCCTTAAGAATTGACATTATGTAGCCGCGCTTTTCTGTCAAGTGAAATGGAATTATCCCACGAATCTAGATTCAACTAAGCATATGGATTGTTGGTTCATCATAAATGATAGACTTGCTCTTGGCATCTGTCATTACTGCGTAATTCGCTCACTATTCTACTGGATGTGTTTTTGATCACCTTGATACGGATGTAACAAAGTATCCTATGTATGCCTGATCAAGCTTCTTTACCACACACTGGACTAGACGGTGCTTCAGCCAGCAATCGGCTGGCTATTTCTGTTATATTTGAACGTTTGATAAATCAAAACTGTGCATCTAAACCCTTATATGTACTAATCTGTCTGCGCCCTCGGATGATTATTCGAGCAAGGATCTCTTCAGGGATATTTAAGGTTATAATCTAACATAAAGCCTTGCACGAGCCACAACAGTTGAATGAAACATGTCAAATATAAACCGTTTTCCAAACCGTAGGTAATTTAAGGTTTTAAACCTGGTAATAGCATGAATTTACTTGACTGGGTATACTATTCAGCTGAGCTATTTTACAAAATCACGATACTATTCAGTTGGTACTTATAGTTGGCATGGATATAGCTTTCCATTACATCACCGAGATCAAGCTTCTACAGGTTGGCAAACGATTGATTGTAGAGTGAGTACATCTTGTATTGGGAGCGCCGCTCTGTATTCTGCAGTGCAAGATGAATCCCCACTCAAATCGCAATTCTGATATAAACTTTGGTACAACCATCTTGCCCCCAATTTAATAACACACCTCTATTTCACATGAAAATTGATTTTTACTCTTTTTCATCCTATTTATTTTCATACCAAAATCATGTCAAGGGCTTATTCAGATACGGATGACTATTCAGAGCACGGCTTGAATGTAAGAAGATTTCTCAGGATCGTATAGCACACTTGCTTACAATTTCATGATGATGTAGCCAGATTTTCACGTTGTACCTTCATCATCACAATACGATCCAGAGGATGAAGATGACGCCGATGAGCTGGACGAATTGGTCATACCAGAGAAAATGGATGGAGCGACTGCAGAAGAAGGGGAGGAGGAAGAGGAGCCTTTGCCACCCATTGAATGGCATCCTGCAGTGCTGATGGTTGGCAGGTTCATAAAAACACTGCTTTCACCTATTGTCAAGATAGTTTTTGCGCCACAGACACAGAGAGCCATTGTCAAAAGCTTGGTGATCATCATTGTAGTCGCCTGGATTCTCCTTACTAGTTTTACAGCCTACTTGACATTCTATCAACGATATATACCAAAAACAGCGCATGTTGAACCAATATACTTTCAATACCTTGACATTGAGCGACCTCAGGGACAAGTTCACTTTAAAGGCCCCAACCCCGTCATGGTAAGAGTTGAACCAATTACAGCAGGACATGGCTTGACTAGTTATACATAGCCATTAAGACACGAACAAGCTTACGATGTATCTGTCCAACTTCATGTGCCAACATCTGATATCAATTTTGATCTGGGTAACTTTATGGTGCATGTGGAACTTCAAACAAAGAATGGCACTGTATTAGCAGAATCAAGTAGACCGGTAAGACAAAGAGATAAAACTCCAGATATAGTGTTTACTAAATATGCAATACACAGGCCATTTTGAGATATCAATCTCACGCTCAACGAATCCTTCATGTCATAGCTAAAGCATTGCCATTGTTGATTGGATGGACCGAGGAAAGCCAACATATTCATGTTGTTTTACTGGAAAACTATATAGAAAAGAGAGTATGTCATGGTTGGGGTGAGAGAGAGACAGAGACAGAGACAGAGACAGTGAGATACAAAAGACAAGAAAGGTGATAAGCATATGAAAGAAGGGCCATAATTAAACTAGAGACTTTTAGGCAACACCAATAACACAAGCTCAAGTTACACTATCCACATCAAAGTTACAAGTCTATGATGCTCATATCAGTGTGATAGCTGATTTCCGTGGATTAAGGTATACAAAATTGGACAGGATTTCACCGAGATAGTATATTGATACGATTGTGCCTGCTTAGATACTACATGTACCATAGAAGAGTATCCACAGCATTCGTCTTTATCGCACTGTTCACGATGATTGAAGTCATTTGTGCTATGGCAGCTTGGAAAATGTTTGGAAAAAACATGTGGGACAAGCTACATGAAGCATTCTCCATTGATGAGCTCGCAGCAACAGCTACCGTTGAAAATTCAGCGCAAGACGATGGGAGATCATCTGCTGTAGCCAGTCAGTACAACACGGAAGAAGAAGAAGAAGAGGATGGTTATCTGACAGAGGAGTAGCATAACTGCATAATTTATTACCCTACATCTTAATATAAAATGAACAATGTATGATGTTCTTTGTTAACAAAGCTTCTGCTCATGTTGATTATCGTGTAGCATTGGTGTCCAAAATCAGCGTTTTATTTCTTACATTATTAGCAGTGTCTCACGACCTAGCAATACGACAAAAGACCTCTATTTAATGCAATTCAACGTCTACTACCTCTTTCTCGTTGTCTACTGGGACTTGGACTTTTTGAGTATCTATGCTTTCGGCTGCCTCTGCGATCTTCACTCACTGACGGAGAACGATAGCGCCTTCCTCTCTTTGGAGATCTGGAGTGAGAATGTGAGCGGGAATGTCGATGACGGCGACGATCTCTACTTGAATGATTGTGTGATCTATATCTATCTCTTGACAGTGATCTTCTTCTAGATCTCGTCTCATCTCTTGGAGAAGGAGATCTATAGCGTTTGCGGTCTCTTGATGAAGATTTAATACTAAGAGAAGAAGGAGAGCGTTGTCTTATTGACTGAGGATGCTTGGGAGAAGGAGAGCGGTTAGATTTTTGTGGATTGCGCTTTGGAGAAACGGAACCCTCAGACGAAGGAGATCGATATCTGCTAGATGTATCCTGATTTGATGCGCTGCTATCTCTCATAGGTGGGTCAGGCCGTAAGTAAGCATTGGCAGGTAATCCCTGGCTTTTAGCTAGCTCTTGCAAATGTTCTGCCTCCTTTTCCCGTTCCTTTTGTCTTCTGTCCTTTTCATTTGATGCAACTATGTTCAATTCTTAGTATACCGCTTACGCAAGATATAACATGGCTGTAGTCAAAGCAGACTCTCCTGATATTACTTGATTTTTCTAATCCGGCTCGCATTTTCAGCTTGAGTTTCTCCATAGGCGTAAGTTTTTTTTCAACAGGAGCAGTTGGGGCGTCTAATCTATTTGTCATAATGAATCAGTTATTCTGCTATGAATGTAGTAGGCAATTCTCAGTAACCTTTGTGTGTAGCTTTCTTCCTCAGGTTGATCCTTTTTACCCCCTTCGTCTGGTGTGCTTGATCCAAATTCAATAACAAAATCTGAATTGCTGTTGTCTGGCTCATCGTCATCCTCAGAAGAGGAGGATTCGCCTGAATCATTTTTGTAGGGCTCATAAGTAGGACTATATCGACGTCTGTAGCGACTATCGTCCGTCTGATCATCTCTTCTATGGTGCCTTCTTCTACGTCGTTCGTTTCGTCTAGAGCTTCTGCTTCCGTCCTTTGGTTTCCCTTCTCTTTGCTTTCTCTTGAGCGATCTCAGTTCTTCATCTCGATCTTTCTTTGCAACTCTTAACAATCGTGCATAGCTGCGAATGCCATACTTCCCAGACATGTCGTTTAGAATATCCTTATCCTTGTCTGTCAAATCGTCAACATATTGCAAAATGTCTGCTTCCTTGAGCAGCTGTGATTCTTTATCGTCGTCATAATCATCCTCTCCGTCCATATCCTCATCTGCTGCCACTTTGGCTGTTCCATAGTCGAATCCAAATGTTTTGCCTTTGTTGGTATTTGCTGATTTCTTATCGTTCTTGAGGAGAGCGAGTTTTGCTTGATGTCGATCGAGTAGCTTTGTCCATTCCTCATCTACTTCTGCTAAGCGGTCTGATTCCGTAACTAGATAACAGTGTGTCAGGCTCTCATGTCGACTCCATAATGATCAATGTGTACCGTTCAATCGCTCTGCTTCTATCAGATCATGGTATCTCTCAAAATTCAGCTCATCTGCCAATTCTCTGTCCTCTCTCGATATATTTTGAAGGTTTGCTCCCACATTGACATCAGGCACGAAATCAAGCAACGAACGGCCATCAAAGCTACCCACATGTAAATCAGCAAATTCGCCACTCACATCCATTGTGAAATACTCACCGATCAATCTTGATATCTGGATTTGCCTGCCATGGCATGCTGTATAATTGAAGTAAGTCAATACACATAAGCCCTGCCACCATTCCTTCACTTACAGATTCTCTGGATTTTCATGGTAATAAAATTGCTCAGCATCAGGATATAACTTTGTGGAGGACCCAATAACACGGATCAACTGCTGAGGATCGCCAAGCTGTTTGCATGGTTATTAGCAAAGGGATCCTGTCCCAATGATCGATGACTATTACCCTGGACTCATAGTAGGCTCGACGTCTCTCTGCCCTCTTTCTGTGATCCACCATCAGTTCCCGAATCTAGCAGCTATCAGTTCATGTACGTATCCACAGAATGGCCCTTCATACCCTCTTGTCATTTGCCTTTGCTTCTTGCCACATCTTTGTTTGTAGGAAGCGTGTAAAAAAAAATACCTGGACAACAAAAAGAGAAAAAAGGAAATAGAATAGAATGTGTCAATTCCGACGATTTTTATTCAAGAGACGATTTGATATGTGATGAATGATAAGAATGAACAATAAGGTATATGTAGCTAATGTAGCTTATTTGAGAATACGATCTCTGGCCACTGACACAATTTGCTCAAGGCCACACTTTTCGAGTATGAACTTTCCCTCCTTGTACTTTTGGTCTCGCTCATAAGCCTTAATCTATGTTTACAGCATGTCAGTATTCGCAGCACAGTACTCTTTCATTACAAGCTACTTGCATATTTCCAACCCAATTCCTCATCACATCCAGAGCAACTAATATATCGAATGAGATGCTTGCCTGTAGTCATTTCTCTGCATATCAATTAGTTCATAACGTGGGCATTTAACTGATCAGATGTGTGTTGCTTGGATTTACCTCACTTCTGATTCATGAGAAACTACGATATTGACACTAGCATGTCATGTCAGTATGATACAAACATCAAGTCATTATAGGGATGCTAATTACACATTTTCAAACAGATAGGCTTTCCCATGAACTCCATGAAAATCCTAATGTGTATATGTTCATTGAGTCAAGATGCGAGTGCTTAGAAATCAACATGAACATACCTTAGAAATCAAGTAGTCAAATGTAGACAAATGACTATTGCATTTTGAACAAGCGTAGATCTTGCAACGCTTAGCCTCCTCGTCTAAATAGGCACGGTAAGTGAATCCCATATTGGTAAAAAGCTGGTTTTTATTCAAATGATATCAAGAGAAATTGTTTAATAACAAAAAAAAAAAAGAGACGCTAAAATAAAACCATCTCTTGTAATTTTTGACCAGCATGAGCGAGGTCTTGTGATTTAGAAAGTCTATGATCTCCGTCTTCCACTTCCAGGTATGAAACCTTTTCAACGCCATTTGTTGATAAGTATTTGTACAATTGACGAGCTGTATCAATTGGCACATCCTGGTCATTTACGCCGTGGATCAATTGAATAGAGGGACACTTGAATCGTGCTTGAGGATTGTTCAAAAGCAAAGCTGGTCTTGAGTTTAAAAGGAAATCAATGCGAATGTCATAGTGGCCACGGCTATCATATTCACTTGGCTTTCTCCACACATATTCAGGATCAGACCGATGTTCAACTGGAACCTGCTGTTGCAACCACCTCTCTGTAAAGTCCACTCCTCCGCCAATACCCAGTATACCTTTGATTGGAATATCTCGGGAGATAAGCAATGCTATCCACAACCCCATGCTGGCTCCAACAATGTAGTCAACATGGTGCTTTTGAACTATCTCAAGACCGTCCTTATACCAATCGACAACAGATCCCTGTTGTGAATAATTCCAACTTAGAAAACCGAGTTTGTGTTGAATGGCAAACTCGTAAATGTAGTCGGCTTTCTTGGATGTAGTGAAATCTGACCTGAATCCAGGTATAAAGCAGACAGTTTTTGATGGAGCTTCAGATGGAGGTGAAACATGAGCAAAAGTGAGCTTGTTGTTGAATGTTTTGATGATATTTCTTGGTATCATGGTGAAATGGTATGTGTCAAAAGAGCTGGAGGCGGTCAACAAATCACGACGAAAACGAAACTCAGGACAAGGCGTTGATCCTAACGTTCCTTGGCTACACAAGTGTCGTATATTTGCAATTATGTATATATAAAACATTAGCCGGTTTATCTCGCTACGCTCAATGTCGGCATCGCCCCGTGGGCTCTCGTCAAAGACATTTTAAATCAGACATTATAACATTTTGGTATATCAAGTAGATTTTAAACAGCCAATTATTAGTTTGCAAAAGAAAGGTTATATCAGAGCCAGGAAGAGGAGAGGAGGTATCTCCCTCGGCATCCTTTTTGCTTATACCGATATCAAACAAAGCCTATTATTGGGACAATGTGAAAGAAAATTCAAGTTTTATGCAGCATTTGTACATCACAATCGCCATTTTCTGATAATAGAATTGTCATATCATTCACTGCTGCTGACACTCTTAATAAGAGGGCGACATAAAGCTGGCCGTAAGTAAATACAGGACTTGTGTAAGATCTACAGCGACTTTTTTGAGATATTGTCATTGCAAAATACATCTCCATGAGGGAAAGCTCCCCCAAAAAATTATTTGCGCTAAGCAATTGCCCTTTCAATTCCATAATTTTCTTTTAATCAGCATCGCAATCATCTTTGTCATTATCAGAAAGGCATTTGGGCCGCCCGCTAGAATAAATTGAAACTCAGTTTGTCTTTTCTGTTCAGGATTGGGCAGATATTGTTCATTTTCGACTTCTTTAATCTATTTTGGGATATCCGACTATATAAATTGTAATGATCACCCTACGCTTCCTAATACATTCTTGAAGCACTTTTCAAGGCGCTTCCAATGGTGCTAATTGTTATAAATGTTTTGACTGAAATTATTGAGCAATATAATACAATTTGAAATGAGGTTTTTAGCGAAAATAGCCATATTTTGCATATGAACACCTCATAAAAGTGGTTTTAGGGGTTGCTTTGGATCGAGAGAAACATTTTGATTCAATATATGCCATAGTAAAAGTCTTCATTTCCAAGGTAAAAAACGCGATCGTTTGATTTTCGTTAAAAAGCATGAGGGGTACCTCATGTTTTTTGGTCAATTTTTGGCCATGATTTTTTTTGGCCCCAAAAAATTGAGCAAAGGTGTCAGAAAGTTGCTACTACTCAAGTGCAATTGTTTGGCGTCATTCCGGTGGCTCAGAAAGGTCTACATGTCAAGATATGAAGGCTTGAAAACTGTCAAATTTGGTTATGTTTTTGCTGTATAGCTTTTATTTACACGGCATGAATCACATCTTTGGTAGCTGTAATCTTCTGGAAGAGTAATTCTGCAGCCTGTGCAATTCCTTATTTGAATAGAAGGCATATTGATTTTGGTAAAGCTAATTTATGCAAATTTTGATGCGCTCTGTTGCTAGTAAGCTTATTAATAAAGGAAATGAGAAATCGAATTTGCTGCTTAGATACTATGGTTTTGCATATTCGCTTGGCAAAAATCAAGCCCTCGTATAAATCAATGCTATCAAATGCTGGATTGGATGCTTAGCTGTCATAGGTTTGCACCTCTGCTTCGCTGCGATCAAGCCCTCCTATAAATCAATGTTACCAAGTATTGGGTTAGACGCCTTATTACCATGGCTTTGCACCTTTGCTTCGCTACGGTAAACCCCCCTATAAATTTATGCTATCAGGTGTTGAATTAGATGCGTTATGTTCTTCCCCCAAACCCTTTCCCCATTGCTGGCTTTGCTGGTGGTTTTATTCACTTTGTACGGCACACAATTCTACAAAATTTTGAAGGGATATGATTGGCTTGTATACTTTTCTTGGATGTTTTACAGTGTATATATTAGATCTGGTTCTCTATGCTAGTAATTGCACTGTTGATCTCCAAACGTCAAAAATGTGTGAATTGCCAAGAGGGTAAGCATTGTCAAGATTTTTTGATTTTTCAGATAAACCAAGCTCAGTTGGAAATGAAAATAGCACATCCCAGTCAGTCTGCTCCAGATTAGACGGAAATGTGATTTTTGGAATCCAATTTTACATATTTTACTAATTTACGCCATCAGTATCTGAAAAAGTACCCAATACTATTAAGTGAATCTATGTGAATTTGAAGGCTCTATCGAATGGTACTAGTTTCATATGCTTTTAACAGCTATTGAAAGAGATATCTTTAAATTACTGCCATTTCGAAAAAGCAATGAAAGTCGCGATTCTTGATAGTCAATCTCAAAATAAGTATTTCGGCATGAAAGCTGATCATTTTTGACGCATTTCCATCTATTCATTGTCTAAAAAAAAAAATGCCATTTTTAGGGTCAAAAATCAGAAACACCTCAAATCGAATAAAATCCTTTACTACCCCTCATGCTCTGATGGCTGAAAATCCATCATCCAAGAAAAAAATTGAGATAGTTTGATAAATTGCATCTACAGATCATAAATGATGGTTTCGTGTTGATCTAAGCTTCTGAAACTGCGAAATGGCCAAGTTGTAGGCCATTAAACATGCCAAGTTTACAGTGTAAAATAGATTTTTGAGCACATTTCTTGCAAAAGCGATTATATAACTGCTCCATGTTTTGTTTTTACCAAGCTCGCCAGGTATGTGGCAAACCTCTACAACCTCTGAATGCTGAATAAAATGATTCAACCTCAAGGAAACCCGAAAAAGAGTCCTACATTTCAACAGTCATGAAGACATGAACGCCTTTATAACTCCATGCTTGTTTCTGCGGCATATGCCTCTTCTGTACACAACGTGTCCTCAACAAATTTATAGACAACATGGCATCAAGAAAGCCAGCAGATGAAGATTACATTGATATTGATGATACCTATGATGCAAATCAAGATGACGATGCTGGAAATGGAGGATACGCTTGGGAAGAAGAATATAAGAGATCTTGGGATATCTTGCAAGAAGATTCTGAAGGTCGACTAAGTAGCGTAGTATCGCAATTACAACAGCAACGAAAGCGACGAAGGTAGGCGCCATCTACCTGGATGTCAGCTATACAGAGACTAAGCAGATATGCCAATCAAAACAGATTATTGAAAGATACAGCCATTATACAGCGAGGTATCATTCGACACTTGTTTTTAGTAATCGATTTATCAGAAGCAATGAACGAAAAGGACTTGAGACCTAGTCGTGTAGAATTGACATTGACATATGCACAGCAATTTGTGATTGAATACTTTGATCAAAACCCTATATCCCAGCTTGGCATCATTGTTACTCGAGACGGCATTGCAGAGAAATTGACAGAGCTTAGTGGCAATCCAACAGATCATATCAAGGCATTGAAATCGAAAAAGAACACCGAGACGAGTGGAGAGCCCTCATTACAAAACTCATTACAACTTGCTCGAGCAAGCATGTTGGGTGTACCAAGCCATGGATCCAAGGAAGTCTTGCTGGTGTTTGGCTCATTGACGACATGTGATCCATCAGATATCCATGAGACAATTGATTTACTAAAGAAGGAGATGGTAAGAGTCAACATTGTGGGTCTTGCGGCAGAAGTGCAGATTTGCCGGCTACTGTGCGAGTCAACCAAGGGAACCTATGGCGTAGTATTGAACGAAGCCCATTACAAGGATTTGCTGTTTGAAGTCGTGCCACCGCCAGCAGTGCTGCCCAACAAGAACACATCCAATTTAGTCACCATGGGCTTTCCTCGACGATTAATAGAAGATCATCCCAGCTTTTGCGTATGGTAAGGAGGAAAGCGAATGATGCTTGCTAGTGCAAGTTGGTACTTACGCTGTGAAATGTAGCCATTCCAAACTCACTGTGGGCGGATACATTTGCCCTCGATGCAAATCCAAGGTGTGCGAATTACCCAGCGACTGCGACATTTGTGGACTGACACTGGTATCCTCACCCCATTTGGCCAGATCCTATCACCACTTGTTTCCAGTGGATAATTTTGATGAGATCAAGCCTAATAGTGGGCGTGAAACCCATTGCTTCTCATGTTTAGCAGAGTTTTCAGACAAGACAGACACAGCGAGCAAATTTTCATGTTCTAAATGTGGACAAGAGTTTTGCGCAGAGTGCGATATCTTTGTCCATGAAGTGCTACATAATTGTCCCGGTTGCTGGAGCGTTGGACAAAAGAAGAAGATGTGATGTCTCGGATAATAAACAACCGTTATCAATGCCCAAATCGATTCCTTTAAGCCAGAGGCATGTGCCGATGTTTTTTCTATTTGATGTGTGTACGCCTTGTCGATGAAACGAATTAAGTGGACAGACGTTGGCTTTTTTGTTTCTTAGTTGGACCCTTGTAGATTAAGACGAAAAAAGATTAAAAGAGAAAACAATTGATTCTTCTTTCTTAATTACCATAGACTTTTCATACATATACACACACTCAACAATATGCTAGATACTTTACCTCCAGAGCTACTATACAAAGTGATATCACTGGTGCCATGTCGAGACTTGGCTTCACTGAGGCTAACTTGTAAATACATGCGTACCTTTTGCGATCAACCCATTGTCTGGAAGTCGATCGATTTAAAACCATGGAGAGAACAAGAACTTTGGAAGCTGACAGAATTAAAGAACACCATTGACCTTCATCTATCCCATATTCTATCAATCCGTATATGGGGTGTGCGAGACAGCATTGTTCAATATCTATTAAACCAATGTCAAAATCTACAGCACCTCACCATTTGTGGGTGGACAACACTATCTGATCACTGTTTACGCTTGCTGCCATCTCAATCACTTAAAATCAAGAGCCTGGAACTCATTGGATCATCCCAGCAAACCAACTTTGTGTCTGTGGATGCCTACACGCTAGGCAATCTGCTGCTGCATTCACCTGAAATGACCAACTTAGTACTAGGCTGCGAGATACACATTCATGCAGAGACGTTCATCACAGAGCTAGAAAAGACGTCTGTCAGCAGTGACCTGCAGTCTTTCTTGCTAGCGAGCCGCAAGACCTGGCTGAACGAGCATGTGCTTCGGCTCATCAACATCTACCCAGAGATACAAAAGATTTACCTACTACCCAAAGCAAGCATTGAGTTAGGCCCAATGCAAGGGAACAACGTAGATGCCCTATTGCATGAGAAATTAAAGCAGATAATGAACATTGTGCCATTGCCATTGGAGGTCCCCTTGTTGTCAAATGAAGAATTCATTATTTACGATAAAAGATTCACCGCTTGTGTTTAGCGCCAATGCGCCCAGAACTCGCCCAATTCCTTTTAGCTATATATCATCGTGTATTATCAGTAATAAACCATAGAAAGAGAGCTGCCGAGCCTAGCGTTAAGCTGTAAAGCTGCTGATCAACCTTCAGACGGCGGTTTCTTGCACAGCTATATTGAATGCAGATACAGTACTACATGAACCTTCTTAACATCTTTTTGAAGCTACAGGCCAGCAACTGTTCCGTTTCAGTTGTAGCGCACAAGCACATGATATAAGTAGTGCGGCCTTGAACGAGTGTTTCTGGAACAAGTATTCAGCCTGTCAGTCTTTACAAGTGGATAGGCTAGGTGTGAATGTCTCCTTTGCTGAGCTTTCAACACCATAAAGATTGATATACTACAACTTTAATTCACCGTGATGGGGCTCAAGTACTCGGTGCTTGACATATCACCTTCCATTTTGTCCTGTAAACGGAGTATGGCAGTGAATTGCTATCAAGAGCTTCAACCAGCATTTCAACGTTGCATATATTTTGATATTTATACTTTATTTTGGAATTATTATCTAAAAAGGGGGGGGGGGTGCTCTGCACAGGATTTCTTTCCATGTACCCATTGGAATACTAACTTGGCCTACTTGATGATGATGCGGTCATTGGGATCTGTCTTTTCTTCAAGTAAATTTTCAGCTTCAAGAGAGAGTGCTTTAAGATACATTGTTTAGTTTGGCCTTGCTATTGTCTCACGGATTTGCGCTAATTGACAATCAGTGTTCAAATGTAAAATGTATTCAAGACTATAATAAATACTTACTTTCTCGTAATATTGCCCAAGTTCTACTCAATGTTTGGTGAAACGGCTTTTCCATGCTGGATATAATAGCGTTTCATCCACTGCAATAAGATTTAATGGCCAAGTGGCAATATGAACAGAATGCTTCTTTGTGAGTCCTGTTAATGTTGAAATTCTAACTTTCGTAATGAACAAAGTCGACTTCAAGGAAAAGGGTATTGCCATTCGCACCAGCCAAAACTACTAGTGGCATCTTTAACAAAGTGGATTTTTTTTTTAGTCAAAACGTTATTCAACTTTGAAACAAGGTTCATTAAATACCTTTCTGGCATGCATACTTCTATTGCAGCCGTGAATTGAACTTTATGCCGAAGAAGTCTCAATAAATCGACATTTGATGAGTAGCTATTATACCAAATAGCATGAGCCTGAAACTACATGTTGTTCCTGCAAAGCGCATTGTGGATCAGTTCCCGGAAATGATAGAACTTTACAGTCATGGACTATGTCCTAATACAAGCTTTCAATCCCTTGAACGTGAGGCAATGTGATGTGAATGTCTTTGACAAATGCCCTTGAATGAAGCCTATTGAAGTGCATGTCGTTTCAACATATGAACATTATTGCCCTTCGTGAAAGAAACCCAAAAGTCTTTGTTGCACATGTCATTTGGTCTAGTCAAAAACGCAAGCTAGCTAGTTTCTATAGATGCAGTCGGCAAATAGGAATTAATCTATAGATCTCGAGACCAACAAGATATGATAAACTATGCCATCATCGTGAGAGTCAATGCTGCTTTAAATCCCTCCAAGTGATCCCTCTTTACGTGTAACGTTTGACATATTGACCCCTTTATTTATGCTATTTCTAGAATTTCATGTACAAAACAAAGTTCACCCGGGTAGAGTATTTAGTTTGAGGTAAAATGAGAGGGTATACAAATCAACCGAGCGACTCTGGATTCTCATACTAGCTAGCGGAAGATGGCTTCTTTCCAAGTACTCAAGTGGGCGGTTCACATATTCTACCACAGAGAGCACAAACAGAATACAAGATGAGCAGTATATTCATAAATTGAGCGAAAGTAGATTTTAGTTGCGTGTCACCTATTCTGCATAAAGTTCAGGCTAGGATTGGTAACAGAAAGGCACATTCGCAACGTACATTCGAGGTGTAAATAAGGCCCTATTCTTTTTATATCCTTTTCTCTTCACTTGATTATACACCATGTGTGGTTTCTGTAGTTACTTTCATTTTGATATCTCGGATAACGAGTTTCCCAACCTTGATCTCGATACCGCCTTGCAATACATCCATCATCGTGGTCCTGATTCCCGAGGCAAGTACATTTCTCCTAGTGGACGCTGTGGTAAGTAGTACTGTGTATCCTGTTATTTTATGTTGGGCCTAACCTTATTAAAAAGGCCTTGGCCATGTCCGTCTCTCTATCATCGATTTAAACGGTGGTCAACAACCTCTCAGTAACGCCTCTGCTTCTGTTCAATGTGTTGTGAACGGTGAGTTGTATGATTTTGAGCGTATCAGAGAAGAATTGGAAGCCAAAAGACACACGTTCAGCACCAAGAGCGATAGTGAGATTGCGCTTCATCTTTACGAGGAATACGGCATGGGCTTCCTCGAACATCTTCGTGGTGAATTTGCCATCAACATTTTCGATGCTAAGAAAAACCGTTTCATTGCTGCTCGTGATCGCTTCGGTATCAAACCTCTTTACTACACAGTTTACAACGGTACTTTGCTTGTGGGTAGTGAAATCAAGTCGTTTCTGCCTATGGGATGGAAGCCTGAATGGGATATCGACTCCATCATGCATAATGGTCCTGTCAATGACATGAGAACTTGCTTCAAAGGTGTCTACAAGCTGCCCCCTGCTCACTATCTGATTGCTACTTCTTCTGGATCCATGGAAATTCAGCCTTACTGGGACGCTGATTATCCTGACAAGAACGTCAAGGAAACTCGTACTGTAGAAGAGATGGTTCAAGGTGTTCATGACCATTTAAAGGACGCCATCAGAACCCGATTGAGAGCCGATGTCCCTCTTGGTGTTTATCTTAGTGGTGGCATTGATAGTTCCTGTATTGCTGGTATTGCATCCTCTATTTTGAGAGAGAGCAATCCTGACGCCAAGCTGAAAGCCTTCTGCATCAGTTTCGCTGGAAGTGACATTTACGATGAATCTGCCATTGCTGAAAGAACAGCTGCATTCTGTGGCGCTGACTTTAAGAAATTGTCGCTTACTGAAGATGATATGTTGAACAACTTTGAGGAATCTGTTTGGCACGTAGAGCAACCTCACAACAACTTGAACGCCATTGGTAAGTTCCTCTTGTCTGAATTCGTGCGTGATCAAGGCTACAAGGTTGTCATGACCGGTGAGGGCTCTGATGAGCATTTCGGTGGCTATGCTTTCTTCCACGCTGATTATTTGCGTGAAACTGATAATGCCTCTCCTGATGGGTTTGGCACACTTCCCAACGATCAACGTGAAGCTAGACTCAAGCACTTTGGCGGTCAGGAAGAATTCAACAAATATGGTAAGGATATATTTGCAGGCCACAACAGTGCAGATATTATGACCCGTAAGCTTCTCAATAATATCAACACGCATACTATGCTGGGCAAGGCCCTCACTCTGGAAGACAAATGCTATCACGATGCTGCTCTCGCTCAAGTAGGCAGACCCAACCCTGCTCTTGCCATGGCTGAAAGTCTTAGCGGTATGGCTCGCTACAAGGCCAACAACAAATGGCATCCTCTTCATACTGCCATGTATGTTGAAAACCACACTTTCCTCCCCAACCATCTCTGTAACTCGCTTGGTGATCGTAGCGAAATGGCTCACTCGGTTGAAGCACGCACTCCCTTTTTGGATCACCATCTCTGTGAATATGTCAACGGTCTTCCTCCCTCGCTCAAGATCAAGTGCAATGACGATGGCACCTTGAATGAAAAGTGGGTTCTCAAAGAAGCTGTCAAACCTTACATTACTGAAGAAATGTATAAGCGCACCAAACATCCTTTCCTCGCTCCTCCTTCTGAAGGACGCAATCCTGTAGTGGTCAATCTTCTCGACAAGCTTATCACCAAGGAAACCCTTGAAAGGCTTGGCTGGGTCAACATTGAAAAGCTCCTCGAGGGCAAGGCTGCTTATTTGGAAACTGGAGACCTCTTCCTCTTTAGAGATATGATGATCATGATGTCCTATGTCACTCTTTCACAACGTTTCAATGTTGCTACTTGGGGTAATACCAAGAATGATTTGGCAGACATTGTTACTCGTTAAAACAGACTATTGCTGTAATCCATATCACCCACCTTTTGTATTTTAAGATTTATGTATAAAATAAAATTGCTTTGCTTATGTATCAACAACGATGTAATCTGTTGCTTTTATTTTCTATTAAACTGCTTCCATGCAGTTGCTATTCATTCGGATATCATACGTTAAAGTGTTTTATCTTCTTCTTGAGCTTGTTGGGTTCCATTCACCTGGCGAAAAGGTATCGCCAGTACCAGAAGGTCTCGATGACTTGGCAGCTTCTTCCTTCTTGTCCTTTTGCTCTTTTTCCGCTTATGAGAAAACATATGTAAACAACAGCCCATTAAGTAACATTGCCCCCAATAACTTACCACTTTCCAATGCTGCCAAACGATCCACTTCTCTCTGTTCATCGTCATGCAACTGTTGTAGTTGCAACTTGCGCTAACATCATTCGATTCATTAGTTCCACTGCCATTTTATAGATTTTAAAACACATTATACCTGCTCCCACTCTTCATCCAAAGCCTTGGCTCTCTCCTGCACAAGGGCTTTTCTTCTCTCTTCTTGTACTAATTCTTGTATAGTGGGTGCAGCTGTTCTTGTGTGTCTCAACCATGCCTGCCATTGGACTGTCAAACGTACATGAATACATTGCTTAAATCAACCTCCACCTTTCTCATTCATAGAAATTACCTGGTAATTTGTCTCCATGAAATACTGTCAAATCATTCTCAGAATCGTCTGTCATTTGCACCCATCGCTTCATTCTTCCACCTTTGAATGATTGTAAGCTTTGACCTGTTTGTCATTTGGGTATTTCAACATACCTAATGGGTTGGGACAATCCCAGTATTCATTGCCTTCGAGATCGTAACCGATAAGTGCATGTTTTTTCCAAGGAAATCTAGTCGTCTTATATGCTAGTGAGAGCTTTTGGTATAAAGATTTCGACATGAGCAATCAATTTTATCTATAATAGGACGAGAGAGGGAGGTTATGGTTATAAATTGAAAAGAAATAAAACAAGAACAGAGAAAAATACAAACAATCCGGGGATCTGAGTCAATTGAAGGGACGAGCCATCTCAGTCCAAGAGTCCGAAGACATTCCAAATCAGAGATAATAAAAAGTCTGGCATAAAAGTAGATTTTAAACAATCAATTAATAGTAAAAAAAAAAAAAAAGCTATATCAAAGTTAGGAGGGGGAGGTATCCATTCGCTGATGTTGCTCCTCGGATGACGGCATAAAGCTGGCCATGCGTAAATACAGGACTTGTGTAAGATTTATAGCGACTTTTTTGAGATATTGTCATTGCAAAAGACACCTTCATGAGGCAAAGCTCTCCAAAAAAAAGTTTCTGGGCTAAGCAATTGTTCTTTCAATTCCATGATTCCCATTTAATCAGTGTCGCAATTATCACTGCCTTCAACAGAAAGACATTTAGGTCAGCCAGCAGCAGTGGTGCCGCCCGCTAGAATAGATTGAAACTCAGTTTGTCTTTTCTATTCAGGATTGGATAGATTTAATCCTTTTTCGACTTCTTTAAGCTATTTTGTGAGATTTGACTATATAAATTGTGATGATCACCCTACGCTTCCTAATCCTGCCCCTGGTGGTAGGGCGAAGTGGTAAAACTCCCGTATGCCAACGGGAGGATCCCGGTTCAAATCCTGGTGAACGCAAGTTGTTTGATTTTTTTTGGCGTAGTACTGATGTCCTCGTTTGGTGTTTTGTGCTCTTATCCATGATCTATATTTTGACGATTTCCGCAAGACTGTATTGGCTCTAGGTGTCGCACCTTATTAGTAGTAGATTTCTTTCCCAACTTAATTCAAAAAATATCTTATTCCCCTTCTTTGCAGACATTGGGTCCACCAACAGTCTTTTCTTTCCCTCAGCATGACATTTTAAGGACTTTAAATAAAACTTGGAGCTCGACTCCCCTACAAAAAAAAAAAAAAAAAAACGCTTCCTAATCCATTCTTGAAGTACTTTTCAAGGCGCTTCCAATGATACTAATTGTAATGAATACTTTGACCGAACTTAATGAGCAATTTAATAAAATTTGAAATGAGGTTTTTAGCGAAAATAGGCATATTTTGCATATGAACACCCCCATTAAAGTGATTTCAGATGTTGCTTTGGGTCGAGAGAAACATTTTGAACTGATCTATACCATAGTAAAAGTGTTCATTTTCAAGGTGAAAAACGCGATCGTTTGATTTTCGTAAAAAAGCATGAGGTACCCCTCATGCTTTCTGGTCGGTTTTTGACCATGTTTTTTTTTTGGCCCAAAAAAGTTGAGCAAAGATGTCAGGAAGTTACTACTACTCAAGTACAATTGTTTGGCGTCATTCCGGTGGCTCAGAAAGATCTGCGTGTCAAGATATGAAGGCTTGAAAACTGTCAAATTTGACTGTATTTTTGCTTTATAGCTTTTATTTACACGGCATGAATTACATCCTTGGTAGCTGAAATCTTCTTGAAGGGCAGTCTGGATATAAAGTGTAAAAAAGAATTTTTGTCCAAAATAATATTACCAAATATTGGGCTAGATGCTTAGCTACCATGGTTTTTCACCTTCACCTCGCTACGGTAAACCGCCTTATAGATCAATGTTACCAAATGTTGAAAGATGCGTTATGTTCTTAGTGGATGGGCTAAGCACCTCCTGCAAACCCCCTTCCCCAATGCCGGCTTCCCTGGTAGTTTATTCACCTTGTAAGGTACTCAATTTTTTAAATTTTTGAAAGGGTAGTATGGTTTGTTTGTCTACTTTTTTTGAATGTTTTACAGCATATATAATGATGATAGCTAGACTTGGAGCTTCTGTATTGACATTTTTTTTTATTTGCATTTATAACTAAATATGAATTGATAGAAGACCGCGAGAGAGATGGAGGAGGAGAATGAGGGTGTTAAATGCATAAATTACCAACAGCGTTTTCGATAAGTCTAACATCACCATCCTCCAGGCCACGAATGACTCGTCTCTTGTTACTTTTCGACTTGATCTCTACAATAGTGGGTAGTCCGAAGGCACTCGCCATACCAGCTACGTCTGAAATGGATGCTGTTTGAACCACATCTTCTTCTGAAGCGACGAGTAATTTATCCAATTTCAAGCACAAGTCTCTCAGATTCTCGTTTTCATGCACTTGCTGTATGCAAGGAAGAGCCGTATGTACACCGTTTTCAATGAGATCTCTTACAAATGGGTTCTTGCCATTGGGGAAACGATTGTCGATCCATTTGTTTGAGCGCTGTACCAAGCTGATGATGGCCTCTATGCTCTTTTCGCATACATCCAAAGGGAGATCAATGTAGTTGAGGACTGCTGCGAGAGATCGTGGCAAGTAAGGGTGTTCATTGAGTAGATCCCTGTGTTATATTTACATATTGAGTATTGCTATTCATGGACTTTTTTTGAATAAAGCACTTACCAGACCGAGGGATCACTTCCGAGCGAGACGATATTGAATATAATCCACAGTGCTTCCTTTGTTACTTTCCATTCATCGTTCTTCATGTAATAGGCATGTGATAATGTCGGTGTCCATAGCACTGGATTAGAGCTATAACTGTGTCCAGGAACAGTAATGTGTGCAACGACGCTGTTCATCACCACCTTGTGTTCAATGACATGCTTGATCATTTCTTCGTTTCCAGCTGCTAGATTGGAGATGACGAGGAAGGCATCTTTTCGGATTTCATTAGGTGCTTGTGGTTCCAATAATCGAGTGATGCTTGTCAGTAACGGCGTGCGTAATAGACCTTCAACACAGCTGTTGGGTCCAGATGTGATATTCACCACGGTTCGAATGGCAGGTACAACTACTTTTGGTACGCCATCTCTGTCATGCTGTGTATTAGAACGATTGCACACATAAACATTGCTTCTCCACACTGATGGGCATACCTTAAAAGACTAGATAGTCTCTCGCAGAGTTCATCTGATATATGATTGCGTTGGTGAAAAGCATTGACATCATGCATGTTGTATAGCACACGAGATAATCCCCAGCTAAGCTTCACTCAGTACATCAAATTAAACACACGCTTGCACAACTTACCAGATTTCAATTTCAAGCTTTGTATAATCAAAGACGATAAAGTCTGAAAACACCTTAAACATGGGCAAGTAGTTCTGATAATATTCTGCAACATGGAAACCACCACGAGACATATTGGATAATGCCCAGAGCAACGCTTCCACATTCGAGTAGATATCTTCATCAGAGAATCGTATTTTTCCAGCTGGATAACTCAAGTCTTGCGATTCATCGTATGTATCTTGGTATACATCTTCAAGTACTTTGACAATGGCATGTGTAAAGCCTTTTCTCATAAGCTCTTCTCTGTAATTTGGTGATTCGCCCGCAATATTACCAAGAGCCCATGCAGCTTGTGCCTTCAAGTCTAATGATCCATTTTCTTGTCGCATACAATCGAGCAACAAATCAACAAATCCTGCTTCAATGATGGCATTGGTTTGCTCGGTTGTTCCAGCCTACAAGCGTAATGCGTAAATATGCCATATCATCCGACAAGGATCTCTCAATCAACTTACAGCAACATTGGTGACAATCCATGCGCATTCAAACTAAATATTTCAAGGAGATAAACATGTGTAAAGGAGCTTTTTTATACCTTTAGTAATTTATAACGTACCTTGATTGTATCACCCAGATCAGATCCTATTAATTCCTTGATACGAGGTAAAATATCCAATGCAAGGATATCATTGACACTACTTTCGTCACTATGACCTACAGAATGCTCATGGTAAATCATGAGGGTCATACAAATCCCAATGTATATAGGTTTACCTTGAGTCAAGTATCTACGCAAGAGGCGAATACTTTGTTTGATCTGGTCACGCTCTGACGAGAAGAGCAAATACTTGATGGTAGGCAACTACAACACATACAATAAGCAATCAAATCGGATCTTGAACACCATGAAAAACCCCGTTATGTTCAATACGTACAGCATCCTTCTCTACATTGCCTCCATGAGCAGGTAATTTGTGTATAGAAACATTGGAAAGCTTGCGGCTGATCTCCAGCAATACGTCTTCTGGTTCAAATTCGTCAATTGTCATTTGATGGATGAAGGTTGCTATATATATATATATATAGTATATGAGAAATCTGAGTTTTCTTGGGTTGCTATGCAAATTCACGCAGTTCTTTTTGGATGTAATGGATTCTACCTATGTTTTATGCAGTTGTTGTATAGAGTGATGGGTTGTTGTTTCTAGTCAATGTCTTTCAGGTTGTTCCGTCCTTGGCCAATTACGCGCAGGTCAATAAGTAATAAAACAACAGGTATGAAAGGTTGCAAGATTTGGGTTTAATAAATTAGATTTTTTTTTTTTATTGGGAAAGAAAGGGGGAGAGGTAGAAGTGGTGTGGTGGGCGTTCAACTAAATTCAGGTTGCCAAGTCACGATTGTAATGCAACATTGTTCTCCATTCCTCTCTCTCCATATCTACAAATGACATGAATGAATCAATATGGATAGCTTCCTTGCCATCTTCTTCAAAGAGAGGTTCATCGGAAGTTTAAACACACTACCTTGATGAGACATTTCTCTCTATAAATAATCTTCTTTCAGCATCCAGAAGCCCTTTCCTGTCTGATCCTTCTTAAATGTTGCAATGGCTTGTAGCATTTTTCTAAAAATAATGATCTGCTCTTGATTGATACTAATGTCCAATGCATCTATAATGTCTTGCGAAGTGCCACGACCATTGTGTTTAGACAGGTAATCTCTGATCTTGACAATCATGCCTCCTCGAGCTGCATTATCCAAAATGGAGAGCGACACTTCTATCAAAATTTGAATGTAATAATGCTTGAGTACAAGTTCCATGACGACTTACAGAGCATCCCTTACCTTGTGGCTGTGGACTAGCACTTTTGCCTGATTCCATTGCTCTTCGTTCCTTCATGCGCGCCAGCAATGAACTCGAGGATGGTCTGGCATCATTCATTGCTTTAAAGCCAGATACATTTCCAGAGCCAAATGCGTTTTTAGGGGATGGTGATACAGGGGCACTATGCGTTGAGAATGCGGGGCTCTGTCCGAACTTTGGAGGAGGGGTAGCTGCTCGATTTGAAAGTGCAAATCGAGGTGCTCCAGCTGCTCCAGAACGACCTGTCCATGTGGGTGTTCCAATGTCCATTTGTCGGCGTTGACGCCTGGATTCCTTTAGCGCCGCTGCTGCACGCTCAGCAACGAGAGTAGCTATGTATGTGTAAGAGATAGATGCCATACATGCACTATTCACTGCATGTAGATTACCTTCACGCTCAACAAAGACAGCATCATGAGAGGCAGAATCCATGATTTGGTCGTGTTGCAATGCACTTTGGATGCCTGTCATTTCAAACAAGCTCTTGAGAACATGATCCTCGCCATCAATGCTATCATTTGCTTCCATTTGTTCTCGTTCTTTGCGTCTTTCTTCCTCCTCTAACCGCTCTCCTGCGCTATAAACACATATCAGTCATCCATGCCAATCCAATCAACAAGATACGTTACTATCGTTCCAAGCTATCGACACCTTCAATGGCTACCAGAACCCTTTCATCATCGCCATTCTTTCTCTTCTTTTTCTTTCTGCGAGTGTCGTTGTAATTGATCTCTGTGCCTTTGAACAAATCTCCTGTTTCTGTACCCACAGCATCTTCTGCCCCCAACGTGAATAAGGACTGCAAGTTACTGGCATCAAAGAACCTCCTCTGCTTTGGATCCTTGAGAATCTTGTTTGTCAAAAACTGCTTGTAGATCTGACGATGATATATCTTTTCCTCGATTGTGCCACTCGTCATTAAACGATACACTGTCACCTCCTTCTTTTGACCCAAACGCCAAGCCCTCTCCCTTGCCTGCATATCAGTGGAAGGATTCTATTGGATTATTCATTAGCTTATACATCGGTCTATTGACAGGCGACCTACCCAGTCAGGATCGAAAAGAATGACTCTATCCGCACCTGTCAGATTCAAACCGAGGCCGCCCACCTTGGTAGTCAATAAGAAGACAAAAATATCAGGCACTGTGTTGAATTCATTCACCATGGCAATACGCTGACCAACAGGCGTCGTACCGTCCATTCTCAGGTATCTGTAGTGGGAGCGATTCATCATAATCTCTAGGATATCGAGCATCTGTCTCGTCTGACAAAAGAGCAATACACGGTGCTGCTGCTGTTTCCACATTTTCAACAAGGCTCTCACAACGATCATTTTGCCACTGCGTTCAGGATTGCCATAGTCAGGATCCGTGTGCGGCAGTGTCAAGTCCATGATGTCTGGATGATTGCAAATCTTTCTGACGATATCAATGCCGAACAGCACTTGACGTCGACGCTCCAGAATTGCGTCCATGTCCTTGGACGAGATAAACTTGAGATAAGCACTGCGTTGAGGTTTGGTCAGCTTGCAGAATAGCACTTGTTCGTTTTTTTTGGGTAGGTCAGAGGCGACATCGACTTTCATGCGTCGAAGCAGGTATGGGTTGATCAAATCTCGCAACATGCAAGCACACTTGTAGGCTGTTTGTACCTGAACATTGGTCGCATTCGCATATCCACCAATACCAATAGGGATGGAAAATTGCGTTTGAAAGATGGGCAGCGTCTATAAGTGTGTTAATACCCTCGGTGCAACAGATGAGCCCACATTGTACTCACACCTAATCTGCCTGGAAATATGAAATCAAACAAAGACCACAACTCTTTCAGGTTGTTTTGTATCGGTGTACCTGACAAGATGATTCTATGAGGTGTCTATGCAAAAAAAACAGAAAGAGTAAGAAATGACTTTGAGAGGGGGAAAAACTCAAATATTTTATATTACCTTGAATTGCTTGATTGCCAGCGTTGTGCCAGAGTCAGGGTTTCTAATCTTATGTCCTTCATCTAATACTACATATCCCCAACGATGCTTCAACAAGATCTCTCTGTAGCTCTGAACACCACTGTACGTTGTAATCAAGATACCGCCGTACTTTACGTATTGTTCCACCAAGGCGGCTGCATTTCTACCTGCCTTTGTAGTGAGAATGCTTTTGGCGGACGATCTTGCATTTTTCGCCTTCTTTCTGGACGCGCCCTTTCCTCTGCGATCTGGCTCGTACTCTTCTTCTTCATCATCATCGCCATTCTCATTGTTGTTTTGAAACGTGTACTCTTCTTCTTCCTCTTCGCTGTCTTCCTCTTCTTGATCCAATAATGCTCTGCTCTTACCCTTTCCGTGTACGGAATTCTTGATGCCTGTGCCGCTTGAGTGCAGGATGGCGACTCTCAAGGGAGGCCACCACTTGTGAAATTCTTGCACCCATTGCTTCATCACAGTCGCAGGGCAGACAATGATAGAGGGCTGACCAGGACCAAGGATTTGCGAATAGTAGAGGCCAGATAAAAAGGAAATCACTTGAATGGTCTTGCCTAAACCCATCTCATCGCCCAAAATGCCGCCTACTTTTTGTCGATGCAATTCCCATAACCATTGCACGCCTGGATGCCCGCAATCAGTGCTCAATTATCAGCATGTGTCAACGCAACTTACATGTCTTTTGATAGTCAAACAGGCAATCCCACAGCTCACCAGGCACCTTCATGCCACCATCAAATTCAATGTCGTCAAAATTGGGATGTGGCTCAAATTGTTCCTGTGCATCGTTATCACTGTTACTCTCGTCTTGCGCCAGCCTAGACTCAATTTCTTCCATGGAAAAATTGATAGCATCCTCCTTTAGCATGATCAGCATTTAAAGGAACCACGCTACATACACACACGACAAACTTACATGTGTCTTTTGATAGCGCATGATCTTTCGATTATGAATCCAATCTTGCAGTCGCTTTCTATAATTCATCTCTGATCCGTCGTCATTGTAAATTTCATCCAATTTTCTCGATGCACGCTTGCTGCTAGTTTGCTCCTCGTCATCCAGGTTGTCATCCTCGTCTAGAACGCCATCTTGTCTATATTCGTCCTCGTCGTCCTCGTCCACCATAGCGGTATCTGTGTATTCATCATCATCATCGCCGTTCTGACTCAGTTTGCGCTTTAAATAAGACGATGAAGTCGAAGGCTGCTCTGCTTTATGGCTCGGTGCATGAAGATCTTGATGTGACATCTGACCCACTGATCCAGGAAAAACCACATCCTTCTCTCGTTGTTTGGCATGATACTGTGGCAAGTGGTCAAATGGCGTTATTTTGCCGGTTCTCACAAGAAAGTCTCTTTGTGTCTCATCATCCTGTCTGGCATTCCTGTCCACGGGCACCACAGCCTTGTAGCGCTCCTTTTCTCGATCCTGCATTCTGCCCAGAATGTCGTCCTTGTCCTTGCTCGCATCTCGTAGTCGCTTAGCTTGCTGGTTGATCTTTGGTATAAACTTGTCCTTGTCCAAAGACTCCTTCATCTTCAGCCTCAATGTCTCCAGTTGCTTTTGTGTAGCTCTATAAAACAAGACGCATGAACATCGATCCACATGTGCCGGTTTCATGCAAGCTTCCTACTCTATTTCTTTGTAAGCTTTGTCTAGTCGCTTTCTGTCTAATTCATCGTCTCGCTCAGCTAGTGCTTTATCCGCCTGCAATGATGTTAAGCTCGAGGCATATTGCATGTGTCTCGTCGTCATTTACCTTTTCCATCAATGACTTTTCAAGCACATGCTGATCAACCAAATCAACGCCTAATGATTCCAATTCATTGCTCACCGTCTCATTGCCATCTAAGACGACGTCGTGCTGGTAGTCGGATAAAGGTGATGAAGTCTCGCTCATGATTTGTGATGTATGGAGATATATTGGAAAGAAAAGCGTCTAATGAAAAGCGCAGTAGAACAATTTAAATGCACATCAATATGGCATATTTCCGTGACTGATCAAGTCAAAGCCCATCCATACATATGAACATGATAATTTATTGCATACAAAAAACACAAGGATTTCCTATTATTTTTTTTTATAAGAGACAAACTAATTACAAATCTAAAGGGTCTTATCGAAAATGGCACCAAGAGCAGCCCAAACAGCCTTGGGAGATTGAGAAGCATCAACACCGTACCAAATGTTCTTCTTCTTGTAGTAATCAACAACGGGAACAGTTTGCTTGTGGAAAGCATCCAAACGCTTCTTTAAGGAAACTTCGTTATCATCGGAACGTTGGATAAGAGGCTCACCAGTAACATCATCCTTCATGGCAACCTTGGGAGGGCTAATTGGCGGTTAGCCTGAGTGATAATATGGATCTACTGATTTGACAACTTACTTGAATTCCTTGTGATAAGTTCTACCAGAAGAAGGGTGGATCAAACGGCCAGTGATACGAGAGACGAGAAGGTTATCATCAATGACCAACTCAATGACAGAGTTCAAGGGCTTCTTCTTTTCTTCAAGCATCTCATCCAACTTCTCGGCTTGAACAACAGTACGAGGGAAACCATCCAAAATGAAACTATAGAATAGTATCATCAGTAACGAGAACTCGGACGCGTTGGCATTGCACCTTATCATAAAACTTACCCATTCTTACATTCAGGGTTGTTGTCCAAATTTTCCTTGATCATACCAACAACAATTTCATCAGAAACAAGTCCTCCTTCATCCATGATCTTCTTGGCTTCCAAACCAAGAGGAGACTTGGAGGCAACAGCAGCTCTGAGCATATCACCGGTAGCCAAGTGACAGGCACAGAACTTGTCCTTGATAGCAGGAGCTTGAGTACCCTTACCGGCACCAGGAGGACCCATAATGACCATACGGAGTTCCTGCTTGGGAACACCACCTGCTACCTTCTTTTCAAGAGCTTCAAACTTTTCATGAAGGCTTTGAATGTTCTTTTTGATTTCCTCAAGAATTGCAGAATGTTGATCGGCCATAATGTTTAATTGTTTTTATGTGAAATAAACAGAAGAAAAAAAAAAGAAATTAAAATTTCAAAAAGTTTGCAGGGGGTTTATTATTTTCCTGCTTACATGATCCTCCTCCACTCTCCTCAACGCACTCGCCTCCATACGGTTTCTGAGATGACTACATTTATAGTCGCGGCGCGCGCGGGGTTCAACAGCTCCCTCTCTGTCGTATCTATCTGATGTGTTTGTGTGCTAGATGATGATGATGATTTGTCATGCATTAATCGAGTGCTAGATGTAACATATTCATATGTTAATGACTAGCGTCTGGTCTAATACATCCTGATGACATATCAAGGTGATAATCTATCATCAATTACAATGACATGTTTGGAATGCCGCATGAATTGGGGCAAGACCATGTCTCTTCCAGTCACATTGCTATTTGTCCTATGGCCCCTTTGCGCCATGATGTATAGATCTGGCACTGATAAGACCATTCAATCAAATCGAGCTTTCTCACAACCTGGCAAGCGTTTTATATATGACGAGATTGAGTAACAGTTACACACTCATCTTGATTGGATACTACCCCACATATTATATAATTCACTGTTGGATCCATGGCCCTATTGCAGCTGAAAAAGGCATCAGATTCGAGCAGAAGAGGGACTTGCTCATGCAGCAATGCACCACTACTATCTTATTAGTGTTGCAAAGTGCATTGGCAAAGCATACACCACCAGGCAGCAAATGATAAAGGTAGTATCTCCGAAATGAGTTGTGATCCAGGTACAAAATTCTGATCAACGTTTATCCAACATGATACAAAACGTGTACTTTTACGCTTCGGGCGGTTCTCTACCTTCGCTTCGCTTCTGTGGGAACTAGCGTACGTTGTAGCGACCTACACTGTCGATCACCTTTGTCCTTCTCATTGAACTACTGTCAGCTGCGTCGGATAGTCTACTAGTATAGATTTCTTTACTATCTACCATCATATAAAGATCCTTTATAACTGTGGATCTGACTCCTCAATAATGCCCCACATTTGTTTACGTGGGAAAACTCATATTGAAGCAAACAGCATACTTGCATTGCCTTCTAATCCTCAAGTATATACAAATCGCAGCAAAATTCGGATACATCTGAGCCGTGTTTTCTCGCGTCAGGAGCCGTTTTAGACTACCAGAATAGCGACAAACTGTTACTCTCATCCAGCACTTATTTGCTGACACCTTTGCTCAACTTTTTGGGCCAAAAAAAAACATGGTCAAAAACCGACCCAGAAAGCATGAGGGGTACCTCATGATTTTTTACGAAAATCAAACGATCGCGTTTTTCACCTTGAAAATGAACACTTTTACTATGGTATAGATCAGTTCAAAATGTTTCTCTCGACCCAAAGCAACATCTGAAACCACTTTTATGAGGTGTTCATATGCAAAATATGGCTATTTTCGCTAAACACCTCATTTCAAATTTTATTAAATTGCTCAATAAGTTCGGTCAAAGTATTTATTACAATTAGTATCATTGGAAGCGCCTTGAAAAGTACTCCTAGAATGGATTAGGAAGCGTAGGGTGATCATTACAGTTTATATAGTCAAATCTCACAAAATAGATTAAAGAAGTCGAAAAAGGACAAAATCTATCCAATCCTGAACAGAAAAGACAAACTGAGTTTCAATCTATTCTAGCGGGCGGCACCACTGCTGCTGGCTGACCTAAATGTCTTTCTGTTGAAGGCAGTGATAATTGCGATACTGATTAAATGGGAATCATGGAATTGAAAGGGCAATTGCTTAGCGCAAATAATTTTTTGGGGAGCTTTGCCTCATGAAGGTGTCTTTTGCAATGACAATATCTCAAAAAAGTCGATTTAGATCTTACACAAGTCCTGTATTTACTTATAGCCAGCTTTATGTCGCCATCTTATTAAGAGTATCAGCAGCAGTGAATGATATGACAATTCTACTACCAAAAAATATGGCACAAATGGAAAATGTAGTATACAAATGCTGCATAAAGCTTAAACTCTCTTTCATGTCGTTTCAATAATAGCTTCCGTTGATACCAGTGTATAGGCAAAGTGAGGAGGATGCAGGGAGAAATACACCTCCCTTTCTGACTCTGATATAATCTTTCTTCTATTATCAATAGACCGCTTAAAATCTACTTAAATAGCAGGTTTTTATTGTCTCTAATTTGAAATGCCTTCGACAAGAGCCCGCAAGGCGACACTGTCATCGAGCGTAGCGAGGTTGATCGGCTATAAGTAAATACAGGACTTGTGTAAGATCTATAGCGACTTTTTTGAGATATTGTCATTGCAAAAGACACCTTCATGAGGCAAAGCTCCCCAAAAAATTATTTGCGCTAAGCAATTTCCCTTTCAATTCCATGATTCCCATTTAATCAGTATCGCAATTATCACTGCCTTCAACAGAAAGACATTTAGGTCAGCCAGCAGCAGTGGTGCCGCCCGCTAGAATAGATTGAAACTCAGTTTGTCTTTTCTGTTCAGGATTGGACAAATTTCGTATTTTTTCGACTTCTTTAATCTATTTCGTGGTGTTCGACTATATAAACTGTAATGATCACCCTACGCTTCCTAATCCATTCTTGAAGTACTTTTCAAGGCGCTTCCAATGATACTAATTGTAATAAATACTTTGACCGAACTTAATGAGCAATTTAATAAAATTTGAAATGAGGTTTTTAGCGAAAATAGCCATATTTTGCATATGAACATCCCATAAAAGTGGTTTCAGATGTTGCTTTGGGTCGAGAGAAACATTTTGAGCTGATCTATACCATAGTAAAAGTGTTCATTTTCAAGGTGAAAAACGCGATCGTTTGATTTTCGTAAAAAATCATGAGGTACCCCTCATGCTTTCTGGTCGGTTTTTGACCATGTTTTTTTGGCTCAAAAAGTTGAGCAAAGGTACCAGGAAGTTACTGCTACTTGAGTACAATTGTTTGGCATCATTTCGGTGGCTCAGAAAGGTCTACATGTCAAGATATGAAGGGTTGAAAGCTGTCAAATTTGGTTGTATTTTTGCTTTATAGCTTTTGTTTACACGGCATGAATTACATCCTTGGTAGCTGTAATTTACTGGAAGGGTAGTTCTACAGCCTGTGCAACTTCTAATTTGAATAGAAGGCATGGTGATTTTGGTAAAACTGATCTATGCAAATTTTGATGCGATATGTTGCTGGTAAGCTTATTAACTGGAAATGAAACCCCGAATTTGCAGCTTGAATACTATGGTTTTGAACCTTCGCTTCGCTGCGATTAAGCCCTCATATAGATTAATATTATCAAATGCTAGATTAGACGCGTTATGTTCTACCCCCAAACCCCTCCCCATTGCCGGCTTTGCCGGTGGTTTTATCCATCTTGTACGGCACACAATTATTTAAATTTTGAAAGGATATGAATGTTTTACAGTATATATATAGTGAAGAAGATTGAAAATAGGTCCCTCTTGGTACTATAGAGAAAGAAGGCTTTATTGATTTAACCGTTAAACGAGAAAAGAAAAAGCGGATCATTAGTTGATTATCTAACGCAGCCAACAAGATGACTCCATGCATAATCTCGTCTCGATTCTCAAAAGTGTAAAAGGCTCTCAAACCCACGCTTGATTCTAATATATAAACTGAAAAAAGAAAACTAGTGCGTGGCAGCAAGCATTTGCATAAAAACTTGTTTTTCCATTGTAGTTTATTTGAAAGCAGTTTGAGCGGATGAACTGTATATGCGTAGCTATTCAATCACACTGGTAATTCCCTCTCTGTTTATTTCTTGTTCGTTAAGCGATCTGCCAATAACAAAAGCCAACGATCCAACCGTTGTTGGTGTGTAGTATCATTGATAGCTAACGCCAAACATGCTGCACAAAACAAGCCAGATTCTTTTCCATCTCGAGTCAAACAGTCAATGGCGATTTCGACAGAGCCTTCTGTGTCTGATAGCAAATAACTGAAATCAACGACGTGTTAGAGGCAAGTAGGCCAAAATAGCATGGGCGTCTCACACTTACCATGTTGCTGTCAAAGTATCTTGATTGCCTTTTTGCAGTTCTTTTGCCCACTCACTGAACAATGACTTGACGATAGGGTCTCCAGGCGGTAATCTTAGCTTAGCTACCACGATGGCCTCTTGAAACATACTTTGCTGTCTGTACATGGCAATGGCGTCATAGATATGGCTACAAGCAATGTAGCATGAAGCAGCAAGGTTGAACTGTTTGGCTGATTCCATCTTTTTTGCTTGGCTCAACATGAGCTCTAGCCACTTTTCTTTGCTTACTGTATCAGCCATTAGTACGAGATTTAGTATTTTGAGACATGAGCTTACCCATTGGACTTAGTGCTAGTATCACCCAATCTGCTAGACCGTTGTTTGTTGTGTCTTGATCAAATACAGTAAAATGGCAGCGCATGATATCCATAGCCAGCTTGATATCAAACTTGTTCTTGACATTTTGCTCCACCTCTGCAGACCACGGCTGAACTATGTTTTGCTCATCCCGGTCCAAGGCACCCACTATGCAATATATTAGCTGTACATTTCACAGATAGCCGTATGGCAAGCAACATACCTTCCAGGTCAAGCAAGTGTCGAATATCATTTTTATCGCCATACAGTAATTCATGTATATTCTGATGTGGCTCTTTCTGCGTTCCATCATCAGCATCCCACACGGTCAAATATTTTTGCACAGTGGCATTTTGAAGTTGCTCTTGTGTCAAACTTTCTTTAATCTTGAAGACGGCTTCCTTTACCTTTCCACCCAGCAATTTGTCGGCTACGATCAAGCAGCATTGTTCCCGTTTGAGACGACTCGTCGAGGCTTCGGAAGCCTGAGCAGTATTCAGCATGGATCTCGGTAGGTTTGTGTGAGCCTTGGTCTTCTTTTTTGCGGGTGGGGTGGTAGACATATCCGTAGTTGAGGAGGAGGAGGAGGATACTTCCTTGCGCTTCTTTTTGTTCTTGACCAGTGCAAATCTCTCTCTATGGTACTTTGTTGGCTCATCGTCCTTTCGTTCGTCGTAAGGGTAATCATTGTAATTCCATTCGTATATAAATTTATCTTGTCCTCCGCTGAATAGGGAATCCAAGGCGATGTGGTTCCATTCCACTGTATAGACACGGCTTCGATGTTCATTGAATTTAGCTATTGGCTTCGAGGTAGTAATATTCCACACGTAAATGCAATTGTCGTCGGACGCTGAGGCGAAAAGAGCTTTGTCTGGATGTGAGCTCCATTTGATGTCGTTCACAGTTTCTTTGTGCCCATTGAATTCAATTACATTAGCATGTTGCCCCAACATGGGGATATCTACACAAGCAACCAGTTAGGCAAGCATGCCTTTACGCATAGTGTATCGCACTTGCCTTGTTCGCTTTCCAAGCTGACAGTCGATACATCGTACACTACAATTTGGCCACTGCGACTTCCTGATGCAAGGTAGAGCTTATCTCCAACATCTATAATACAGCTGTTCAGTAACATATCATTTTTACGAGGAATCAGCCCAACGTACACTTCCAATCAAGCGCTGTGACGCATTGACGCTGGTAATTTGAGGTATATATCAGCTTAAGTGTCTTTAGATTGTAGATTTCGATAAAGCCGTTTGTATGGCCAAATGCTATCCACGTCAGCTTTGAATCCACTTTGAGCGAGTGGCGATGCGAGTCTATGCTTTTGAGCTTATTGAACCAAGCAGGATTGAGTCTTTCCAGCACCTGGCATAACAGGGCGGGTGGTGTCTTGACATTATTCATATCGTAGACGTGCACAGTGCCATCTCCACCGCAAGAAATCAATGGATGTCGCATGTCCTCTCTCTGCAGTACATCACACATGTCGGGCCCCCAGTCAATGAATGGCGCACTGTTGAGTGTATGGTGCTTGTGAAATTTAATGCCATTGTTTTTTACAAAAGAATCACACAATCCTACGTGCCCAAACTCGTTTGAATAAGCGGCTGTTCCTTCTACAGAAGGATGGCTTCGAATCTACTTGTAGTCAGTAAGCTCATAGCAGGTACACATCTGCTGCAACTTACCTTCTGAATCCGTCCCTGAAGACCTCTCCAGATGACCATAGCAGCATAGTAATTGGGATCTGTTTGAGGCTGAATGACATCTTGTGCGGTAGAAAACTTCCAGTACTTGATCTCCTTCTCTCCCATGGCAATAGCCAGCTGCCCACTGTCCCAAGCTGGCGTATCCATACAGTAAGGGTACTTTGTCTGTGTCTTGATGATCTGTACGTCGTTTCCAAGCTGCGTATCCCATTTAATGACCTGTGCATCCATAGAAATACTGATCATCTGACTGCCTTGATTGGCAAAGTTTAAAACAAACACTTGCCGAGCATGCTTATCCATTCTCTTTTTCGTGTTGACAATGGGTCTCGTCGGATTGGATACATCAGCACAGACAATGGCACCCAAGTAGCTGGTAAAATACAGTGTGTGGTCTTGCTGCCAGCTCACTTGCACCCAGGTAGCCGCAGACTTTTGACCCCCTGTGGGTTGCGATGGCGGGCGAGGCAGTCGAATGGAGGATATGATGGATTGAGCTGCATTATTCCACAACAAAATCTGAGGTTTTCGTTTGGTGCTGAATGCGAGCAAGGGCCATTCTGATGAATGACGGGACGGCTGCCAATCCAATGACTGTACTGGGTCTGTGTCTTCCATGATTTGGCTGGCAATGGTCATCGACAGATCATTATGGATTTCGTAGATAAACACCATGCCATTTTCGTAGCCTGCAGCGAGATAGTCTCTGCCGTCTACTTGGGTTGCTGCCATGCATGTAATGGGTGATGTGAGGCTGGCGTCGTGCGATTTACATGATTTCAGCTGAGCGTCTGCTAATACAAACGTGCCAGACTTGTCTCCAGATATGACCACACTGCCTTGGCGTATGATCTTTAGTGAAGTAATGTCTTTCTACCATTTGCATAAACGTCAACATCCCCTTATTTGGCTCTTGCCAGATACTTACACTGTGCTCGTTATGCGTGGAAATCAGAGACCCAGACATGAAATCCCATAACCGCACCGTCTTGTCTGCTGCTGCTGCTGTATAACAGTACTTTCCGTATGCTGCAATGACATCCACTCTATCTTCAGCCGCCGTGAACGAATTGCAGTACCTGAAATCCTCCAGTGCGAGTACAATGACCAGATTTCGGCTTGAGTACAGGTAAAAATGAGGTTCCACAACTGCAGTAACATAGAGTGAATACCAGTTGGGTGCTGGTGGATAGCATCGATGCATTGGATAGATCAAGTCCATGCTGTGTTTTGCAGTATGAAGAAACAGTTTGGGAGATTATGAAAGCCCAAGAAAACCAGTCCATTTAAAATGGGCAACAAAATTTTTTGGAAAGCATTCTTTCTCTCTTACTTTCAACACGCATAATACAGCAATCATGGAGGTGGATCCACGCATTGTTTTACCCGGAGATGTCATTGATGTAGATGAAGCATCTACCATTGTTTTGGGTCCAGGCTTAAGACAAGAAGGTGATCAGATTGTCGCCATGAAAGCAGGCATTTTGCAACATTTGGAGGTCGGAAACAGATACTGGATCGAGAGTAATCAAAAACGAGTACGTGTATAGCCTGTCGCTATATAGAGGGACATACTAAAGTAGCGCTGTAGTATATTGCATCCACCGGAGAGTCAGTCGTTGGCACAGTGATTGCCAAGATGGGAGAGTATTTCCGTGTCGACATTGGAACAGCACATTCAGCCGTCCTGCCCATGATGGCATTTGAAGGTGCTACCAAGCGCAACAAACCCAACTTGAATGTACAGTCGCTTGTCTACTGCAGAGTGTCCATGGCAAATCCTGATATGGAGCCCGAGCTTGAATGTGTCAATCCCAGAACTGGAAAAGCAGATGGATTTGGTGAATTAGTGGGTGGATTTGTGATTAAATGTTCGCTGGGACTCTGTAGAAGGTAAGAGAGAAAGAGAGAGAGAGAGAGAGAGAGAGAGTGTGTGTGTGTGTGTGTGTGTGTATGTGTATGTGTGTGCTGCTGTGTATAAAGAGTGTTGTACTAACAGTCTTGAAAGATTGCTCAACCCCAACACACCGATTTTGAGTTATTTGGGCGAACATTTCCCCTTTGAAACAGCAGTTGGCATGAATGGCCGTGTATGGATCAACTCGGAAGAAGTGAAAAATACAATCTTAATCTCCAATGCCATCCAAAACTCTGAATACCTTAGTGCTGATGAATGCAAGCAAATGGTGGAAGATCTCGTAAATAAGCTATAGTCTCTTTATATCCAAATCATGTAAATAAAAAATATAATTACCCAAGTGTGTCATAAGAGTACTGAATTCCTCCTCCCTGCTATTTGGCTGTGGGTTGAGCAACTAGTGGTAGACAAGCTTCTTTCCAGTCTTGCTAGGAGCAGTATGCTTGGACTGATTCTCCATTGGCAATGGCATCTACTCCTTGGAGACAATTGGTGCTTGGAAGCAATTGAGAAGGTCTTTGCTGAGTGCATTCAAATAAAGCGTGGCCGTGCAAATGAGATTGTATCACAACTGCTTGCTCCAGGGATATCTCCTTGTCAAATGCCAAAATCAAAGAAGATCTGTTGAGGGCATATTTTATTGATATCAAATGTCGCACATGGTGCCTGCTGCTGCTCTCTGGCCAGCCCTAATTTTCTCGGATTTGTGCTCTTGTGACACAATGCTAAATAATGAGCCATTCTTTGCTCTGCAATACAAGATAGATCTAGGGAGTTTAAATGCTGTATTGATGAGATCCTTTCGTTTCATTTGATGGTTTGCATTCGACAAGTATTAAAGTATGCGGGGATCGTTCGTTTCCTTCTTTTTTTCTCTTTTTCACTAATCAAATCACAATGGAACCCCCTACTCAAGTTGGTGCTGCTATCCCAGCACACACCCCTCACGCTGTGTCTGTCATGTTTCCCACATGGCAAGACAACATCTATTACGAAGAAGGCAATCCAATTGTCACTGCCAAAATGGAATGTGGCTATCCTCGATTCTTTATCCATCCCTTTATTCAAAAGGTAAGCTACACATGTGCATGTCTAAACGACGCATTGACCATCTTCTCTCAAAGCTATGCACTCGTCTCGTAGCCAAGTTTGGCAAGGAAAACGATTCAAGCATGCTGTTTCCTTCGCATAAAGTAGCGGAGCAGTGTAGATCATTCATGAAACGTTACTACAAAGAACCCACCGGCACCGTTCGTATTGCAGAGTTCGAGATTGCACCCCTCCATGCCTCCAACGAGCTCCAGCCTGTACCTATTCACATTGTTCTATTCCCTCAAGACGCATTCCCTATCGCCAAACAGTTCTGGCAGCACTCTGGAGACATTATTTCCTCTCGCATGGCTGAATACTGCTTGCGTATCATGGACGACAATCAGCAAAAGTCTGCCGAGGAAACGGCCTCCAAGAAGGACGACATGTACAGACCCAAGATCACTATGGGAAGTCGTAGCAGAAGCCATTACAGCAGCAGTCGATCGATCCCAAAAGTCGGGCAAGACAAGGAAGAAGAGCATGTCGAGCAAAGCACTTATTTGGAGGAACGCTATGGCCGCAATTTACCTGTGAAATTCGCAAACAATGCCAAAGTTGCTTTGAGAAGACGTATTGCAGGTGTCTTGAAGGGAGAGAGTGAGTTCAGTGACAAGGAAAGCAAGACATCGTGCGCTGATTTGGAAGAGCAACGTCAGCTGAAGGGCGATCGTGGTATTCGAGGTTTGTCTGAGGAGGATGTGTACTTGTACCCTTGTGGCATGAGCGCTATTTATCATGCTCATCAAGCTGCTATGCTTATTGGTGATAGCACTGCCAAAAGCGTGTGCTTTGGGTAAGTATTTGTTACGATGAGTGCTTTCGTTTGGCAGCAAAAGCTAAGTTACCTGTTTGATAGATTCCCTTATACCGATACCCTCAAGATTCTACAAAAGTGGGGCGCTGGCTGTCACTTTTATGGCCTGGGAGAGGATGAAAGCATGGATGAATTGGAGGCACTTTTGAAATCAGGCGAAAAGATCTTGAGTTTGTTCTGCGAATTTCCCTCCAATCCCTTGTTGAAGTCTCCTGATATCAAGCGTCTTCGCAGACTGGCAGATGAATACAAGTTTTTGATCGTCATTGATGAGACCATTGGTAATTTCTGCAATGTCGCTGTCCTCGAGTGGGCTGATATGGTCGTGAGTAGCTTGACAAAGGTGTTTTCTGGCGACTCCAATGTCATGGGCGGAAGGTGAGTTTAGGCCTGAGAGATCGACGGGAATCAGGCATCTCACCATCCTTTTTTTTAGCATGATTTTGAATCCAAACGGAGCGTATTATACACTATTAAAGGCTATCTTGAAGGCAGAGTACGAGGATTTGGTGTGGTCTGAGGATGCCGTCTTTTTGGAGCGTAATTCTCGTACATTCAAGGAACGATCCAAAACCATCAATCGCAATACAGAAGCCTTGTGCGACTTTCTAATAGATCATCCCAAAGGTAAGGGCGGCTCAGCGTAGGAAAACCACAGGCACATGGTTGTTAATTTTACACTCCCTATAGTGGAGCAAGTTTTTTACCCAAAGTTCACATGCAGAAACCATTTTGACGCTGTCAAGATTGATTCTGAAGATTCAGGATATGGAGGTTTGTTCTCTGTGGTTTTGAAAGACGAGAAGAGTGCTGCTACTTTTTACGACAACTTGAGCTGTGCTAAAGGACCCTCCCTTGGTACCAATTTTACATTGTGTAGTCCTTACACTATCCTTGCTCATTACACAGAGTTGGATTGGGCTGCTCAATTTGGTGTGGCACGTCATTTAGTCCGTGTCAGTGTTGGTTTAGAAGACAGAGACAAACTATTGTCCATGTTCAAAATGGCCTTGGACACTGTTGAATAGATCTATATTATCCACACATCTGTCATTCCCTCTTTAGTTGCTGAAAATTATTATTGATGAGCCTAACTGTGTGTATAATAGAAATAAAAGTCATGTATAACTTTCTCTCACTTAATCTTTCGATTTTATATGAAAGGAGATGCACGATCTGACTAGTAACATATCTCACTTTGATTTGAAGCTGTGTTGAATGTATTTGAAACTAGCAAATGAGCAAAGACAGCACAATAGTTATGAGATTAAAAAAAATGGTAAGTTTATGATATTGCAATAAATGAAATAGTCTAAAATGAATGTAAAGAGAAAGAAGTATGATAAAATAATATTATATAAACACTAATAGTACAAAGAGGTAAAGGTGCAAAGCAGTATCAGGCATTTACTTGCGACGGACATCATTCAAGTCGATATCAGCCCAACCAAGCTCACGACCAAGCTGATCGATAGTCTTTTGCTTGGTTTCAGGAATGAAGATGAGGATAAAAGTACCAGCCAAAGCAGAAAGACCTGTGAAAATCAAGAAAACATAAGGACCACAAGCTGTTTGAAGAGCAGGGAAAACGAGACCAATAATAAAGTTACAGAGCCAGTTGATAGCCAATGCAACAGATGAAGCAGCAGAGACAGCATAGGTAGGGTAAACTTCAGAAGTGATAACAAAGGGAATCATGCCAAGACCAACGGCATAACAAGCGACAAAGATATAGATAGAGACCACTTGAAGAGCAGAAACGTCGAACCGCAAGCCAATGGTCATGAGAACAGACCAAATCATCATACCGTAGGCAGAGACAACCAACAAGATCTTACGACCCAAGCGATCAATCAAACCGAGACCCACAATGGTCATGACAATGTTAAGACCAGAGACACCAATAGTAACGTACTTTGCAACATCACCAAAGGAGTTTTCGAAAATGTTGGTAGAATAATACATGACAGCATTGATACCAGTTAATTGAGAGGAAGCGTGAACAACCATCATCTTCAAGGTCAAAACCATCAAACAACGGTTGGAGAACACTTCGCGAATAGACAAGGATTCTTCACCTTCAAAAGCGTCGTTGGATTCCTCGTTGGGAGCATTATCGAAACTGTCCTTGTCACCGAGTTCAGCTTCAGGAACAGCCTTCTTGTCGTTACCATCAGAACCTCCTTTAGTGAGAGACAAGATCATTTCAGAAAACTCTTCTTGGACGTCGCCATAACGAAGACGCATCAATTGAACACGAGCTTCATCAATACGGTTCTGAGAGATCAACCAACGGGGAGAACGAGCACAGAAAGGCAAACAGAGCATTTGAATGATGGCAGGACCTACAGTGATCACAACAACGATACGCCATCCGATAGCAGAGGAAAGACCAAGACCGATACATTCAATGATAATGATACCAATAGTCAAGAAAAGTTGGAGGAAAGAACCGAGAGCACCACGGTATTTAGAAGGGGATACCTCAGCAATGTACATGGAAATCACGACCGTCATGAAACCAGAGCCGATACCGACAAAGATACGGCCAACAGCAAATTGACCAGGTTCAGTAGAGAGAGAAAGCAAGATGGCACCGATAAAAAAAGTGGTATTCATGATGAGCATCGAATCACGACGACCATACTTTTGAGCCATCCAACCAGCAATCATAGCCCCTAAAAGACCACCGATAGCGTACATGCCAGTAGCAGTACCCCTATATCAAGGCAATGTTAGCATAAATTCAGCGCATTAAAGGTAGGTAAAAACTTACAAGATCCAATCGGACATTGGGATACATTGAGGCAAAGGTGAGTTGGGATAATATGTCACTGTACCAAATGGTACATCGGGACAATTTGTAAGAGATTTTGCTGGAATATTCAGAGCAGATGTATTGAAACCATTGTTGAGAGCACCAAGTGCAGAAATGGCAACACAAAATACCACAAAGGGTTTGAGTTTATCTCGAGATTCCATGATTTAATATATAAAAAAAAAAGAAGGATTTGTAATTGAGGCGGGAGAAAATTGGATAATCTTGAGAGTAAGCTACCCGCCTCTTTTATACAAAATGATCAGGAGAAGCTTATCCGATTTCACTTCAAGTGCCGTTTGGCGGAGGTATTCCTTTGTGCTTTGCTATTACATGTTGACATGGCAATCTGTCTTGGAATCCAAATGGGGTTTGCAATCCAACTCAAACATGGACACAAGATGAGGATCTTGAATTAGACATTCATCTCCAAGGAAACATGGCTTCTACATGTACAAGTAGCAGCGCTGTATGTACATATCTGGTTCTCTGTCCGCAGCTTTTTTCATCAGTATCAGGTTTCACTTGGTTGTTAATGCTGGACACCTCCAAATCCACTACAGAGAAGGTTGCTTTTAAGGGTTTTTCCAGCCAATCACGCCTGCTATTACTTATATTACAATTAAACATGGCAAATTGATCGAAAATCGTCATACGATCTTGTGCTCTCATTTGTTCTTTTTCTCAATGGCAAAATCATTTGCCCAATGTTGAAACGCGACATTGTGTTTAATCAGCACACTCCGTTTGACATGTTGAGCCAGCATTTCGATAAACACTATACTGTTCTTCCTAAAGAGAGTAATATGGTATGCTTATTGTTCTATGGCAGATTACCAATGCTTTTAATTTACCATTCTTCCCGTTCAAACGCCTTACAATGCATTCAGCTTTTTCCTGATTTGGTGAAACATATAATTATTATATTAGGAAGCGTAGTCTATTTTGACAGTTTGAACGTGGCCCATCACTTTACGGGTAGTCCCGAGTACGTTCCGCGCTCTTTGTATGTGAAATATTTAGGCTAGCAGAGATGTGGAAATATGAGGTGATGTATGTCCCTCTGTTGATGTCAGTGACATGATTATAAACCAACTTGTCGTGATTTTTTGCAATCGAGTTGACTTCAATCTATGTGCTTAACCGATTGATTTATTGTGCTACAATGATTATAGATGTCATTCATGGAAGGATGAATTATCTATACATCTAGACAGATATGACGACGGTACAGAGAAAAACTAACCCCTCGCTCCCCTCAAACGCTTCCTAAAACCAAGTGGCCCAGGGTTTTGGCAAAAAACAAATATTTATCCAAGACAAATACAACTAAACAAGTAATTCACAGCCATACTCACATATATTTTATCTCATGGTACTCTCGTTTTTATCATAGACCTTTTGCAATGGATCAAACAACACATAAACATTTAATTAATATTAATTCAGGAACAATGCAAACGGGAAACACTTGAAAGAGGTGGTGATTACTGCGTAGGGTTTTCCAAAGTTAACTGGAGAAGACGGGAAAATTTTGGCATTTGAGACTTTCTGTTTATGTAAGTAGTGTGTTATGCCGTATGAAGGTCAGAGGCTAGCAAGACATCATATATACCTTTCGGTAGAATGAAATCGGGGGGTAATTGCACCTATGAAAAGACATGACACATGGTATCTATCATCATTAATCCAACTTTTTTTTTTTTACTGAAAGCTGATATGGACAGAGAATGAAAAGGTGGAGATTCTTAAATTCAAGGGTCGAAACCACAAAAAAGGGTTTCATAAAGCACATATGACTTACGAATAAAGCGTTGTACCAGGGCTTTTCAAACTTTATTTTGTTTGTTCTTTGGTCATCTTCGTCATTAATGCGATGAAACTTTGTATATTCGATCCGCGGGATTATCGATAACGTTGGCATCGCAATGGTTGATGGCATACAGAAATCTATAGGAAACGCACACAAGTTTATAGGAGCAGTTTTTTTCACTTTTATTCACATAATTTATATACTGTATATACACTTGCACAAATGCAATGTTAAATACTTGTTGACTTAGTCATCATTGAATAATGGGTGTTGCAAATACTTTTGGAAGAGTGATAGCTCTGTATGAGCGGGTATATACTGTTCCTCTTCGCTTTCTTCTTGCGCATCCGCAGATTTTTCTTTGTAGTCTTGTTGAAACTCAACATCTTGCTCTTTCATATCCTCCATGTTGGTCTCATTTTGTTTAGTGCCATCACTAACCATATAGGCTTCCTCTTTGTAATCGCTCGAGCCGACCGTATCGCAAGAGTTTTCCATGTCTTGAGCCTCGCCTTGTACCAGTATCATATCATCTTGATTGCCAACCTCTTCCTTGCCATCGTCTTCTTTCTCCTCGTCGCTCTCGTCTGGCAAGTTCTTGATGGCTCGCTGCATGTATTTCTCAATATCAAAGTTGATTGCCTTTGCCAACGCCTTTAATTCTTTGTCATGCGAGCTTTTCAATAGTTGCTCTGCTGGACTCGATCGGTAAATGTCGCATATTTCCTGACTGATGAAGCGAATTAGTATCAAAATCTCTACCAAAGCCGTATTACATAATCACCTTATTGCTCTTTGAAAAATGTTCTTTTCAATCAACTTGACGAACCAAATTTCTGTATTGTTGTTCTCTAATTGTGCAATGAATATACGGCAGATTCTTTGGCTTTTGGATTCGAGTTTGAGCAATTCATCAATCTTGGTGGTAGTTTGCTTTTTTAAATGTTCTACAAAACATGAGCAACTAGAAAACAACAAATGAAACACAACTTACTGATACGTCTGCATGTCTTTACAAGGTATTGCTTGAGTCTCTCATCGGGTTTTAGGGATGGATTACACTCGTACAAGTGCAGGATGAATGGTTTACTCTTGAAATATTGATCGTCATGATTAAGTTCAAGCAGATATCTATGTATTTTTGTTATATATTGCTATACAATTGAAGACACTTGTTCAGCAACTTACGACAGCATAAAATAGTCTGGATTTTCTCTCAAGGCTTGCAATGATTTTGTGATCACTCTTTTCTTGCTGCTAACATTCACTGTATCCAGGAACTATACATGGGTGAGACATTTGTTAGATTCGGAAGGGCAAGATCACTTACAGTCAAGTACATATTCAACACTGTAACATCAAGGCTGTATACTTTGTGTGCTTCTGGGAGATACTTGTTTGCCGATCTTACTCTTTTCTCATATGTGCTTACATTGAAATCGTACACATCATGCTCGTCATCTTGAAAGTATGTCTCTGGCAGCTTTTGCTTTGCAATCTCCCATTGATGGTAAGCGCAGATCGCCAACTTTCGCAGTAGAATTGGATGGTGGAATACATGTCGCGGGTATAATCTACGTTGATCCAATATAGGTTTAGTTACATTGGTGAGATAAACTTCGATTTAAACACACTGACAATTCCATTTCTTCAAACGCTAGATCCCACTTCTCGCTAATCATCAATTGATCGATATAAGCATTGAAAGTCGTTGGAGCCTACAAAAACACATGATATGAGCACACAAGCAACGGCATCTCGCCTTTCTATCTATGAATACCAATTTTTCTGGAGATCCGATGTACACTGCCTTGAGGTAATCGGTCAAGTCATTCGGCGTTGTTTTGCTCACAATCTCTACACCCACCTACAACAACTAGTTTAGAAAAAGCATTGAAAATCACAAGAGATGAGTAGACCTACTTTCCAAATGTCTTCGATAGGGTATACTGCAGTCTTGATCATCTCTGAAAACAATTCTCGAGCTTCTGCATATTGTGCTCGATCCAAGAATTTTCTCAATTGTTCTTGGGCTCGACGTGCTGCTGCATTTTGCTCGATAGGAGGAGTATTGATGGCATACACTTTTGGCTGTGAGATATTGGATGCACGAGGCACCGTCCTCATTCGCTTTATTTTCGCCATTGTACCTATTGTATGATGTTCGATTAAAAAGAAAGATGAGTGAAAAGTGCTGAAAATGGAAGAGCTCTTCAAGTACAATCAATCAGAGTCACATGGATTTGACATTTCAGATGTCCCAGTGCAAATCAAGTCTTTTGATTCAAAATAAGATAACCAAACCTGCCAATATATCGCATTAGAATGACATTTTACCCTTTTGATGTTGAACATTGGGTACGTTTTTCGCCTCGATTTATCCAACAAAAACAATATAGATAAGCTTGCATGAGGAAATGTGAACTATGATTCTGTTTTCTTGCAAGTGAGTCAACTTACAAAATGGCTATAAAGCTTTGCTATGTCAAAAAAATTATACTATTGAAAGAATGAAAACTAATGAATGAAAAAACATTCAACAAACCTAGCAATTTGTAATATCCGTCTATAGTGGTAACCATTTGAAAAGCAACCGAACCGTCTTTAGTATATTCCATTCGTCTTATTACTTGTTAAAATTGGGTATGTTCATGAGCATAGCTGAATCATAAAGCTAGTTTTTTTCATCTTGGCTTTGGATATCTTAATACAGTCTATTTTTGACAAGATCTCTTGGCTTTGTGTTTGGCGTGGATGAATTTTCGCAATCAAAAAGATTTTTTATCTATTTGATTTGTAATGGCTTGTTGTTGCTCAAGGGAATGTTTGCGGGGTGCTACTTTTTACCTCATATCAGGTCCTGGATGTATAAAGCGATTTCTGGATTGGAGAATTGGAGAATTGGAGCTTGTACGCACAATTGCCCCGCGACGGCATATTCATGCTGCTGAGTACACAGTTCAAAAGCTTCTCCTCGATAGACTTAATCATAGAGCTCTCTATCGGCTCATGACTTTGGAAAATGGTAAAACTTTGGATTCGCATGAGTTCGATGTGTTGTACGTAAATGTCAACAGGATTCGAAAACCTATTCAAGGGAGCGGAAAATTGCAGCGCATCAGACTTCAGTAATGGTCTTTGCGCCATACAGCGTCATTTTTTCTGTATATACGTGACATTTGCTCCTGTTATCCTCGGTAGTCGTTCGCTCCTTTGATTGATACTGCTGTTTGATTTGATGGCTCAGCATCCAATGCTTCATAATCTCAGGCGTTCATTATCGCTATCATCAAAGAGATCGAATATGGGGTGAGGGTGGCAGAGATGTATGTAATTGAAGTTAGGGTTGTTTTATGTAATATACAAATGTGGGCTTGACGTTGATTTCGCGGCATGCCATAACCTCCTTAATAAATTGCTACTTTCAAGTTATCGACGAATACTTAATATGCTAATGAGGTATCCTTTCAAGAGCAGATAAATGTAGCTTGCTTTGTTTCACTCAATAAAGCCATTTGTATAAAGTCGTTTAACTCATCTACTGGGCAACCCTAACTTTCCAATAATCAAAAAGTTTCGCTTCATATAGATGCAACTCAGGTTTAATGTTGTACTGTGCTACTTGACACCTTGCATCAGATCTTGAATGCACAAAATGATTTTCAATGTCGAGTTTTGAGCCTTACAAAATAGAGTTTTGACGTATTGAAGCTAGGGCTCTGATAGTAGCATGTTGCCATAGCGAAATGTTGCTACAAAAACGACAGTGCAAGTAGATTTCATTTGAATGGGCGGTCGCTGATAACTGTGAAAAATTGATGCTATTCCAAATAAGCCAATGGTGAACCATGGCCTTCATATGCGAACTTGTTAATTACGAGTAATGGATCTATGGTTGCAATGTCATGAAACGTTATATTCAATACCGTTTGCTGATATCTTGCTTCATTGTGCTTTGCCAAAGACTTTAAGCTTTGCTGCGCATTTTACCAAAAGCAGAGAGCAGCTATTTTACGCCCTATGTTGGTGGTAAAGAACACTATTTATCAGGAAGATTATATGCCCCTTTTGAGGGGTTGCTAAACGTATAAAGGGTTTTCAATTGCTACATTAACTGTCAAATAATTAAGCGAGGATGTAGAGTAAATCAATATAAAAACAGTAGTATTTAGACATTACTATAAACTGTACGACTGCCAGCTCAACCAGATTTCTTCATATTATCAATTAAATTCGATCTTCTGCGTTTGTTCTACAGAATAAAACCTCGCTCGGGAACCTTATGTAGCACTTGCTATCAAAAAACGGTTTTTTAACCCTCGAATTGGAGTTTACAGTGGCGCAAATTTGATACACACGCCCTGTTTTTTTAAGGGCCAAAGCATAGAGAAAACAAGCTTAATTGTTTACAAGCTATATAGCATCACTTAAATGTGAGCTACCATTTGATGTTCATTTGAGCTCTTTGTCAAGTTACGTAGCTAATATAACTCTATTCGGAAACGTTTGACGATATTTCCGCCAACAAGCAGATGGTCATAAAATACAAAATTTTGAAGAAAATTATGAAGGGAGCGTACACTTAGGGCTAAAACTCTATCATAATAATAGATTTCCTGTAGAGCTATTGAATGGTTTTTATTGCATCTGAATATAGTGCGTTTTTACCAAGATATGACCAAAAAAGGGCTTCGTGCAAAATCATCGACTTTTCTTCAAAATCTGCTTGTGGGGTGTAAGGGAAAAATTGGGTGACCTTTTTTTGGTCAGGACAATATTGTCAATATTTCACGATAGAATTATGCCAGAGCTTCCAGTAATAGCTAATTCGATAGGAGATTTTTTGGTCTACAATGTTTAGTAATGCTTAACAAAATGTTTTGATGACAGATACAGATCAATCTTTAGAAAACAGTCAAAAAAATTGCAAAAACAATCGTATCAAATACCAGGTGAACAATGTACACCAGAGACTTGAAACAAATACCATTGTATTTTCCTTTAAATTCTTTACAAGCTTCATATAAGTTTGAAGGGGTGTTTACTATCAAGAAACGCGTAATGTTAAGGTCGATAGATTTTGGAATCCCACGAATCATCATTCAGAACAACATAAATTGAAGCTCCGTTTAGCCTTCGCATGTATACACTACACATGTATGCATTTGACCAAGCATTTTAAAAATCGGAGCGTACGAAAAGAGCCATATTAACTTCTTGTTGATTTTAAGTTATCAATAGATACTTGACATGATGAAGAATCTTGCCTTTAAGACTAGACAGTTGTAGCTTGCTTTGCTCGATTATAATAAGTCTTCCAATTTAATGCATGCATATTCCTCCGCTTAAAAATAGCATCTCCAATGTCGATTATCTCATGAAACAGGCATTTTCAATACCAGGTACTTAGTTAGGAGCTGACCCTATATCATTATTCTACAACATATTTTGATTTCAGGATAGTATTACAAGTTTGTAATACATAATGTAGCTGTATCTAATATCACTGTTATAAGCATGTGTCTTACCGTGTGGATCATAAAGTGGACATCTGATGCAACAAGCTCATTGCAGTAAAAAAGGGGTTAAAAAAGCAGGTAGAATACTGTGAAAATCCTTCTTTATTCGAAATTAGGATAATGTGCAATAAAATGTATATTTTACGTCTCTATTTATATTTGTGGAATTTGAGGCTTTACAGACTAAAATTCACGGAAAAAAAAGAATAAAAAAAACAGTAAAGTCAACTTGATAAAAGTATGCTTTATTATCAAACTGACAGGTGTAAAGTAAACTGAAGTCTCTCTACTGGCCAGGTAGATGATCCCTCTTATATACTCTAACAATGGATAAAAGTTCTATTAATTAGATTAACAAATAAGTCAACTCAGATCAATTAATGTCTAATCATGCTAAAAGACAACTCCAGCAAGCTAAACGTGATTTAGCTTTGCCTGGACGAATAATTAGACTCCCATCCAAAGTACCCTGATCTATCCTTTCTATAACGATAATTAATATCAATCTAATAGCATGTATCCGATAGGTACAGTATCCTTAGTCTTTACCAATAGTACATATCTGAGTGTATATCGCTGAGCATACATCTTTAGCATGTATCTGGATATATGGCATATCTATAGCATATCGTATGCATGTATATAGTATGTCTCATATATAGTACAAGTCTGTAGTACATAAAGTATCTGTAGCTAGTATCACGGATATAAGCATGTCTCTTATAGCGCGGATCATAAAGTGCACATCTGAAGCAACAAGCTCATATTGCATTAATCATGGTGCCTATCCAGATATGGCAAACATCCGTAGTCAATGTCGGAATGCAGATCATAGTGGATGTATTCCACAGGTTGTCTGCCCTTCGTGGTGAGATGCACACTATTATGGCTTAAAACCTTTGCCAAACAACCGCAATGTTGCATATAAGCATGCATCTTAGGCTACATTTACTTTCTCCTCAAGCCACGTTTACAGTGTAGCAACATTGTTGTGCCAGAAGGGCTACAACTGTCTATAAAGATTAAGGTTTTCTTGATGGGTAGATATGTCTGTGTTGTGCAACAACATGGACAAGCTATGATAAGTGAAGTGCATCTCAGCTATCTAAATACTGAGGTTCACCAGATGTGATAAGCGTTGTACAAGATAAATTGCTACTTTGGCATTCAGAATTTAGTATAAATAGAATAACTCTTGTCTTCATCAATAAATCTTTAGTTTTTGTGTCTGATCTTATTCAAATAAGTCTTTTCTTGTTTCTGTAATATTGAACATTTTTTATAAGCTACAAATTATAATCCATTTATTCTTTGTGCTTAACATTCTTATATGAAGCTCATCACTCAAAGTTGGGTTATTTCGATAATCATCTATTTCTTAGCTTCAAACCCATCCAATTTAAAGTATAGCTACACCAGCGTTTTTCTCGTTACAAATTGCTACAGAATTATGCTACTTTCAGAACTCAAGGAGTATTAATACTTCAAAGTCTGATTTTGGATAATACAAACCCTGAAATCGGAAACAGTTATTCGAAAACACTTTTATACATCCAAAATGTAATAGTATGGGGTAAAAGATAGCAAACCATGACACTGAGACATGTT